AGCAGTAAAAAAGGCCACTGTCGAAAATTAAGGGGGGGGGGGCGCCCCTCGCGCTCCCCTTAATACCGCCTCTGAGAAAGTGACAATCGACACAATTTGCAATTATAAATAAATAAACATAGCCATAATATTGAATTGTTTATTGCACTATATATATCATATGTTTCATGCGTATAATTAATTACTGTTTTAAAAAAACTATTAATCAATCACTAATTACAATACGTTACAAAGAATTGCAACGAAAGTATACATAAGTTTCTTGTCAACAAAAATCACATACACGAGTTATCTCTCATGAACCTCCGATTTGGGCACAAAGCAGTGAGGCTTCTTTTAAAATTCAACTAAATTGTCATTTTATGTTTCCACAGTCAACATTTTTGGGGTTACTGGGTGTTGTTTTGGAGTTGTTGGGTAATTCGATATCATATAATCATGATGCATATATTTGAAATGAATTCCATAGAGATAAACTAAATGAAAGGCATCTTCAATAGAAGGCTTGATCTCGCTTTAACTACGTAGATCTTATGGTGTAAAACCCACAGTCGTTGCTTCAGGAACACATCAGATGTTCTAGAAAAAGTGTGCACACCCAAATCTACGTTGAAGACTATAAGGGGGGGGGGGGGGGTCTGGGTGACCGCGACTACCTGATGTCTTGTTTGAGTGTGAAGCTTGTAATTACCGGTGCAATGATTGATTATGGCAGTAAGAGTTAAATATGTAAGTACATTGTCAAGTGACATCTATTACATAATATACGTATACAACCATCAGTCTTTGTTATACATATATATCATCAATAACATCTCTATATCTATCACCTACTCAAGCTTCAAGGTTTGCATAATGTTATGTAGGGGGGCGAGGCTAAACCAAGTGAAATTATTGGGAGGGTATGGATTTTAAAGACATAAGCTGTCCCTCACTAACCCACTGACAAGATCAGTAATTAGGTGGAAGGGCCAACTTCCGAACTATTTGAAGACGATCAAATGATAACTGACTCCAAAACATTCACTTACTTGTCCCCTCCGTGCACGTTGCACTCTGTCAGCGTTCGAACTTTGGTGAGTTCACACAAAACAACATGCCGTGATTTGAATCGGTACCGGGGTTGGATCGGATGCTGAAATATGAGACACCACTGCAAACGGATCAGTTAAAAATATATGTGTTACGTTTAAAAACTGAGGTGGCTATATATCTAACCGGGCATCGAGTTAATCCGCGACATAGGTATAATATACATATGTATAGTATTAACGCTGAAGGGAGAAGGTACCATGATAAACCAGGTACAAAGTCAAGCAGGAAATACACATTATAAAACTGTATTGATCAACTATAGTTGGGAGAATTTCTGTAGATACACATCCTTAAATCAGCTTTTTTCATACTAGTATCTAAATTTGAATTCGCCAATATTGAAAATCAAAAAGAAAAACAGTTTTATGCGAATCCACTGCTCAGACATCATCATTTGTAAGTTGGTTTGTTTTGTTGTTTTTTTTTTATTTTTTCTCTATCAATCCCTGAAATCTGTTTTGTTTGATATTCAAATCGGAATATCGAACAACGAGTAGCTTGTTTTACGTTATTCAACAATAACGAAAAACGAAACACATTTTTCGAGCTAACTTTACACTGCCTAAAATAGTCTGCTCTCGATATCTGACAAAGAGATTACATAAGGTGATTCGCATTCTTGTCAATTGGGTTAGCTTTAATCTGTTACCCCCCCCCCACCACCACCACCACCACCACCCCTGTAACAATAGGAAATAACAGGTGACTGATGATCTTAGTCTGAGATTAAGATATATTATATTTATCTTCCATAATGTTAATGACCATGAGCCACTCCGAATTCCTCACAAATTGCTTAGACTAGCAAACTCGGCGAAAAGACACCTTATTGTCCTGCGACTTAATTCCCCCCCCCCCCCACTACGAACTAACTTCAGACTGTCCACACTTTCGAAAACCAAATAGATAGGCTAATATCTGTATACATGAACCAAACCATAAATCTGTTCTTATGGCATAATTAGAGTTTATAGCTAGAGGGATGGGTGTCAATAATACATATAGCAATACCACGCCCATGTGAATATACATGTATACATAATATTATTGTCTACTCGTCAATCATCAATCAATCAATCAGACTGACATCATACAATACAATGTAATTAATATCATCAATCGCTGTAATGTCCTTTTGTTACAGGGGTATGGGGGGGATGGCGTTCGATTTCCCGCTTGTACGTGACAAGGAGTAGGGTAGCCTGTCCAACCTTATGAGTTTTCTCCGCCCCCCCCCCACTGCTAAAGACCCCTACGCGTAAACGAATGATAGAAATAAAATCGAACCATAAGTTAGTCCCGAAATGACCTAGTTTGTATCAAGTGGACGTTTAATCCTACTCTTCTCTCTCCCGCTGTTGTTACAGGCGACCACAATAGTCGAATCCAGCGTTCGAAACGGTACGTAACCGATGAAATAAAAAAAAATGCTTGATTCAAAATGACTGACATTTTTTGTTGAGACTTTTAACTTTTAACATGAAAACAAATAATTATAAGTATACCGAATTTTAATAAACCATACAAATACTGTGGCGTATTACGCAGACTTGGGAATTCTTTAGGGGCGTGTTATTTAAAACTATGCCATTTAGATGAATGGGCTAAGTTTAATGTCACAATTTTGTTTTTTCTCATTTCCCGAATTTCTTGATATTCAAGGCTTCTCTTTGGTGAATCATTGATCTATGTAGGTGGAACTCAGACATTTTAACACATTCATGGGCGTCACGCATGGGGGGGGGGGGGTCCGGGCGGGTCTGAATATACTTGGACCCCCCAAAAATTTCCATAGTAGGCCCTAACTCCTATTTATTTACAACAATTATTAGGATTAATTAAGATTCTATCTGTATAAAACATGTACATATCCCAATATGGTTTACATTGCTAAAATAAAACACAGTGAAAAGTAACTGTGGTCCATAAAATTGTGTCTAGTTAGCCTGTCAGTAATATTTTGTTAATTTTTTTCTGCCATGATAATTGCATGTAGGTACGCAAAAACATTATCGCCTAAGCCAAATATTTATCGCCCGCTCAGCCAGCCACGTAACCATAATGCTTTGTTTATATTTTTTAGGGGTTTTAAAAAAGGGTTAGGGTTAGGGTTAGTGGTTGCGGACCCCCCCCCCCAATATATATTTCACGGCTACGCCTCTGAACACAGTCACTTTATGTTATTTCGCAATACAGTCACATGTTTAATAATATACCCTCTTAATCACGTTCTGAAGCTAAACATTAGTACATCACAGGATTTCAAAATAAGGGGGCATAACTCAAAACCAAGACGACCCCAAAAAAACATAGTTTCCATTACTGTAATAAAAATTATGATCAAATTCTGAAGATTTTTTAGTATTTGATTAGATTTTTGTTAAATTAAGTTTAAGATAAATATTTATTTTCACTAATCAAATGATTTTAACGGTTTAAAGAGGACGTAACTCCACACCTAGACAACCACAAGACAATCTGGACTAACCAGTCAAACCTGATGCATGAATAAATGAATAAACATATACACATATAAATGCTATCAAACTTGAATATTAGCAGGAGTAACGTCGAGTAAAAGATGCCGAAATACTCCAATAAAGATATTTATTGTCGCAACGTCAATAAAAACGAGTCGTAAATTCCCATTTTTAGTCCGTTTGGTCCGTTGACATGCACGTCGAGTTCTTTTTGGCTGAGTCGTCTACGTCATTATTGACCAGTTCGTGGTGTTTGTGCTATTGTCGCAGATTGGTGGTGCGAGAACTTGAACATCAATTTAGACAACAAAAGATTTTTTTATCGACTGGCTCTTCAAATCAATCCATGTATTGAAATTTCTAACTTTAATCCGAGAATTAAAGCGATGAGGGGAAGGAGGGCGTCAAAGAAACGGTGAAGTCACCCAGACGTGACGAATGACAGTTTAGGACAATAAAAGATTATATACTTGCCTGTCACGGTTCGGGACATCAGTCAAAGTCAGACACGCTTCGGTGACTCGCAGAATTACACCAAAGACAGGTGAGACAACGATTTGAGCTTTAAAACAAAAACTGTTTTAGATGAACTGATGACAACAGAATATCGAACGGTTCACGAGAAACAACACCGTGCTAAATGGACAGTTAGAATTCTAGTTATTGTCATGTCATATAGGAAGGGATGGTGAACTTCAACTAAAGGAAATTTCAAACGAAAACTGTACAACATAAGTAAGGAAGTCAGACTTCAGGATAATCCGTGTTGAATTTGATGGATGAAGGAATGTAATTTACACGTTGTCGGAGATAGTTCTGTATATAGGCTTGTCTACTCTCACAGCTCGCTATTTCGACGGACATTTATAGAAAAACACGAATAGAAGTCGGACACAGGAACCGAGAAACTTAAAAACGTTGTATGAAACATACGACTCAAATTCAGAAGTTTGAAATTGACAATAACAGATTTTAAGGAATAGGCATATTTTCAATTTTGATCTGTTAAATACCCAAGGAATTCGTATTTTTATACAGAATCCAGGAAATTAACAACCACGATTTAACTTAAACACGTGTTTTGACTCTTACCGTTAGTCAAAATATATTAATTGGAGATTCTATCAACGTGCAACGTTTTCACCGAGTCAGAAATTTGTTGAGACGTTTTATTTGTTTGTTTGTTTGTTTTTTTAACTGACTGTTTTAAGAGAAATTTTGATACCTGTACCGAATTGAACTTTATCCCCGGTTACACTGGATAAAATCATCACGGAAGGATTACACTTCATAAATATAAAAAAGGAAAATAATCTTCATCTGTCATTTTAATAGGGATTAACGGTTAAGTGAAAAAAAATATCTACCAGAGACGATTTTATATTAAATAGTGACTTCATATTATTAATAACACAATTAAGAAACTATTCAACGAAGAAATACGAACACAATGGCGCCATTGAATGTATTTTGCGTCGTTTTAATTCTTGTTGGATTTGAAGGTATCGAGTGCTACCCTGGTGGAGCCCCGTCTTCAGCTTGTGTGTATCTACTGCCTCTACATGGATACCCTAATATTTTAGCCCAATCGTCACCGAGTCCATATACTTTACATATGTCAGCAGGTACTTACATCCCTGGACAGGAACTTGAAGGTAGGTTTAATTTGACAGTCAAAAGTCTCTATAAATCTTATATCATATATATATGTGTAATAATGAAAAGCGAAATTTATTCCGAAGTATGACCTGTCTTTGATTGCTAATTTCTGTAGATAAACCTGTGTGTATCCATGGATTTAAGGAAAGTTTGTCTAGTAGTTCGGATGGGACAAAAACCATTTTCCCGTGTACAAATTAAGATAAGGAGTTGGTCACTTGCATAACTTTTGAGTTTGCTTCAGGTACCCAGGTTTCCTCCCACTTCTTCCCCTACAAGCATGAAAATATATCATATGTTAGTCCCGAGATGACCCGGTCAATGTTTAGTAGACGATACTACCCCCCCCCCTCTCTCTCTCTCTCTCTCTCTCCCTCTCTCTCTCTTTCTCGTACAAGGAAACAGAATACACCCAACACATGACTAATTGATGACACATTTACCCGTTAACACCGTCATTGTTCGTCATAGGCTGATTAAAACCATAAATTAACCTCACTGTCTTTCATGTGACAGTTACATCTTCATCTAAACGACATAGACACTGGTTAGGTACGGACGATGGATAAGCGTGTAGTCATTCAAATGGCACCAAAAACCGAGGCCCTGTGTACAAGTTAGCGTTCATGTAAGCAACCCTTGCCAGTTGAAATTAAAGTTTAAACTAGAAGCGATTTTATTTCAGGATTCATCAGTATATTTTGTATAATTTGCTCACGACTTGGTTTAAATGACAAATGGGCGTGGTCAACGATTTTCCACCTTTGTATCTTGGAATTGCCCAACTGTTATTGATTGACTTCCATAACAACAAACTGTTAGTTCTAATTGCTTAACAAACTAATATAGATTTATGTCTTCCAAAGCTTACATTGCAACAAAGTGTTAGTTCTAACTGTTTTTAAGCAATATAGATTTAACACATATTTTTTAAAACAATATTTTATTTAAAAACCGGAAGGGATTGTGGAACAGGCATAGTTTATATAACATGTCTCTCCTTAATAAATGCAAGAATGGGTATAGATATTATCATTACATAGGTGAATAAACAACAAAACAATAACTTGAAAACTGAATCAACAACATATGTATATTATACATATTTATATAGGTTCCGTGTTGTCCGCGTTTTGATTATGACACAGCTATAGATTTATTCGAACTGCATGATATATTCTGTTACAGGCATTACATGAATGCTAGGCATTATTATATATTCTGATATAGAAACTATAATATATTCTGGTACATAAATCACCATATATTCTGATAAAGGACTTTCAGTCGGTTGTTCCAATATCATATGGCCCATGGTCATTAACAGCATGTTGTGGTTCCTTCCTTGGCACGGAGAGAATTATCTTATATCTAGCGGAGATTCGAACGCGTTTGTGTATCGCACATAGGCCTATAAACTATATATTATTTGTGCAGGTAAAATGAATATGGATGTAAAATTCTATCCTAGTTGTTATAGATGACAAATGTGTAACTCGGTTGACATTATGGCTAAATCCCTTGGCAGTTTGAATTCGATATAAGAGTAGGCCGTAGCGCCGCTGCCCGGGCAAAATTTCCCTCATAGCACACTGTATGGCGTATGCCCGTCTTCATTAGCCGAGTATATGAGCAGAACCGTAGGACGTTAAACCCCATTTCATTTCATTTCAACTATGTTCTTTATATGACAGTTATTGTTGTGTACAATTGATCGACATACACTCACATTTACAGACATGGCAAGGATATGTCATGTACAATTGATCGACATACACGAAAATTGTTCGACATATATCAAAAATTCTTCTTGCAAGTCGTCACTGGGTCATTGAATACAATATATATCTTTAATATTATTTAAATTAGATGGTACTCCAGATAATGATGTCAGCTACTCGCACCCGAGCGACTATAGACAGCTGTGTCAGGTACTCCTTCCTGCTTCACTGACAAGGGGGAAACCACGCTGGAAAATTCCGACGAACTTTCTCAGCCAACACCGGGAGCGAACCCACGACCTCCAGACTAGCGAACCAGCGTCTTACTGACTTAACCACTGTTAATAATTAGCGCATTATCGTCTAAGCAACCTGGTGACATGGTTCACGTACCTAACAGCTTATCTGTACTCATACACTGTATATTTTATGCTTAATAAGTTCAAACATCCAGTGTCCTTTGTTTTATTTATTTAAAATGATATTTAAGATTTGATTGACAACTATTGTCTTTAAGACAGACGTTAACCCCACTCTACCCTCACCTGCAAGTGTCTTTTTCTTTTCTGGGAAATTTGTTTAATATTTAATGACACTGTATCTGGAGTATATCGGACAGAAATACTAGTATGTCTTTTACATGTTATGTCACATGACATATATCACATGACATATATCAACATCTTGACATGACAGTTGATATCAATACACTATATTATATAATAGTCATGACGTGTAAGTCAACACCCTGGATCAGAATAGATCTTCAACACGTCATAATGACCCAGAATAAGACATTTGTATGGAATACAGGTTACTTGTATATTCATGTTTCCTTAGTACATCACTATCAGAACAGTGTCTGTTCCCTAATTCCATTCAGATATCCTGAACATTTTTTTTTTTAAATCAGATATCAACCCAAAATTAAACAAACTAAAAATGTTCCGTAATCCGATAGCAGTCAACATGTAGACTTGTGTTGGTGTACTGTTGATGACGGGACAATAAAGATGCATTGTTGATGACGGGACAATAAAGATGCATTATGTAAGATGTAGATAAAAGCTAACCTTTCTTTCTATAATAGTTCAAAAAATGATAATGAAAAATGAATATATTGAAAATGTCACTCAAATTACATTTTGTCTTTCTGCCTTACCTTTACCCACAGACTAGATAAAATATAGAAAACATATCGACATTTAAAAGGACATTTGTTCTTTAAATAACATATAATATTTACATTAAGTAGTTAACAATCATTCTAATAAACTACCTATCTTTCATAAATTAACAAAATTAGTAAACCTCCGATCAAAGATGGGAGTCTAACACCGTCATAAATTAACAAAATTAGCTAATCCCCCGATCAAAGATGGGAGTCTAACACCGCCATAAATTACGGTTCTTACAGAAGTGGAATTCCAATTCTGAGCGAAGTTATGACTGTTCGAAGATGTAGCGTAGATTGTTTATTATCGTAGCAACGGTACTTGCCAATCGAAGCTAAGTCTCGATTATCCAGTTCATCGTTAAGTTTTTAAATCTCGCTCGTGTTTGTATCCAATTGAATACCAGCCTTCCGATGTTCTAGCGAGTTGAATATAGGCGTGTCAAGGGAATAAATGTATTTGTATAACTTTTGAAGCCAAAATAAAGACCGGAAATAGACAGATTTGGCTCTAACATAATGTATATTTAAGACCATAACACAAATTATACTAAATGTTGGGGTTAACATAGTTGTCTGCGGGTTTTTAAAAAAACTCCACTAAAAAACCACAAAACTGAATAACCAAATTATATAACTAATTACCCCTCCGTTAAGACTACATGATTTCTCGACGATTTCCTCTTTAGTTCGCACAGCTTATAAATCAAAATGGAATGCGGAAATATGATACAAGTAATCTTATAAAACTTAATCTAAACCGCATCTAATACGTTGTAAAATAAGACGTATATTAAAACTTTTTCTGGCTTGTTCCTTTTTCTTTTACGAAAAGTACCAGCTACACACTAACACTATTTATGGAATAACAATTACTGGTTTATTAACATGCAACGTTTCGACGATCATACTCTCGTCTTTATCAAGTAAATGATTTGCTTGTTGCATGTTAATAAACCAGTAATTGTTAATAAACTAGTGATTGTTATAAACCAGTGATTGTTATAAACTAGTAATTGTAATAAACCAGTAATTGTTATAAACCAGTAATTGTTATAAACCAGTAATTGTTATAAACCAGTAATTGTAATAAACCAGTAATTGTAATAAACCAGTAATTGTTATAAACCAGTAATTGTTACTGTTCAATTACTAAATGCCACTTAAAGAAGTACGAGCTCACTCAGTGTTAAACCGTTAATACTCAAATTGAAGAAAACTGACATACCACGTTGATACAACTGATCACTGGCGTATACTCTCATAACGTTTGGTCTTCTATGGACCATAACGGAAACTTCTTGGGAGTAAAATGTCACGTTCCTCAAGAAAACAAACAACGAAAGAGTGCTTAGTCGTTCGAATGGGAAGATAAATCATGTCGTTTACACCGTGGCGTGTACGTTAAAGACCCCCCGAAGAAGAATAGACTTATTCTCCAGTGACCGGGAATTTTTTTCCCCAAACAATGTACAGGTTAGCGCAGCAAATAGCCATATGTTAGTCTCAAAATGACGAAGTTTTGTTTTGAAGAGACGTTAAACCCAAACTCATTCATTTCCAGTCATATTTAAAATGCTACGTGTTCACGTGTAGTATTTATTTTTTTTCTTTTCTTCATTCTAGTGGCCATAAAGGCAGAGACGTCACCTTTTAACGGCTGGTTGTTACAAGTACGACGTGTGGATACCAATATGACTGTAGGACGCTTTATCTCGGAACCAGATGGAGCTAAACTAGTATCTTGTAACGGACAGAACAACGCTATAACACATAGCAACAGTTACAGTTTCCCTAACAACACTCTTATAGCGAAATGGCTGGCCCCAGATACTGACGTTGGTGATATCATTCTTGTGTAAGTACTATTCGATCGCAATAGTTTTGTAAACACTACCAAACATCTAACCGGCTTCAGATATTAAATATTTAAGCTGATCCCAATACCAAACAACTAACCTGCTCCCAATACCAAACAACTAACCTGCTCCCAATACCAAACAACTAAGCTGCTCCCAATACCAAACAACTAAGCTGCTCCCAATACCAAACAACTAACCTGCTCCCAATACCAAACAACTAAACTGCTCCCAATACTAAAAACCTAAGCTGCTTCCCATACTAAAAACCTAAGTTGCTCCCAATACTAAAACACTTAACATGTTCCCAATACTAAACACCTAACCTGCTCCCAATATAAACCATCATTTGTCCTGGCTCCCAATGTAAAACATCTGGCATGCTCCCAATACTAAACATCTAACCTGCTCACCAAGGATTATGTGTCGGTATCGTAATATCCCTGGATACGCACCTGTACGGAACGCCGTAGCTGTCTTGTGTTGAGATTTTAACTGAGTGTCTTGTCTTGTTAAAATGGTATCGTATCTTCTCAAATTACCATGAAGTCTTCCTCACTAAGTATCAATCTTCTTAAGTGTTATGGTATTTTGTCATTCGGTCATTCTATAATATTATGTTAAACTAACATGTTATCTTGTCTATACACCATGTTAACTTCTCTACATGGCGTGTTATCTTCTTAAACGGACATGTCAGCTTGTCCAAATGGTGTGTTAACTTCTTTAAATGGTGTGTTATCATGTCAGCTACATGGCGTGTTATTTTGACACTATACGATACCATTTTAACAAGACAAGACGCTCAGTTAACTAGACATCACGAAACATCTCAACATAAGACAGCTACGGCGTTCCATACATCTGTACCCTACGAACAATATTTATCGTCAACATGTAATCAAGTAAGCGCCTCTAATGTTCACAAAAAATAATAACAAAATCAATAACAATCATAATATGACATGGGGCATTATTCACGAAATTTTAACTAAGATAAAATCAAAATTTTAGTTATTTGATTGGATAATATTAGATTGATTTTAGTGCTTAGCCAATCAAAACTGAAGTATCTACAATCTATGTTCTACCGGGGCGCTTAGTGTTTTAGAAATTCAAAATAGTTTTTCAGCGACGCGCATATGTGAATTGGGATTGTGGATAGCGCCTTAGATTTGTAACTGCCCCTCCCCTATTCCCAGCACCTGACCCGCTGAGTGCACACCATACCCATGCGATGTTTTTTTTTTTAAATCAATCGCCAATACAAAATGGTAATTGTCTACAAACTAAACCCAATGATCTTTATCAAACAAAGATTAATTAACCACGATGGTTAGTCGGCGATGGATTGCCAGACAGTAGTGCATTATAACCGGGGACAATCGGTCGGGTTGCATAAACTACTGCAAATTAGTAATTATTCATCGGCGATGGAAAAACCCGTCAGAGATAATTTGATTTCACCAAAAACTGACTTCCATACAATTATAATAACATACTAACGTTATTTTTTGTTTATAAATGTTGCCTCCAGGCTGATTCGTGACAAACAAATCAGTTATAAGAACAATAGTTTTATAGATGAAATGACATGTGTATCATTTATCATATTTAAAAAAAAATGACATTATTGACATGAAATAATTAGTAATTTGTAATGTGTCCCGGTACAGATTGATATTTATCCATTAATATACCATAATATACTCCCGCCTTCATTAGCCCAGTGGGTATTTAAAACTAGGGTTCAAAACCCTATTTTATTTCCTTACCAGAACGGAACCGCGATCAGTTTATATATGTTTTCATTTTGTTTTATTCTAATATTTATGGGCGCGTCTATTACTCACAAGTGGAGCAGGCATGTAACTAGGGGTGGGGTGGGGCGCAAAAAGTCCCCCCCCCCCGTGAAAAAATTGTCGACGATGAAAAAAACCCTAGATATACAGTATCCGTCAATTTTACAGCACCCCTGAGAACGGTTACCCATCCTCCTCGTTGCTCTGGGCCAGTTACGGCCCTGAATATTTATGGGTGAGTCTATTACTCACAAGTGGTGGTTTTAACTATTCATATCTATAATCTCGCATGTTTAATATTTTACAGAGGGACAGTTTTAAAAGATTACAGTACATTTTGGGGACCACTAACATCTAACCATGTCTCCCCTACTCCTCCTCAACCATCAACAACAACAACTACGACCACTGAACCAACAACAGCCACACCAAGCTCAACAACTACCCAAACAGCACCAGTAACAACAACCTCCCCAACAACGACGATACCAACTACAACTAATTCAACAATTTCCCAGTCAGAGTCCTCTTCTACGACATCATCAACACCTTCAACATCAGTACCGGCTCAACCCACAACATCCTCAACTGTTCAACCCACAACATCCCCAACTGCGCAACCAACATCTTCAACTGTTCAACCAGCAATATCCTCAACTGCTCAAACAGCAATATCCTCAACTGCTCAACCAACAACTGTAAAAATAATCTCGACTCAAACAACCACAAGAAAACCAACAACCACACAACCCACAACAACTACGTCGACGTCAACACAGCCAACAACAGCTACATCTAGTCAACCATCTACGACTCAAACAACAGTTAAAATTGACCAAACCACAACGGCTACAAGAGTATCGAGCTCTACCACGAAAGAAGAAATTCCGGTATCTGTCACATCAAATATTCCAAGAAGACCGACTACACAATCTTCAACATCGGGTAAATATTGAACGTTCTGTCGTAAATCTAAATTATACGATGCACTAAGTCAGTGACGGATCATGAGTTCGCCGGGCCCTGGGGCAGCCTTGCTAACGGACCCCAGTCACAAGATGACATCTGGGGAAGGGGTGGTGCTCTCTCATCTCGGGCTTTAAAGGGGCCGGGGGTCCTCCCTCCCTCCGAGATTTTTTTTTTAAATTTCGACCTGTAGTGGCGATCTGTGGAGTATATCCTGGACGGGAAGTCATATACATAGTTCTAAGCAAAAAGAAACTATCCAGAGAGGGGGCCAGTGGGATAGGGGCCCACTCCTAGGGGCCCCATGTGCCATTGGAACATTGGCATACAGGCCAGTCCGAGCCCGATGACATCGGTTCGCGATTCTTGTTGTCAAGCGAGCTAGTTGCATGAGAAACAGTGGCCCGACGGAAATATTGGACAATTAACAAGTCCAAAAATACTATTTGGGGTTTCGGGTTATAGAAACATTTCTTATATCAACTTCCAGCTGCCAACCCACCCAACGTGGAATCGTTGGTGTCATTTTTTTTTGACCGATGCCCCTTGGTGTCCCCCTACCAAATAATTTCAAAACTCGTCGGAAAAAGCCACTCTGTCTGCACGATTTTCGGGAAATGGGTCTTTATTATTTTTTTCTACAAATTATAAAACAAATATTTTTTTTTTGGTGACCAAATCGCCAGGCCCCTTTAGGCCCCCGAGGCATTGGCCTCTGTTGCTCTCGCCTTGATCCGCCACTGCATCACTATCAGGTCGATTATTTGGGTCACCTCTGGCGTGTGTTTTTATAAACGCACTGCATAAAGGAGTTTACGTCATCCACGTGAACCGCAGACGTTTTTTTTAAATAAAATTATGACAGTCTTTATATTGTAGTGTAGAAAATCAGAACCAGAAAGACGAAACAAAATAAAAATATCATTTTAATTTGATTGTTTTTATTATTTCAGATGATTCTGGTGAAGAGGTAGATAGTGATAATGCTGGTAATTCGGCTTCCACCCCTGACTCTATATTATCTGTCTATATTATATTATCCTTGTTATCGTTATCATATACACATACATTATTTATTTAATATTATACACCATATCATCTTCTTGTTGGAAGTTATTTAAAACCATTCTTATTAGACTATACGATTTGTCACCAGCCAACATTTAATGTGGTTGTGTGATGAGGGGGAGTCACGGTGGTTAAGTGGGTAAGACGCTGACTCGCTAGTCTGGGGTCGCTTGTTTCTGGCGTTTGTTTCACTCTGTCAGTGGTGCAGGAAGGAGGGCCTGACAAGGACAGTTGTCTAGTCGTTCGGATGGGACGAAAACCGAGGACCCGTGTATACATTGGCGTGCACGTAAAAGATCCTCTGCCAGTTGGAATTCGATATAAGAGTAGGCAATAAGGCCGCTGTCCGAGCAAAATTTCCCGCAGAACACGTATGCCCGTCTTCATTATCCCAGTCGGAGCAGAACTGTAGGACGTTGAACCCCATTTCATTTTATTTTATGTGATCAGGAAACGAAATTCACAAATAAGATGTCTCGGGTTCAAATCCCGGGCGGCTGACAAGAACATGTTGTCTAATCATCCTGTCGTAGTAAGAAAACAGGTCCCGTGTACAAAATTACAGTACACGTCAACGATCCGTTGGCAGTTAAATCATTCGTCGAAACAAAAAGTCGAGATTTTTCGAGCCCGAATTTAATGGGTATAGCAAATATCAACAGTTCTGGTACGATCTCGTGGATCCCAGCAACATATTTTGGCATTTGTCTTAGAATTCCATATTCGTGTTTTTAAATCGGTTGTACGAAATCAACCGTGTCTCATTTATCAAATGTGACAGTAGAAAGTCGAGCCGTCAAGACACTAGACTCGGCCTAGAGTGTATATACCGGTCTCAAACCCCATTGTGTTCACATAAGAACCTTTAAGAAGTCATTTGGAATTCGATATTCGGAGAAAAATTTCTTACCTCGCATTGCACACGTAACCATACCAATAAAATGTACACATATCTGTCTCAAATATTGTGTTGACGAGACTTTAAACCACATTCCATTAGCGAGAGAAATGGGGTTTAACGTCCACTCGACACAAACTAGGTCATTTCGGGACTACATATGCATATGGTTCAAGTTTATTTGCGCATAGGGGTCTTTAGCAGTGGGAGGAAACCGGAGGACCCGGAGAAAACCCACCAGGTTGGAGAAAACCCACGAGGTTGGACAGGCGACCCTACTCCTTGTCACGTACAACCGGGGAATCGAAAACACGCCAGTTGACTCAATGACAGACTTTATGATACAACGCGCACGTGCTAACCACTCAGGCATCCAACCCTCCATTCCATTCCACGCTGTCTATTTGTCATCAGGTCATCTATTAGATCAACATCGAGAAGCCACAATGGCTATGTGAGTAAGACGTTGGCTCGCTAACTGGTAAGGTCCTTAGCACGGTTCCCTCTTGTCAGTGGTGTCGGGCGCATGGCCTGGCAAGGAACAACATATTTGGTCGTTCGGATTGAACTAAAAACCGAGGTCCCGCGTGCACGTAAAATCAAAGGATCTAATGATAACGATGGCCGTGGGTTTGACTTCTTTATGCCAACAATGCAGGAACACACATTAAAAGTCACTACATCTATAATTCTAGCAACCAAAACATCACACAGGAACATAACATATCATAACAGATTGTAGTCATTACGGCCATGGTCCTAATTCACGTCTGCTTCCATTGTCACATGCCTCGTCCTGTCTTGTACAGCGGTCTGCCTTATACATGTATATATTGAACTACCTGAGATCATTTATAACGATCAACAACCTTATTAGTATTTAATAACCATTTAAAAAGTATATATTAGTAGCCTTCATTTAACGGGCAATCATATAATATTATCGTGATGTAATACTATATATAATATTGACGTAATACTAAATTAATACATATGATACACCTGCCCATAAAATTGTTTTACAAAAAGAACACTAGACTGTTGGAATTTGATTGTACAGTAGGCCGTAGTGCCGCTGTCCGGGCAAAATTACTATCACAGCGCCTTGTATGGCGTATTCCCGTCTTCATTAGTCCTGTCGGGGTAGAAAAGTTCAAACCCATTTCGTTTCAGTTTTTTTCTGCAAAAACGACCTGGAAACTAAAGGGGGGTAACTCTTTTAAACACAAATTGGATCAGACTGACAATTATTTGCCAATTAACTTCAACGTTAAATGGCTGTAACATCACAGACTGGAGCTTTTTGCTCAGTATTCCGTTGGTTCCAATCTTTATAGGCATATAGGGGGACCACATTTGGAACTCTCCACCTCGTAAATTTGTTGACCATTTAGATTTTTTGCTTTGAAATGAAATGGGGTTTAACATCCTACTGTTCTGCTCCGAACTGGGCTATTGAAGACAGGTAAACGCCATACATTGTGCTATGAGGGAAATTTTGCTTGGACAGCGGCACTTCATCCTACTCTAATATCGAATTCCAACTGTCAAGGGATCTTTTACGTGCATGCCAATGTGTACACAGGACCTTGGTTTTTTGTCCCATCCAAATGACTAGACAGCTGTCCTTGTCAGGCCCTCCGTCCTGCATCACTGACAAGGGGGAACCATGCCGGAAAACCTGAATGAACTTTCTCGGTCAATGCAGGGATCGAACACCCGACCCCAAGGCTAGCGAGCCAGCATACTACACACTGTGACACCCTTTTTGCTAGGAGGACTTAACATTGACTGGGGTCAAAATATCATTTCTGACGTAACGATTGCTCTTCACAAAAGACACTTTACACCCCCTATCCCTCCGCTATATCATCAGTATTACCCAAAACTGCAAACAAATTGCCAATTTGATCCCTGTTCTCCAATTCTATACCAGAAAGTCAACCAAAAAATGCAGGAAATGAGGAGAAAAAAATAAAGAGAAAGTTGTCTATAACTTGCGCTAGTCTTACATATATAGATCAAAGAGAACTTGCAGCTTACAGTCATAAGATCATAACAAAAACTGGACCCAATACAATCAACCATTTTGGAAATGACATGCAGGAATTAGAAATGTAATTTTTTAGTTTAAAATTGTGTCTGTCATGCTGCCGAATGAACGTACCCGAGATATTTTAGCTTCTAGAAGACCCCTGTAATAATGATGTGAGACTTTTGTGCCAACTGGGAACATGACAAAAGATTTTATTTATATTTTATATCAAAACCATAAACAAACAACTCTTTATTTTTATTACTTAGTTGGACTCCATTTTTATTTCTTGAACAAAACAGTAGTTTCTGACATCTGTCCAAATCAATTCATCAATACACAGCACTTTTGGATATTTTTACATATACTGAGGACAGTTTCTAAAGATTAAACAACTATTACCTTCAGATGAACCAGCAGGTTCTGTCTATTTTATCTTCACACAAAATGGGTAATTAAATGATTTAAATATTGCATCTTTCACATAAAGTTGGATGATGATAAAGGAGCTGGATAAAGATTTCTGGGGCTACAGGTACTGTGAGCCCCCCCCCCCCCCAAATGTGTTGTGAAGTTTATTACAGATATAGTGTATTAATTGAACACTTCATTCAATATATAATTTACAGTAGTTTTTTTTTAAATTCAGCATTCAAAAACTAAACAACTCATTATTTAATCTCTGAAGCCTCTCCAACAGGCTTAATCCGGCTCCGATTTACAGACAGCCATATTCGAAAAATCAAACCAAATTAATGTTAGCCGCTTGTAAATATCGCTGTAAATAATTCTTGGCTTCCTCTTGAACTCCACTGCTGATCATCTGAGGAATTTTACCAGGGTTGGCCTTCGCCAAAACATCAAGTTGTTGAACCAGATATATTTTGGCGTCGGGGACAGCATTTCCAAGAGGATCGTGACTCTTTTTTCCAGCAAAGGCAAGTTGAGAATAAGCCGTCTGATAACCAGGGGTGTCGTCAACTTCAATAAAATGTTCATTTTCGGGCACAGAATCATCTTCAGGCAGTTCAAAAAGTCCTATCAACGCTTGAAGCAATTGAGGCCACAGAGAGATGTAATCCCCCTGAAGCATTATGGGAGCTTCCGTGAGTATTTTTGTCACACCAACAGCACAGATTTTCTTTTCCGTAGAACCGGATATTTTCTGTAAATCTTGTAAATAAAGTCTCTCGACGACCATGGAGAACATTTTCGGCTGAATGGCTTCGATCATCTCCACCAATGCTTGGGCTCCGAACTTAACGGCATACAAAGAAAAGAAAATTAAAACGCTTTTGATGTATTTAGTCGTCTTCGAACTTTGCAGTCTTTGGAAAATTAGAATAAATATTTGCTTGACATAATCTTTCAGAAGTTCGAACGGCATAAATTCAATAATGGCGTTAAGTAAATAGAAACCTTCGTGATCGTTACTTTTGGAGGCAATGAGTTTCTGGAATATTCCCAATAAGCCATTGATTCGTTCAGATTCAATTTGTTTTGCTCCTTTTTCGATATAAGATTGAAGTAATCGAACCAATGGGGGTATATTTCCCGGTCTCTCCCAAAGGACTGGGGACAGCAGATGGGCAAACAGAGCCATATAGGTGGGAGGGACTGAATCATCATGTAATTCCATCGTTAGCGACAGAATCTGGAAAACATACGGAATGAATTCTTGAACGTCGGCTTGCAAAATATCTGTGAAAGGCGTGAATAAAACTTCTTCAAAACTGGTCACATTTTCTGGATGTTTTTTACACGTTGTTCGAATGGCCACGCACAAACATTCAAACAGATAATGGTTGAAATGAGGCTTGCTAGGATTCTTACTGACCAAAAGTAACTTTCCTGTTAGACTCTTCAATATTTCCGGAACCATAGGGATGATGTTTTCTTGCAGCAAGGACATGGTTCTCATTACGGCCTTCATCACATATTCATTTTCTGTTGATCCAGGTTTTTCCATGGCTAAGAATAGATTGGTCATTAGGTTCGTGGTAAATGGTTGTAGGTCATTAATCGTAATGGCTGGCCCACCGGTCGCATTTTTCACCATAAATAGACGTTCCAAACAATGGGCTGCGTACGTATGGATAACGTTACTATTTGACGTCAAGAAATGAATCAAACTCGGCAGACTTGTAATCAGGGCTGGTTGAGGTAATTGATTCCTGAACACCATTAAATATTTAATTGCCCCTGCTTTTAAAATGGGATTTTCTTCTAAATTAGGAGATTGTAAATCGGGTAAAATTTGATTTTCGAAAAATTCAGTCATATTCACCAATCCACTTGTTTGTGTGACTCCTTGTTTTTGGGTTTGACCTTTAGCAGCAAGTGATGTAACAAGATAAATGGCAGCATCTTTATTCTTCCAATTCTGAGCCGGATTTTTCGTGTACTCTTCTAACAAGCCTTGTACATATTTTGAAAAGTTTTCGATAACGGGTCCTTCGAATGATTTACTCAAAGCCTGAACTAAATCACAGGCTGATCGTCTTCTGGTATCAACGTCCGACCCCTCAATATCTCTACGAATATATTCGTCTGCATTATCCTCAAACAATTCCTCGTCTGCTTGTCGAAGTTGTATATTTGGGACGATAACCTTTTCACAGATGCTGGCTAATGTTCCAGGATCTTCAAACAGGTGCTTATAAGATGGTCGCTCGGCAACGGAAGCAAGGAATTGAATGGCGTTACTAACCAAAAGATCATATTTCACTTCCTGTCCAGTGCTTGTGAGGAGATTCCAGGTTGACGTCACAAAGTTAGGTAGATGTGCTGAAAACTCTTCGTCGTATTTCTGGGCGTAGAGAGCCACATTGTCGCATATCTGAGATTTGACTTGTTCTAAGAGGCCAGCTTCTTCTTCATCTGCAGTTTGGAGTAATTTATTATCGGCACTAAGGAGAGTTAGGAAATGTGTCATCCATATTGTCATATTGTCTTCAAAATGTTCCGGTAAATCCTGGAAATTTAAACTGTAGAAAATTTTACAAATTAGGGAGATGGAACTGAAGATGACTTTGAGAGCTGCCGGGTCATTGGCATGGGTTTGAGCGAGTCCCATGGTAGCCACAAAAAGTTCTGTAAATGGTTTAGCAAAATTTTCAAGGACAAATTTGATTTCAGTCCATAATTCCTGTGATTTGAATTCATGTCGATAACGTTTGAAAATCGAATGGGCAGTCCTTAAGACACCATTTATAATGTGAAAGTCTCCCGTTTGAAATTTGCTCACCATCTCCGTGATAAGGTTCGGCCACTTATCCGGGAAATCTTCTCGACCGATAATACTAATGGCATCGCTTAGCTGCAACTGTATCTGTTCGGTGCTTTTTAACATAAGACCGACGATATGCTGTTTAATGGCGCTACGATCTTCCATTGGGATCTTATTCCCCGCCTCCTCGATCACCCTCCAATTTCTCTTTATAAAGTTTTTAAACGTGACAGCAGCACTGACACGGATGTGAATATCCACTTCCACTTTATCCATCAAGTGAAGCAGAAGTAGGGAATAATTATGGTTTATTTCAACGGATTCAAGGAACTTCTCTGCTTGTTTTCGGATATCCTTGTCTGGAGACAGGGTCTGTTGTAAATAACTGGCCAGTGCTTGTAAATTTGTGTCGTTGATTTCCATTTTTATTTGTTAATTAAATCTCTCTTTTAATCTTGTTGTTGATTGTTGCTGGTTGCTTCTTTAATTTTTGATTTTCGACACCAAATCTAAAAAATATATAATAAAAAAAAATAAAAATAAATGCTATACAGAAACGTATGGAGTTTAATGTCTCTTCAACTTAATACTATTATCATTTTGAGACTAACATATAATTCTGTCTGTCACAAGTGCGGGGGATCACGTGGCTAAGTGGGTAAGGCGCTGGCTCGCTAGCCTGGAGGTCGGGTGTTCGATCCCTTCATTGGCCAAGAAAGTTCATCCAGATTTTCCTGCGTGGTTCCCTCTTGTCAGTGATGCAGGACAGAGGGCCTGACAAGGACAGCTGTCTAGTCCTACGGATGACACGAAAAACTGAGGTCCCGTGTATACATTGGAATGCACGTAAAAGATCCCTTGGCAGTTGGAATTCGACATAGGAGTAGGCGATAGTGCCGCTGCCCGGGCAAAATTTCCCTCATCTCACACTGAATGGCGTATGGCCGTCTTCATTAGCCCTGGTTAGGAGCAGAACAGTAGGACGTTAAACCCCATTTCATTTCATTTCGTCACAAGTGCAATGCCTGGACATCCAAATTCCACATGTCAAGGGTTCTTTTATGTGCACACCAACATGTAGGTGGATTTTGGTTTCTTTGTTCTCATCCGAATCATTAGTCAACACTTTCCCCTGACAAATTGGACCCAGGCTAGAAAAATCTCACAGTTATTGGGCCCACCATTTTAGTTGTATATGTAATTCCAGTGCCCTAACCGATCAACTAAATGGTCCCCGCTTGTAGGAACTGGCACAAAAAAAAAACGAGGTCCAGTGTACACATTGGTGAGCATGTATGATGTAAAAGAGCCCTTGATTGCAGGAATTTGACGTTAAAGCACCAGGTAGTAGTAGTAGGAATTCGAAATAAGAGCAGGTCCAGTAAAAAAGATTTTCCTCATAGCAGTTTCAAGGCGTAGTCAGGCTGCATTTATTCAGACTTTTGAGATTAATAATTTTATGGTACCGAATCCATAAATTTCACCAAAAAGTAGCTACCTGGGGCAGTTGAGTAGCATGTACTTAAATTAAATCAAATACATCATCTTTAAAGTTTAAAGGGGTATTGATTTTCATCTACTTTCGATTTTTTCTCAAAACAAATGACTAATCGTTTGAGGAATGCATAAATTGTTATGTCATCAGAGCTGAAAGTAGATCATTTTGTTGGGGCCTATTGTTAAACTTAGAGATTAACGATTGCTCTTTTTAATTCAATCACTGTGGGGTTTGTTTTATTGAAATGATGACAATAATTGGCGCGAAAATCAGATCGACTCGATTTGAACTAAGTCGATCAGATCGGCATGGATTAACATCGGTAATACGTTTGTCGACATTTAGACCATAAAATATGGTTACAAATAAGTTCAGGCTAGTGTTCCTAAATTTAGTTTTAATGTGTGACGTGTTATAATACCTACCACTTACAAGAGAAATTAGATGTTTTATTTGGCTTTTTAATTTGTTGTTATAGCGTGCAAAGGCAGCAATCGGAAGTCCTTTCAACTTTATTAGTGACATACGCATGCGCATTAAATAAATGCGTCTAATTTCTCGTTCAGGACCCAATGGTTGATGTACTACCTGTATAGAACAATATATAACCATGGATCATCCCCGTAAAATGCAGGATTACACACCAAACGCACAGACTGAGCCACAAAGCACAAACTATAATGCAGCAATTTAGCTAAAACAGTAAAACTTGATGCACATTTTTCAGAGAAATGAATCGAGATAGAAAAATAAAAAGAAAACGACAGTGTAAATAAAAACAGATCTGGACTGACTTGACATAAAATAAAACTGTGTCCAGAAACTAAAAATAGATTGTGACGTTAGAGTTAGATCATGAGATCTATTATTGACTTAAATGGACTGGTTTCGATTCCCCGCGTGTACCTGACAAGGAGTAGGGTCCCCTATCCAACTTCGTGCCCCTCACCCCCAGCTAAAGACCCCTACGCACAATATGTTAGTCCCGAAATGACTTAGTTTATGTCGAGTGGGCGTTAAGCTAGCTCTCTCTCTCTCTCTCTCTCTCTCTCTCCACGATACGCAATGAGAAACGCACTACATCGCTTACTCACTCATTGTTGTTGTTGATGTCCATTGCTCCAGATTCACCAAGAAATGACGACTTGTATTACGACCACATCCCATGTTGGGTGGAAATACGTGTAATAAAAATTCTTTTAAAAATTGCTTGGGTCATAATAAAAATCCGAAAAATTTAGATCAAATTTGGGTGGAAATTCGAAATTATCTTTGTGAAAATTATAATTATATTAATATGGATCTGGGCGAGAATTCAAAATGAAAATTTCACTAAAAATTACTCGCGTGAAAATTCGAAAATCTAAGTATATTAAAAAAAAATTAATGGGGTGAAAAATAAAACTGACCTGGTTTAAACCTCGAAAAACTATATTAGATTATTGTGTATGTAGTGTCCCTTATCAGCCACCTTACTTTTGATTTTGTATGGCCTTTTAAAAACTCTTAACATTGATTCTGACCAGGGCCCTGTTTCTCAAAATTTTAACTAAAGATAAAATCCAAATTTTATTATAGATACTTCAAATTTGATGGGCTAAGTACTAAAATCAATCTAATATTATCCAATCAAATCACTAAAATTTGGATTTTATCTTAGTTAAATTTTCATGAAACAGGCACCAGGCCCTTAACACGCCCCGCCCCCCCCCCCCCCCCCCCGCAAAATAAATCGCCCCCTGTGACACAAATCACCGGTAGTTGATATCGGATTCTCAGTGTTTTACCTTATACAGATTTTATCCAGATTTCTGGATTTTTCACCTTTTTCAGATCTTCAAATGAGGGGTATTTTATGGTTTTCTGGTCAAATTTTTTTCAAATGAGGGGTCTTTTGAGATGAGGCTTCCCAGAGTGCAGGAAATAGCGTTTCCGACAGTCCAATTTTGCAATATATTCTCGAAACCGGAGGGAGAGACACCCGCCTGCCCCTCCCCTCACCCTAGATATAAATTGTCCGTCAATTTTACAGCACCCCTGAGAACAATTCCCACATTCCCACTCCACCCCCTCGTTACACTGATATAGTTACGGCCCTGATTCTGAGAGGCAGCGACAAGCTCGGACTTAAAATACAAATGTATAAAAATAACAACATTTTTAGCTATACGAGGAAGTGGTACAACACAAACACAAACACCAAATCTTTTCCTCTCAATTTGCAAATCCTCAAAAGAAAATGTGACAAATATGTTACTCACTTTAAGTAGGGCAATTATAGGTATATTTCTGTTTAGTTAAACCACGCAACTTTTTTTTTATTTTTTTATTTTGAGAAAGTCATGGCTAGTGTAACCTGTCCGGTATGTTAGACGCGTTTAGCTTAGTGAGTTGTGGAAATCTATTACTCATGTTTTTAAATGTAACGAGGGCAGAGTGGTTACATATTTTAAGCCAAAAAAAACTCTAAATTGTCCGTGTAAATATAACCAAAAATAGATAATGAATGAATGAATGAATGAATGAACGAATAAAACTAGTCAAATAAGTTACCCCTGTAAAACACGTTTGCACAATGAATGAATTAAACAAGCTCATTAAAGGGATCCTTGTCGAATGCCATAATGAAAGGTAGTTATAAGTGCAGGAAACCCGACAACACATTAACAATTATACCAGACAAAAACACAGACGGGGACACATTAATCTATAAATAGGGGGTGTTAAATTTGCTGCTCCGTAGATTTTGAATTATTGGAGAGAGAGAGGGGAGGGGGCGGAAACGTCCACTCGACACACACTAGGTCATTTCGGGACTAACTTATGGTTCAATTATTTTCAATAATTCACCTGTGCGCCACCCGACTCAATGACTGACCTTGTGATTTCACGCGCACGTGTTAAATCACTAGGCCCCCCCCCACCCCTCCTGCATTATTGGCTTCAACGATGTCTATGATTTCTTATTGTATGCCCGTCTTCATTAGCACACTGTCGAGTGTATGCCTGTCTTCATAAGAACACTGCATAGTGTATGCCTGTCTTCATAAGCCTTGTCGGTGCGAAATGAAATGAAATGGGGTTTAACGTCCTACTGTTCTGCTCCTACCGGAATAATTAAGACGGGAATACGCCTGCAGTGTGCCACGAGGGAAATCATGTCCGGACAGCGGCACTATGGCCAACTCTTATTTAGTGTTTCAAGGTTTCGTTTACGTACACGCCAATCTGTACCCGGGACCTCGGGTTTTCGTCTCATCCGAACGACTTTTAGTTGTCCCTTTTCAGGCCCTCCGTCCTACACCACTGACAAGGGGGAACTACGCCGAACTAAAAGTACGTCGGAAAATCCAGATGAACGTTCTCGGCCAGCGCAGGGAACGAACGCAGGACCTCCGTGTTAACGGTCCAACGTCCTACTCACTGAGACACCGTGCCCCCTTTAAATGTCTCAAAGTGTAGATGCAATGAATAAATTGCTAGCGGGTATTTATCGCTAATTAACCTGAGATTTATTGGTTTAACGGTTTTAATGATTACCCTAAAGGCGGGTATTACCAAATCATAGACGTGATGTAGACTCGATTACTAAGACTCGACTCATATTAAATGGGTTAAGATGTAGCTCACGGATGACCTCGAGAAGGACAACACCACACACAAAATTAAAATTTTGTATATGGACCAGTTTTACCCCTTTCAGTCGATACACAGAACAGAATAGAGAAACTTCTAAGTGTAGGAACGTGCATTTCGATACCGACTGATGCACATGATACGAGAGACGAAGCCACGAGCCGACCACCACAGGTTCGAACTTTCTAAGGAGGTTTCCGGAGGTCCCGGAGAAAGTTTTGTATCTAGAGTCCCTTAAATTCCACCCCTACATTTACGCGTCTGCCCATGTGAACATTAACGAAAAAAAACATGGTAATGCACGTTTTTTTTTCCATGTTTGCGTAACTCCCGTTTCTTGAAATCTTCGTTACACATTTATCGTAACAATGATCTCTGTATTAAAATTGTATTTGGAATGTGTTTAACCAGATCTATCACATATGTGATAATGACTGACACCAATATTGTCCTTTAAAGGAGATTACCCATTTTATTCCCCTGACTTTTTATGGTTGTCTTTCGCGGTATTTTTCTATCAACAATATTTGGGTACGATGTATAGATCTCGAAAAAATGTATTTATATAGTACAAATTCTGTTATGACTTTCATAGATCATTGTGTTAATAAATTAATTATTTTTTAACAAATGAATAAGATACCTATCAAATATTGTAAATTGACCATTTAAAACGCGACAATCTAGCCCATGGCAAACACGCCTCTGGATCTAGTCTAGATCATCTAGATATTAAACCTACCCTTCCCTGTATGCTTAATGATACTTCGCCCAAACTGGAGGCTAAAATCAGCCGTCGTGTGACTGTTTGGGTTTGACATTTTGTTTAAATATACGATAGGATTAAAACCGAGGACTTGGCTTGTTCTGTAAACTAGAGACTACATGTGAAAACCTGTGTGTGACAGTCGTTCAAGGACTTAATTAAATTCGCGAATAAATTCGAAAAGAAAAGAAGAATAGCCCATATTATTATTATTGTGGATATGTATTAGTTGAAACAGGTTCTTTTGGTTCTGTTTTAAAAACTATTTCTGGTGATAAGAAGAATCAAAGTTGAATTCCAGGGAGGACTGAACTCGGAATTAAGAGTTTGATAGGGGTTGATTTTAAAGCTTTGTGGCGCGACTGCTCTGTGTTTTTATAGGACAATTCTATGTTATTTTTAAAAGGACTATTCGGTGTTATTTCACAAAGGTTCGTGTATTTTTAGTGTCTAGAAAGTTATATATTCTGGAAATAAACATTGGGATTTGACTTCAATCCATAAAAACTATATTTCAAAATTGGATAACATATTTAAATCAGTTTACATTTCGTAACAATTATGTTCGTCGTTTTAGACCCAAGATGCTTTAATATGTTCGTGGTTTATTTTCTCGGATTATTGACTGTGTTGGTTGAAAGTTATCCTACCGGTGCTCCACCCAACTCGTGTGGTAACCTGTTGCCACATCATCATGGAACTTCGCCCCAGGAAACACAAGCACCTTATACGTTCTATCTTGAGGGTAACACATATACCCCACAAACCTCTTTAGTCGGTAAGTTCCTTTCACACACAAATGTATCACTTATATTCTGCTTCCTGTAAACTAAGGGAGTTAAAATTATTTCATTTTACTTTTGGGGGACGATATTTATTGTAGTATTTGGAAATAACATGTATATAATTGTAGTATAGGGTGACTCAAAAAACCAGAACCCATACAAATTTTATTAAATCCTATAACAAAGGTCCTGCAAATTTAACGAAACTTCAGTTTGTGTACGCTCATTCCCCAAAGTTTCAGTTATCCGGGTGGCTTTGCACAAAAGTCGTGTATTTTCCAAATATACCCCAAATGGTCTCCACGGCATTGGAAACAAAGTTGCATGCGTCAGGAAAAATTGTTAATTACTCGAACACATTCTTCTTTGGGGATTTCCCTGATTATGTCAATGATAATGTGTACCAGAACAACCCTCTAGCGATTAATGAACTGAAGGCAGCAATCATAGCAAAAATCACATTGTATTTGAAAATATGTGTAGGCCTATAATTCTAATTATAGCAACGTAATCCGCAACGGAATCACAAACTTTCCGATTTTTTTTTAAACGTCCTTGTTTAGTACGCACCTTTGTGAGACCAGCTCGTGGTTGTTTAATGTCTGCTTCCTGTTGAATGTTAGGGAATCATCAAAGCTAAAGCCACCCATATAAACCATGTTATATAATTAATTATATTATGAAATGCCACCTGCCGACACGCCTATTCAGAAACTTGCGTGGATATGGGGAGGGGAATAAACCCGAAAGATACATTTCCAACACGTCATGCTTGAATTTTCCCGAAAAGGGTTCTTCTAACAAATAGATTTCAGTAAATATTTTATTTTTTGGTTTGGTTATATATTATTATGTACAAACAGACTAAATGCACAACATGTAGAACAGTCTATATGATAACAGGTGAAATGGAAATGAAATGGGGTTTTACGTCCTAGCCAACTGTTCTGCCCCGACTGGGCTTATTAAGACGGACATACGTACGACATGCAGTGTGTTATAAGGGAAATTTTGCATGGACAGCGGCACTACGACCTACTCTTATATCGAAATTCCAACTGCCAAGGGATTTTTTACGTACACAGGAACTAGGTTTTTCGTCCCATCCGAATGACTATACGTTGTCCTTTGCCAACATGTACAACATGTATAACAGACTAATATGTACGATAAGAGATGAAAGTCTATCATGAGATTATATAACTAACCCTCCAGGCTAATGTACAATATGTAATTACATTTTGATTGATTATGTGTATATTCTCATTAGGCGTAAACATGAAGTCTTTAATAAAAAGATTTATAATTTTACTTTTCGGGTTTTTCTCCATCACAATATTCCAAAACGGTAACGCGGTTCCATCTCAATAATGGCGTTATCTTTAGACGAATACGTCTCAAGGAAGAGAGATAGTCATCCCACAAAATAATCAACTAACAAAATCCAATGAACTTCTTTACAGACGTAAATCTAAAATGTTTAGCCATTTACATGCCTGTGTCTCTTCAGCAAACATGTCACGTCACTATATGCTTATGATTCTAGATAACGATAATATTATCTTTTCTTCCGGGAACCACGGTGGCTCAGTGGGTAAGGTGCTGGCTCGCTAACCCAGAGTTCCTTGTCAGGGTGCAGGCCAACGGAGGTTCTAGCAAGGAATAGCGTCTAGTCGTTCGGGTGGGACGAAAAAACGGCCACGTGTGTACATTAGCGTTTGCTGTCTGGGCAAAAAAATAACATTTGGAATTCAGTTGCTGTCCGAGCAAAATTCTCCCCATAGCACATTGTAGGACGTTAAACCCTATTTTAATATTTCATTCATTTATCTTTTCCTTCAGTTTCTGTATTTGGTAGTCCAGATTTTCTAGCCTTCATGATACAAGGACGTCGTAGTGATACGGGAGCGCCAGTTGGAATGTTTGTAAAAATTCCCACCAATACTAAATATATATCATGTGATACAGAACAAGATACTGTTACCCATAGCAACCCGACGCCCAGAAATATCACACAGTTTATATGGATGCCACCAAAAGAAAATGTCGGAGAAATTATTTTCAAGTAAGTGTAGATGAATATATGTAACCCGTAAATGAGCTAAATCTCTAACTCAATATTTTCCATAATATTCGAAATTAAAAACACGAATTAGAATTCAGTATTGATCCATTTCAATCAATATTGATGTTGTTATCTTGCCGTGGAAATATGGGATCCTAATATCCAATATTTAAGACACAATTTACATTTTATAATCAGTACACGAGGCGTATTTCCTATGGTTTTGGGTATCATTTTGTAATATAGAAGTAATTAGTAAAGGGTGATTCACAAACGACAAAATAATAATAAAAAACGTAAACGACTGCCGTTCAATTTGAACTGTCACGTATTTCACCAAACATAATTGATTAGAAATTACAATATTTTTTTTCAAAAATCGATAATAAATCACTTCACATTAAGCATTCATATTATATTAATTCGTGCTTTTAGAACCATTTTCGTTTATTTCAAGGTTCCAAAAAATTACGCCTTTTAATTTAGCTGTTGAGTCGTGGTAGTCGAGTGTTAAGAGCACTAACCGCTCCAACATGGATTGGGGGGGGGGAGAAGGAGCCTGCGAGTATGGTTGGCTCCGTGGGCCTCTAAATAAATGAATGTCTCACGTAGCCTAATATTTACTTTGCAGGGGTAGTGTGGCCAGAAGTAAATCTTTATATTGGGGTGTTCTAGAATCTAAACCTATAAAATACAGTAAAACAGCACCCACAGGTTAGTTTAAACAGATCTATTCGTTCTGGGACGATATAATTAATCAAACTAGAATATAACCCGTTGATTAGATGATTGAAATAAAGACCCACCGAGCAGGCTCTATAGAAATGAAATGGGGTTTAACGTCCTACTGTTCTGCTCCGACTGGTCAGCGGCATTATCTCATACTCATATCGAATTCCAACTGTCAAGGGATCTTTTACGTGCACGCCAATGTATACACGGGACTTCGGTTTTTCGTTCCATCCGAACGACTAGTTAGGGGTCCTTGTCGGGGTCTCCGTCCTGCATCAATGACAAGGGGAAACCACGTCTGAAAATCCCGATAAACTTTCTCGGCCAATACGGGAGAGGACATTATACTTAAGTTTATATTCTTACTGTACATATAACGACGAAAACCCACCAATTTCTGATAAGAGGTTTGCGAGAAACAGTCACTTTTTCTTCTCCCTTGCACCTTTAGTAAACACCCGTACAATACAATATAAACACTTGAATTTAGGGCATAAGTCAAAGACATGCTCTTCCAACCAGTCGGATTTACTTATATAGGCTTGACAGACTGAAGCCTAGGTCCAATCTGTTTCATAGAGGTATTGTGAAAGCCTTCTTATTTGTAGAGGCCTAGCGTATACTCACTGCTGATGAGTATATATATTTTTGACACGCATCCTCGGAGTTCTAGTTGTTCGGGTGGAATATTCTAGGCCTTATCCTCATTTAAATATGACAATTCTCTTAACGTTGTGTTCGGTATTTCATTCCATCCGAACGACTATACATTGTCCCTTGCTAGCCCCCCCCCCCCCACATCCCCGCCCGTTCTAAACCACTGACAAGGGGGGAACCACGCTGAAAAATCCAGATGATGCAGGGATCGAACACGGGGCCTCCACCGTGGTTCCCGATATTACAGTAAGAGTATTGAAACATTGCATGTAATAAAGTACAAGGGTACAAGGTACTCAATCCAGAAAGTTGTGTTATAATGAAGTGATATACTTCTACATCTAAATGTCATTCAAGGGTAATAACATTGTAATTGTTTTTTTTATGAAACCTATATATTTATATTTTCAGGTGGATCGGGTTCGTCAAGACCAACTTACACCAGTTTATCGTCCATATTAATAATTATGACAATGTTTATCTCCAGCTTGTTAACATTTTAATAAATTATAGAAACTAAATACAGCTTAATCCAGAAAATCTGGTGCTTATTCTGGATCTGTGGGTTTGTGACGGGTGATGTCCTTCTACCGAAAGAGCCGTATTAGGACCATGAATTGATGCTATGCAATAGAAAATAGTAGTAAATACCACGTATTATATAATTTTGTAAAATATATTGTTTTGGTCATTTTAATTGACCAAAGTGAATTTTGGCCCTATATGGTTTATTGCCGTTACGACCACATCTCAATAGTAATATGACTTGGTAAATACCCATTCACATAGTGCAGTAATAGTAAATACTAGTAATATTACTTATATTACATTGTGCAGTAATAGTAATATTACTTATATCATGTGATGCAGTAATAGTAAATACTAGTAATATCACTTATATCATGTGATGCAGTAATAGTAAATACTAGTAATATCACTTATATCACTTGGTAGTAGTAATATTGCTTATATCTTTATGTGAGACATTATGAATACCAAATGTAGTTGTTAAAGTTGAAAAATGTATATATACACTAAAATGTAAAAATATTTATTTTATTTCAAATAAACCATGTCAAAATACCAACCAATTACTACAGATCAACATATTATTGAAGTACTGGTAATAAGTACATCAGTCCATTGAAAGCAGCTAAACCCATTCATTAATGCTAGGTTCCCACTATCATGATTCAAGCTATGATTGAAATCGGGTGGGGGGGGTAATAAAATTGAACCATATTTTAGTCTCGAAATGACCTAGTTTGTGTCGAGTTGATGTTAATCCCCCACCTCTCTTTCTCTTGGTTGAAATCGTGGGGTAATCGTGGTGATCCTATCAGTTCTCATCATATATTGTGGCCAGTCGTAGCAATTGTGTTGATGGTATGGAAACGTATCCAAACGTATCGATTGGCCCATCCTATCGTAACGCATCGCACGACAGTGGCAACCTAGCATTAGATGAAGTATTAATTGGTTGATCTGATTTGTTATTGCAATTTGTTTGAACACACAATCGATTTCATCTCAAAATAAGCTTTATCATGTGTCATCAGGCAAAACATATCACACAGCAAAATCCAAGCAAATGTGCATTTTAGACCCAGCATAAAGAAGGAGTGCCATTTTAATTCGTTTACAGGATGGATGTAAAGATGGCGATGTATATGACACACCTGTGGCTCATAATTGCTTTCGACCCATCTCACCTGGAAAAAACTCATGCAATCAATTACTGATTCATTTTCTAATGCGAAAAATGTAATCACAAATTGCAGTAACATGAGGCAAGTGTTGATGTGGCCATGGGATGATGTTACTCTCTCAAATCTCAATAGTGGCTGTGGTATTAAAAGGACTTAGTTTACTTCTCCTTGGGTTCACTTCACTAAGGGGTGTAAGTATAAAAATAAAGATGTATATTTTTCACTGAGAAATTTCAAATTATGGTCGACTCCACATGATATTTGATGACAACGTTGACATTTAGTGTTGTTTAAAACACAATTTACTACATAAACCCAGTTTTTCTTTACAAATTTTTGGATCTTTTCCGAATTTTATAACAATAAAATTCATGTATCTAAACTCTTTTTGTAGGCCTTTACAAATTTGTGGATCTCTTCCTAACTTTATAAAAATAACATTCACATATCTAAATGATTCTTGTAGGTCTTTAAAATTTGTGGATCTCTTCCTAACTTTATAATAATAACATTCACATATCTAAACTCTGCAGGCCTGGTAATCTGTCATCTTGGTTTTTCTTTACAAATTTCTGGACCTCTTCCTAGCTTGAAATTAATAACATTCACGTTTCTAAACTCTTCTTGTAGGCCTCGTAATCTGTCATCTTAAAATAAGATATTTCTGTCTCGTTCACTGAAAAAAAAAAAAACCCATTTCTTAAAAAAAAGTTGCCAACAAAAATAACACAAGAGACAAACAGACGATAATATTCACGAGGGTTCTGTGTAAAGGAACTTAAAATGTTGGAATTTCTAACGTCCCATTGCGTTATTTTAGTACAATAGGAATCCTTTACAAACTACAATACTGTGAAAGCTGAATCCCTAAAAGTGATATCATCCAAAAATAATTCAATTCTGTTCAGTATTAAAAAGATATGTTGAATTGAAATTTCATCTATGCTGCTCGCTATGTTATAGTTATAAGCCTGTCGCCATTTGGTTGTATAAAAAAAATTCCAATTATTGCTTTTACTATGAAACATGTAAATTTGAAATTTCTGTTTATTGGAGTAAAGGGGTGGGGGGTCAGATGTGCGTTACAAATCACCATCGAATCCCTGATTTTTCTAAATTTTCTCAGATCGTCCTAAACATATATCTTGTGTCGGCCACTGATACTTTTAGCAATATAAAACAGCCCTTGTAGTCTTATATATCTGTCCACTTTGGGTCTATTTGTAGAGCAGTAACATGACTATTTGTAATACTACCTCAACTGTTTTATTCCTTCAGGGCTATTTATCTACGTCATTAACCTTACGTATTAGTAATTATTAAAAACATTGAACATTGATCAATTTGATAAAAACTGATACTGACGACAAGTTAGGTCATTAAATACAATTTCATTACCTGCTAGCTTAAAATAAAACAGGTTTTGTGTGTGTATTTTTTTTTTGTTAATTATTACCTATGTATCAAAGAGGAAGTACACTACACCTACAAGGAAAGGTATATGGATTAACATCTAGTCCACATCACAGTACCTCTATCTTAAAATAACTAGCTAGACCTCTTCAATTTAAATTATTTCAATGGCATTCAGTAATTGAACTGGAATATACAGGTGACAATTCTATGGAATACAATTACCGTTTATTCCTAAGCGAAGTTTCTACCAGGCCTGATTATGACTAGAGAAGCCTAGTTGAAACGTCGCTCAGTAATAAGCAGTAATTGTATTCCATAGAATTGTCACCTGTATACTCTTCAATTTAACACTAAACTAAGATTGTTGGTTTCATTGGATTTTATATATGCTGATTTGTTTTGGGGAACGATGATCTGTCTTTCTTGAACATTTTTCGATAATGGATGAAGCCAGTGTTAACATACATGTACCAGTATAAACAATTTTGTATCCATGTTTGACAAAGTAAGTGGAGTGGAATGGAAGGCTGAGGCTATACTTCTAGTCCCTAGGGCGAAATGAAAGACTGAGGCCAAACCTCTAGTCCCTGTGTTGGAATGAAAGGCCAAGGCTGTACTTCTTGTTCCTGGGGCGGAATCAACGACTGAGGCCATAACTTTCATTTTTTCATACAATCCAATGCCTGCCTCTTATTGTTTGTTGATTTGATGTTCAACGATATTCAACATAAAAGATCCCCTTTAAATGACATGTTCTCTATAATACATACCAATACCATTATCAGCCAAAGATTTACCAGTTTTTAATATTAATATTTCATCATTGATTGTATTAATTACTGGATCATTTGTCTACAATAAAAAAAATTATATAAAAATAAAAGATAATCAAACATTATATTACCTAAACTGGAGGAAAGGTGAGGAGAGGAGGAAGGGTGAGGACAGGAGGATAGGTGAGGAGAGGAGAGAAAGAAGGGTGAGGAGGAAGGGTAAGGAGAGGAGGATGTGTGAGGTGAGGAGGAAGGGTGTGGAGAGGAGGATGTGTGAGAAGAGGAGGATGGGTGAGGAGAGGAGGGTGGGTGAGGAGGATGGGTGAGGAGAGGAGGAAGGGTGAGGACAGGAGGATGGGCGAGGAGAGGAGAGGAGAGGAAGAAGGGTGAGGAGGAAGGGTAAGGAGAGCAGGATGTATGAGAAGAGTAGGGTGGGTGAGGAGGATGGGTGAGGAGAGGAGGAAGGGTGTGGACAGGAGGAAGGGTGTGGACAGGAGGGTGGGTGAGGAGGATGGGTGAGGAGAGGAGAGGCAGAAGGGTGAGGAGGAAGGGTAAGGAGAGGAGGATGTATGAGAAGAGTAGGGTGGGTGAGGAGGATGGGTGAGGAGAGGAGGAAGGGTGTGGACAGGAGGAAGGGTGTGGACAGGAGGAAGGGTGTGGAGAGGAGGGTGGGTGAGGAGGATGGGTGAGGAGAGGAGGAAGGGTGAGGAGAGGAGGAAGAATGAGGAGAGGATGTGTGAGAAGAGGAGGGTGGGTGAGGAGAGGTGGATGGATGAGGAGAGGAGGGTGGGTGAGGAGAGCAGGAAGGGTGAGGAGAGGAGGAGGGGTAAGGAGAGTAGGAGGGGTGAGGAGAGTAGGATGGGTGAGGAGAGGAGGAGGGGTGGGGAGAGGAGGAAGGGTGAGGAGAGGAGGAAAGGTGGGGAGAGGAGGAAGGGCGAGGAGAGGAGGAAGGGTGTGGAGAGGAGGATGGGTGAGGAGAGGAGCAATGGGATGGTTTTAAAGTCTTATAAACAGACAGCAGCATTTATGCCTTATCAAATTCCAACTGTCAAGGGTTCTTTTAGGTGCAGTCAATGCGTACACGGGGGGGGGGGGAGACCTCAGGTCAGCCTCGGAACGACGGGCAGCATTCTGTTCGTACTATCCCAGGATATGACTGTGTATATATTCACACCAAGAGGCCAGTATTCGATGTGACGATGTGACCACTTTTAAGATATGATCACTCATACAACTAAATCTAGAGTGATTTGAAAGCTTTAATTTACAATGTTCAGGACAGGAAAATACACCAAATGTGGTGTTTCCCCCTTTCTTTAATCAATAATCAACAAATTGTAAGTGAGTTTATGAACCCCTACCACTATCCCAAAACTGAGTAAGAATTAACCCTTCAAAAGAGGAAACTATTTGGGTCTTGCTCTGGTGTATTGGGGTGAATATTACCTTAAATCCAAATGGTTTATGAGATATCTTCAAGGTATCTGTAAAACAAACAAATGTAATAAATTATTTTAAAATTCTGTGTCTGTGCATGCAGGAAATCATATGGAGAAAAGCTGGGCGAAAAATAACACAATTATATTATGTACTATCAATGTTAGGTTTTTTGTCATTCAATGACGTGTCTGTAAAAAAACAATAATCAACGATCCAATAGCCCACTGATATAACAAGCCAATGTGTCTTATTGCCACAATGACCTGCCTTTTACAGATACCCATTACTCCAGTTTTACATCAAATCATGATCAGTTTCAGATGGAATTTGAATTTGATTGGTTGAAATATGTTTGTGTAAAATGTGAGTATTTATCTTACCATATTTGTATTTTTTAAAAGGTGGAGGTAACTCTGTTCTATTTGGTATGTCTGTAATTAAAATAAATACCATATTCATTATCATTAAATCAACATAGATCAATAAGTTAATCCAATAAGTTATAAACTGCTGATTGAAGTGCACATGTTTGCAAGTGAATGGATAATACCTTGGGCCAAACCATGCTCCGTACTGCCCTGGGGTTGCATCTAGACACTCAGGTTAGACAACTGGGCAATTTGCTGATTTGTTCGAATAGGTTAGGCAGAAAGGTTAAATTACTGATTGAGGTGTATAGGGTAGACAGACAGCATTGAATTACTTTTTCATTGACAAAACTAATAAACCTTGTAAAAATCTTGTTGACTTGGATTTAAAAATGAAAATATTTGAAATATCAGAGGATCTGGCTTGTCTAACCTCTGAATTACACACACATCAACCATAATCTGACCAAATGAAATGAAATGAAATGAAATAGGGTTTAACTTCCTACTCCGACTGTTCTAATGAAGACGGGCAAATGCCATACAGTGTGCTGTGAGGGCAATTTTGCATGGACAGTGGTGATATGGCCTATTCTTATATAGAATTCCAACTGTTACGGGTTCTTAATCTTTTACATGCATGCCAACATCTACACAGGACCTCGGCATATACGTTGCCCCTTGCCATCCCCTCCCCCGTTCTGCACCAGGGGGAACCACTCCGTAAAATCCTGTTGAACTTTCTCAGCCAAAGCTCATCTGGGATCGAACACAGGACCTCCTGGTTAGCGAGCCAACGTCTTACTCAGTGAGCAACCGTAGCAGCGTATAAAAGAAAATTTTACTAGATTAGAAGGCAACAATATACCATTGTTTATCATGTCTATGAAAGTCCCAACTTGTTGACTGGAATCCACATCACGATATACGATATGTTTTATATTCCGATGTTCAAATGATCGAATAAGTCTAATGGTTAATGTGATATTTGACATAATTATAATGCCGAGTAACTGATTAAATGCCAAATGCCTTGAAATGGTCCCTTAAAAATTGTCTTCGCCTGTTTGTTTCGGTCATGGAACGTCTCCGTTACCGGTATGTTATGCGTCGAATTTGTCTGAAGGCAACATCAATCAATGTTTCCACAGAAACACGAATTTAGAACATTTTAAACGGCACACATAATTCATTTACAAATGAATACACAGAAATAGACACGTGAAGAAAATTCTACTTTTACTTTGTTTTTAGGCCATATTTGGATTTTCATATTGAGAACAAACGAAACGAAACAATATCAAAACCTGGCTCAACAAATCTGTACCTTTTGTTTATAAAACAGAAATAGTGTTTGGGCTCAAAAATGAACAGTTAACGATAATTATTTATACTTTAATGAATGAAAATATCAATAGTGATGTTGCGTTTCGGTATATGCTAGATAGGCAGCATTGTCCAGCCACAATCACCAAACGCGTATAAACACATTTGCAGGTCCCCTTAAAATCTGCAAAATACGCAAACGCAATATAATTAAAACTAAATAACATTACCGTACATTTATTTGGTTGACAACGCCATTAACATATTTCATGAAACCGCGTTCTTGGCCGACGGGACCCAATCATAATGTGTCTTTATGGGCAATAATCGGATTAAGAGGCATGACATAATTTTGGAACCTGTTGATTTTTGCCGCATTTAAGGCATCTGTGACATTCATATAGGAGCACAGTTTGTGTCACTGGCGTACACAATGATCTTGATATAAAAAACACGGTTGGAAATAAATATTATTTGTTTTGCGGGCCATTAAAACTTATTTTATTTAGCAGGATGGTACGTTTAATTGCGATTTGCGATACGGGGTCTAAGCATAGCTGTTTCATCATGGACCTTTACATTATAAGGTCCATGGTGTCATGAACTCAAACTTCCGATACCCTAGTGCTGAAGGAAACATCGGGTGCCTTGACGTCCTCGACTACAATGTATCCGGGGCATGGGTTATATCCGGTAAAGATTGCAGGGGATTTCACAAGTTTTGTAAGCCTTTTATTCACAGCTGCATTGTAAGATTTTATTAATAACACAGATCTAAAATTAGAACAAGTCACAGAGAAGTATATAGATTGCAAAATTATCGCCACACTGTCAAATCATTAGATATTTATACAGAAAGAAGAACGTAAGTTGTATTGTGTCAATTTATGGAAAATAAAATCGGCCAAAAATCATGTTTTGTTGAACTTTTTGGACAGTTTTATTAATACTAGGGAAAGACAGTTTACAGATTACTCGATATTTAGTGGTGTTAAATTATTGATTAATACTAGATATTTAGTAAATATCTGTCAACAAAATTTGATGACAGTCTGTAATTTAGAAATAAGATACCGGTAAAGTTAAAAAAATAAAATGTGGCATGTTGAAACTGATGATTGACGGGTTCTTCTTTCCACATCCATTTATAATAGGCAGTAGTAAAACATTTGGGTTTTTACTAAATTGAGAAAATATGTAATTTTCAAACTTTTGAAATATTTTGATTATCTGTGAGTCTACAGTCAATCCTGGTTTGAATGACGGAGAAATAAGGCGAGTCAGTGTTACCAGGCTGTAAGTCGTTGCTAAGGAGGAAAAAAAACCTTTTTATTTTAAATCTCTCTGGCTCAAACCTGCATTACCCAAGTTTTGGATAATCCTCGCTTAAAAACAACTTGATTCACCTAATAAATTATTTGAGACGTATTAAGATACTGGTTTTAGATTGTAAAGCAGTCAGAAAGCAGACAGACCATATACAGTGTGCTATGGAGAAATTTTTCCCAGACAGCAGTGTCCCTACCTATTCTTCATTGTACTCCAAGTTCTGTCAAGGGTTGTTTTTATGTGCATGCCAACGTGTACACAGGTCACTGTTCCTTGCCAGGTCTCTCTGTCCTGCACTCTACATACAAGTGGGGAAACACTCTGACAAATCCAGAGGAACTTTCTAAGACAAAACCCAGCCTGAACCCCCTCCTACGTTTTAGCACCAACAGGGTTAATGGATCGAAGACAGGCATACACATACATGTACATCGAATTCAACCTGTCAAAAACTAACAAGCACATAACAAGTACATGGCTGGACCTCGTCATTTTGTGCCGTCAGAATAACTGAGGAACTTTCTCGATGTCATCCCACGAGTTCCTGGCCATGGTCATGAGCCAGCACTCAACACAACAATTACTGAGCCGTGCCAATGAAAGATGTAAGTAGAACTGAATTCTTCTACATACATTGTATATGTCAGTGATAGACTTCAACATAGATCAGGTAACTAGGAGCTCTAACTTTTACAGTTGGAAGAATAAAATGACTTCTTTTTTTTTGCAGGTCGACAATTTCCAGCTTAGCAACTGATATTCAATCAAAATTTTCAACAAAGAATATAAAAAAGAAGAAACAAAGAAAACAAAAATTGAGTTTTGTCGAGAAGAAAAACCAACAATCAGTTGTGGGACAATGAACAACGACTACGACGATGTAGACTCATTTTCCCTGTACTTCCAGCCTTATTCACAGATAGCCCCTAATAACCAGGCTTACACAGACTACAATCCTAATTATCAGAACCAAGGGTATTATGTTCCCCAGAATGGTAAGTTTAAAGGAGCTAAATCGCTAACATTTGGGACCTAGAAATTGACAAAAGTGGGTCGCAACACATATAATACTGTAATATGAATGTATATAAACTGATTTACATTCAATGGTTTCCGTTTTTACTCCAATTTCAAATCAGTTATGTTCGGCGGAATAAGCCAGCAGTCTCAATCGAGTGCAAATTTCTAGCGTCTGGTTATTCCAGTCTACATACGCCGTTCGATTTGGTGCAATGTGTCTAGCCTCGTCCCTCGAGTCTCTTTTTACAACTGGGGCTGAAGCGCATTATGGTACACGATTCGTGTACCAATGGTAAAATGTTTATTTTGTCTTAAATATTGGATATCAAAAGCCCATTTTATTCCGGTAAGATCACTACATCAATGTTGATTTAATTTGACAAATAAATCGTGTTTTCAATGTTGAAGATTTTGGATGATATTGAGTTAGAGACTTAGCTACTTTAAAGTTGATTATTAGCCACCCAAATTGTAATGAATCAACACACTGATGACTCTCAGTGATCATTTCACTTGCCTTGTGACAAGAGCTCAACTTCTTTGTCGAAATTTGCAAATTAAATTGAAAGTGGCAATTAAAATTTTTTTTTGCAATTATTCTGCTTTACTTTATGGGGTTACTGCCAGTTCTTTTCAAAAATTACATGTAGTGAAAAAAACCCAAACAACCTGAAGTGTCAGTCACGAACTATTAGATATGGGCTGTACAGATCAATGATTAGTATAGATCAATTGTCTCAGATTATTGGTTTCAGTTGATACTTGCATGTATTTACAGGTATATTAAATCCTATCTCAAGTCATTACTTACACATCATGATTAATCCAATCAAATAGATTAGTGGTGATATTTGAAGTAAAGGGAAATAATCTAAATGGCTGACAGTTCTCTTCAAATGGAATTAAACTGGCTGCTGAAGGCCATATTATTTCTGTTCCAGTTTGAAATATCACGGTCAGAAATGTAATAACAATTCCAATAGCGCCAATGCTGTCTGCCATAGCCCAAATATTCTAAAGCCAATGATGATTTTGATGTATATGTAAGCTCTTAGATCAAATGAAATTGAAATTTCTATCAATGATTGATTCTTAAGGAAATCCACTATATAATTGACATAGTAATGATGATGATTGATTGATTATGTACCGCTACCATATAAAGTACGTATATGTATGACTATCCAGGCACTTGGGAACGTTTTTTATGAAATTAGGGAACTATCATCAATAACATAATATGGAAACAGAATTAACCCATTTGATTCACTGGGATGAGAAACCAAGCTTTTGTGTTCAGAGAAACTTTTTTTCTAAATTGCAAGGACGACTAGAACCATTTTGTTTTTTTTTTATTAGGATTTCAAAATTCGTTAGCAAAAGTTTTCTAAAACATTCCATGTTGTGGTGGATATGAACTTGTGATTAATTTTCATTAAGAAATTAGCGCTTCATGTTTTTACCCAATATTGAAAAAAATGTGGGTATAATATTTTATTTGTAAAATAATCTATATTGGATGAAAAATTTTGGTGGCTTTGCTCTTTAAAGTTGCAATTGCAAATTTTCAAGTTATATTTTTAAAATGTATTAAAATAAAGCCTTAAAATAGATGGTATCCATAAACAGTCCTACCTTGTTAAAGAATATTCCTATTAATCCTATAATTCGCTATTGCCAGCTGAGAAATTGACAAAAATATCATTTTTAACTTCAAATTCCAACGTTGAAAAATGACTGGGAAATAATGCCAATGATCGTATAATAGTGATTTGATAACCTATTGAGCAAAAGACATAGAAATAATTATGTTTTGACTTTCTTAGAAAATTTGAAATTCTCGCTTTAAGATTGTTTATGTTTATGGTTAAGCTCTGTGGAAACATTATCCATCTTAAAGGGCAAAGACACTGATTTTTTTCAATTTTGACCAATTTTTGATAGGTTGCTACTACAGGCATTTGAATAGGAGTGAACACATCCATTTTGGCTAAAATAGCCAAATTTCAATAGGCCAGATTCAGGATCTGTTACTCCTATCAAATTTGATGTATCAGCTTAGTCAGCCAACATGAGCACAAAACCAAATTACATGAAAATTATAGGCGGTACTCTTTCCTTTTTCAATTTTGGGATGGAGGGGGTGTGTGTGTGATTTGACAGAGTTAATGGACACTTCATTGCAGTTACCATGTGAATTGAATCCCCTTAAATGACTGTAACACCTGATATACTAACCACCATCTTATCTTAATATTGGAGAACAGTAAGGCCGTGCAAAAAAAAAAAAAAATGATTGTTCTCAGACATTCCTTCAAAACAGTCTGTTAAAAGAAGGATGTTTTTATTTTTGTGTTTTTATTTTGTGAAAATGACTTAATACAAAATATCACATTTCAAGGTTCAACATTTATCTCAACATAGTTCATACTGTTTACATAATTGTTTATTTCCAGGTTTATATCAACAGCAATATGGCTATGATGCAAATTACTACAGTTACTATCCATCCAATCAACAGTTTGTATCGGATCCTAACGTGAACAGCTACGTGTATAATGGTGCTGGTAATTACGGAGAATATAGCAATTATCAGGAACAGTGGAGTGAAGGGAATCAACCATCCATTCCTGGACAATCAAAATCATATCGGAACAATCGGCCACGAGGGCGTCAAAACAACCGACGCAATCCGACAAACACTCAGTATCAAGAAACTCAGGCGACCAATGGATCCAAATCGGATTCCAGACAAGCCGAGTTGGGTGTTAATAATGGAAGCAGTGGTGCTGCAGGTGCAGAAATCTCTAGCGCATCTAGCACAAGTGACGACAGAACAGGTCTGTCTGGTCCTAATAATGCATCGTTCAGTAAAGAATCAAACGAGCGGACATATAAACCAAAAACTCGATGGGAAAACTCTTCCTACGAAAAAGGCAGAAACAGACAAACATCGAACAATAAGGAAAATAATTTCTCAGGTCACGTGACATCTCAGGAATATGGTGGCAGCACAAGCAGTCGTCAAGGCAATAAACGGACTTACAGTGCATCAACTAGTTCAAAATATGATCGTGGAAAATCTTACGAAAAACAAAAAGATAGACATTTGGAAGAAGCGGTTGAAAAATTTGCACAAGATGCCAAAGATCCGAAAATAAAATCTAAATTAAACAAAAATAAACCAGCAAAGAAAAAAGCCGTTGAATCATCTGAAAATGTAGATCAGAGAAGTAAGTTTTACAAGTAATGCTAGTTATATTAAACGGGTACTCTATTAAAATTATTCAACAATACATGCTATTTAGTAGTTATATTACTAATTAGACGGGTATTCTATTAAAATTATTCAACAATACATGCTATTTAGTAGTTATATTACTAATTAGACGGGTATTCTATTAAAATTATTCAACAATACATTCCTTAATATTTAGTAAAGATATGTCCTCCAGATATTCTAATATGGCTCATTTTTAAATATCACACATTTCAAAACTGATGATTTTTTGACTTCAGTAATCCTCTGATTGATGTTTTAGATTTTGTACTACATCACCAAAAATCAGAAAATTCTGTAGCTAAAATGTGTAGCTTTGTCACCATGGTGCACAAGTTTTTGGTTTTGAACTGTTCAAATCTTTTGTTAATCGTCGATGATAGACAGATGATCCTTACAATGATTTTTAGTGTCAATTAATCTGGTGCTAATACTTGTGTTTTTGTGTTACCTTGATACATTTAATAGTAAATATACAGAATTATTCATCACTTGTTTTCAACACAAATGGGTTGATGTTAACTTGAAAATCTGGAAGCACAGTCTTTTAATGAAGTCTGAATGCTATAATATGAGGCCAACCCAACTTGTCTTCCATGTATATGGAGGGCACCTTATAGTGAGATCTAGATGTATTAATATGAAGCCTGCCTTATATGGAAGCACGTTATAGTATAATATATTAATGATTTCAGCTCGTATGATAGATCAGTTATCTAAAGGAAGATATGAATGTATGGTGTGTTGTGAGAATATGAAGGCGGATACGGCCGTGTGGAATTGTTCCAGTTGTTTTCATCTATTTCATCTTTTCTGTATTAAAAAATGGGCAAGGTCTTCAACAGCTCTTGTAGAGGGAGGTGAGTGAAATGTATACTTATTAAACTTTGAAATGTAATGAAATGAAAGGGGATTTAAGGTCCTGCTGGGCTAATGAAAACAAGCTTGTAAACAACAAGCAGTGGAATATTTGCCTTGATACCGGCGCTACTCTTTTTTGTGATTCCAATTGTCAAGTTATCTTTAACATGCTCATTCATTCAAATTTTGTCTATGCATCTTGTTCTTACTTGTGTAGGGGGTCAGGGTTGGTGGCCGAATGGTTAACACATGTGCGGATCAGAAGGTCTGTCATTGAGTCATGTGGCTTGGTTTCATTTCCCTGCTTGTACAAGACAAGAAGAGGGTTGCATGTTCAACCATGTGGGTTTTCTCTGGGTGCTTCGGTTTCCTCCCACTTCTAATTAACCCCTACATGTACATGCAAGCGAATTATTGAAATAAAGTTGAACCATGTTAGTCCTGAAATGACCTACTTGGTGTTTAGTGGACCTTGAAACCTCTCTCTCTCTCTCTCTCTCTTTCTCTCTCTCTTGTGTACTGTAAACAACCAATCCAATGAAATTGCAGCGACTACAAGACATTGTCCACTGATCTATTTATAAATACTGAATATAGTGTAGAAAATCAGAAACATAACAAACGAAATGAAATAAACATACAATTTCCTGTCTTTGACATTCCTTTTCAAGTATTTTTGAAAAATGCCATTTACCTGTCTTGCTGTTTTGAAAAATGTCATTTTATTTGATTTTGATTCAATCTGATTAAAACACAGATCCTATTTAGTTCAAAATTTCATTTTACTTGTCTTTACTACACTAGGATCTGGAAGAGTTGTTAGCATTGGCGTATTCTGAATGGTGTGAGGGATTAGCCAATGAAACTGTCTGTTACGGCGTGCTTTAGGCGTGTTTTGCACAGAACTCTGGGTAATCCACTAGTGACATCAATGCTGATTGGTTAATCAAATGTCTGATGTCATAGAGTCAAAAGCCGCTTGTATGACCTCTGATGCGACCAATCGCTACAACCGGTCAGAACTTCATGTAGTGTAGGCCATCGAAAGTATAAAAAAACGAAACGAAATATAGATGTGTATTTTAATTAGATTGATTTTGATTCTTCTTGTAGGTTCATCAGAAGGTTGGAGATGTCCAGCTTGTCAAAATATAACAGAAAAAGTTCCTAATCAATATAGATGTTTCTGTGGTAAGTTTTATAATAAATATTTCAGGAATACAACAATAAACGTGTTACTGGTGGTATAATGTACCAAATGTATAAAACATATACATCTATTTGTGGTCTCTAGATATCGACAGTGACATAGGGGATGCTCGATTCACAGTCCAGAACGTCCTGAATTGACAGAATTGCAATCGAGTAACGCGGAATTCAGTTCTGTCACAGTTCTGTCAGTCCCGACAACGGAGGTGGTGTGAGTAGAATCGTGACGTAATTAAAAGGTTTCAGCTGCATGGTTGGTTGAGATATTAACTTATTCAGTCGACGCATGCGTTGTAGCCAGAAATCCACCTTTTCACTCGATTGTCACTATTTTTGGGATTGAAGGAATTCAATTCCGAAACATTCAATCGAGTACCCCCATAATGTCATAATAACAATTTTCATTAAGTGGAGTTACTTCACCTAAACAAGACAATGTTTTAAGATAACACATTCCCAGATTATATTATAAAAACAATATAGAAAGAAACGAATTGATGCAAATCAAACACTAAATGTGAAATACTAATATGTTTTGTAGGTAAAATACGAGATCCGATCTATAATAGATATGATACTCCACACAGCTGTGGTGATGTCTGTCGTAAAAGTAGAAAAGGCGATTGTCAACATCCATGTACATTGTAAGTAAAGTATTGGTTAGTCCATATCTAAACTATCCTTCCAATTGGCTAGTCACAGGTGTTGAACACAAGGCATGGTATGCATGCACACTTTCTGGAAAATCTTTTACCACTAGCCAGATATTTAGGAAATTTGTTATTTAATATTGGAACTTTAAGTAGGTTTCAAAATCTCTTAGAAACAAAAATTTGTGATGGAAGGTCTGAGTTGTGAATACCGGTAATACTTCAGTTAGTGGATTAGTCATAATGTCAAGTCTTAATTCACACATAGCTTAGAATTTTCAAACATCAATCCTGGAAGTCTGCATAGAGGACAAATTGGTCAAATTTGGAACCTTTTTTCCAGTAGAGCTTGTCTTTTTACTTTTCTTTATGTATAGAAAATTAAAAGAAATTCACTTTGTATATTTGATGCTGAATGTGTGAACAATATCTAGAAAATATTGGCTTTGATTTAGAAAATCATCCTAGAACTGGACATAGATCTGGATATTTATGCCAGTGGTCCAGAAATACGTCACATGCCCTTTGGTTGAGGGTTATAAATTTACAATAAAATTTGGCAATGGCTTTTGTATTCCTGAAACAGTTGTTGGGTATAATTTTATATATTTTGTATGTATTTTTAGATTATGTCACCCTGGTGCCTGTCCTCCATGTAGTGCTAACGTTACTAAATCTTGTGATTGTGGACAAATCAAGTAAGTAAATAAACCTAAAATCTCAAGTCATTTTATTTATGAAATATTGAATAAAAAATGTTCTGATTAATTTTGGTTGTTTCCATGAATGTATATATCATAGAGTAAATTCTTTGAATTAAGACGCTACAAAAGTCAAGCGATATGGGCACTAGACTGTAGACTAGAATGTTATAGATTCAAATCTCGATCGACTGTAGACTAGAATGTTATAGATTCAAATCTCGATGGGGGGTTGGATGGCTGAATGGTTAGCGTGCGCGCGTTGTATCATGAAGTCTATTATTGAATCAACTGGCGTGGTTTCGAATCCCCGGTTGTACGTGGCAAGGAGTAGGGTCGCCTGTCCAACCTCGTGGGTTTTCTCCGGGGCCTCCGGTTTCCTCCCACTGCTAAAGACCCCTACGCGCAAGCGAATTATGTAAATAAAATTAAACCATATGTTAGTCCCGAAATGACCTAGTTTGTGTCGAGTGGACATTAAACCCCCTTTCTCTCTCTCTCAAATCTCGATATCTCTCGTTATCTATTAACATTTATTTACCGTTAACTTTTTATTAATTAAAAAATAAAGATAAAGAAAAGTTTGGGACATAACTGTGAAGTTGAAACATTGCTACATATTTTTGTAAAAATTAGTTATTATTAATTCAGCTTTTCAAGATAATTGATACTCACTAATCATTGGTAACTGATCAGTGGTTATTATCTGATCTATTCAGATTCAGGACAAATGATAACCAGTCATTATTATCTGAGCTAATCATATTCAGGACATATGATAATCAGTGATTATTATCAGTGATTATTATCTAAGCTAATCATATTCAGGACAAATGATAATCAGGACAAATGATTATCAGTGATTATTATTAACAGAGCTATTTAGGGAAAATGATAATCAGTGATGATTATCATCAGAGCTATTTAGGGTAAATGATAATCAAAAGGATATCATGTTCTCTTTGATTACAGACAAACGGTACGCTGTGGATTAAATATTGGATTAAAGTGCGACACTGTTTGTGGTAAAAAGTTGAACTGTGGTCGTCATGATTGTTTGGTTAAATGTCATTCTGGACAATGTCATCCCTGTGATCAGTCTGTTATACAAGGTAGGTATACCATCTGTATTGTCCATGTTATACAAGGTAGGTATACCATCTGTATTGTCCATGTTATACAAGGTAGGTATACCAATACCATCTGTATTGTCCGGTTTGTCAAAGGTGTGGTATGGAGGGCTTGGTTAGGAGAAAGCGTCTAGTCATCCAGATGTCACAGATTTTTATGAAAAATTAGAATCCCACATTTTTATGAAAAATTAGAATCCCACATTTTTATGAAAAATTAGAATCCCACCTTTTTATGAAAAATTAGAATCCCACATGTTTATGAAAAATTAGAATCCCACATTTTTATGAAAAATTAGAATCCCACATTTTTATGAAAAATTAGAATCCCACATTTTTATGAAAAATTAGAATCCCACATTTTTATGAAAAATTAGAATCCCACATTTTTATGTACCTGTGAAATAGCTTGTTAATTATATGACTATGGCCTAAATATCTTGTTAATTATATGAGTGTTAGATCTACGTGTAAAATGTCTTTTATCAGAGTGTTGCTGTTTCCTATTATATAAAATATCTTGTTATTTATTAATACCTTCTTATTTATATAAAACATCTTGTTATTTATATAAAATACCTTCTTATTTATATAGATTTATATAGAACATCTTCTTATTTATATAGATTTATACAGAACATCTTGTTATTTATATAAATTACCTTCTTATTTATATAGATTTATACAGAACATCTTGTTATTTATATAAAATACCTTCTTATTTATATAGATTTATATAGAACATCTTGTTATTTATATAGATTTATACAGAACATCTTGTTATTTATATAAAATACCTTCTTATTTATATAGATTTATACAGAACATCTTGTTATTTATATAAATTACCTTCTTATTTATATAGATTTATATAGAACATCTTGTTATTTATATAGATTTATACAGAACATCTTGTTATTTATATAAATTACCTTCTTATTTATATAGATTTATATAGAACATCTTGTTATTTATATAAATTACCTTCTTATTTATATAGATTTATATAGAACATCTTGTTATTTATATAGATTTATACAGAACATCTTGTTATTTATATAGATTTATATAGAACATCTTGTTAGTTATATAAATTACCTTCTTATTTATATAGATTTATATAGAACATCTTGTTATTTATATAGATTTATACAGAACATCTTGTTATTTATATAGATTTATATAGAACATCTTGTTAGTTATATAAATTTATACAGAACATCTTGTTATTTATATAAAATATCTTCTTATTTATATAGATTTATATAGAACAGCTTGTTATATAAAATATCTTGTTATTTTTATAAAATATCTTGTTATTTTTATAAAATATCTTGTTATTTTTATAAAATATCTTGTTATTTTTATAAAATATCTTGTTATTTTTATAAAATATCTTGTTATTTTTATAAAATATCTTGTTATTTTTATAAAATATCTTGTTATTTTTATTAAATATACTATTCAAAAAAAGTAGGGGATATTTGATTTTGGGGGCATAATACTAAAATATGCAAATGACTACGAAAAAAGTCACTATAGAACCTAACAGAAGAAACATTTCCAGTTACATGTGACGCCCAAACGCACCAATAGCTACCGCATGGAATGCAGGTGATGCTTGGGATCATCATGGGGGTCCAACCCAAGATTTGCACGACTCTGACTTTGAATGTTACAGTCATTGTGGCATTGAATTCCAGGGTGGAAACATCAGTTTAATTGTTTTAGGTTACGTGCCCTTGGCATGCTACAGATCGGCACAACACAGGCGGTTGTGGCGCGGACGATGAATGTTTCTCAGTCTGTCATAAGCAGGCTATGGTCCAGATACCGTGATACACAATCTGTACAGGACAGACCACGCTCAGGTCGACCAAGGGCGACAACTTAAGCCCAGGATCGATTTATCCGTACCTTGGACTTGAGAAATCGTGTCATCACAGCAAATCAGATCAGCGCTCGTCTTCAAACAGACACTGGTGTGAGAGTGAGTGGCCAGACGATTCGGAATCGACTGCATAGGGGTCACCTTCGCGCCCGACGTCCTCGCGTGATCCCTTGTTTGAGAGATCATCACATTCAGGCAAGACGTCGTTGGTGTAGGGATCGTCAACACTGGGATAATCGACGCTGGAGCAATGTGATGTTTTCAGATGAGTCAAGGTTCACTGTTGATTTTTTGGACAGACGTAGGAGGGTGTGGCGTCGTCGAAACGAGCGCTTCCAAGACGTTAACGTCATCAGACATGATCGATTTGGGGGTGGTTCTGTTATGGTGTGGGGAGGCATCACTGTTGCTGGAAGAACGGCTTTACATGTTGTTGCAGGGCATGTTACAGGCCAGTACTACCGGGACAACATCTTGGCAGTCCATGTTGTGCCGTTCGCACGACGTCATGGCCGCCGTTTCATCTTCCAGGATGACAACGCAAGATGTCACAGGGCCAGGATCGTTACAGGTTACCTCCAACAACAGAAAATCACCACATTACCTTGGCCAGCACTGAGTCCCGACCTCTCCCCATCGAGCATGTCTGGGACATGCTTGGACAGAGGTTACGTCAACGTCAACAACGTCCTGGCAATGTCCAAGAACTTGCTGCTGCGTTGCAACAGGAATGGGACAATCTGGACCAAAATGACCTTAGACGTCTCATTAGGAGTATGCCACGTCGGATCAATGCTTGTTTGGCAAACAGAGGAGGATTTACCCGTTACTGACTTGGTTGTGATGCTGTGGTAACTTTGCTGTTTGACCCCGGGTATCATTTTACCCTTATAATGGTCAGTCTGTGCCTTACTTAGTTTAACGATCATTTGGAATAAATCGATGAATGTGAACTTCATTTCATTTTGTCATTTGTTTCTTCGTCAGTTTCATTAGGTGACTTTAATAACACTTAAAAATCAAATATCCCCTACTTTTTTTGAATAGTATATCTTGTTATTTTTATTAAATATCTTGTTATTTTTGTAAAATATCTTGTTATTTTTATAAAATATCTTGTTATTTTTGTAAAATATCTTGTTATTTTTATAAAATATCTTGTTATTTTTATAAAATATTTTGTTATTTATAGAGTGTTATGGTCATCATACAAGTCGTACAGCTTTATGCGGTTCTATAGAAGATCAAGAGATGTCTTTCTGTTGTTTACAGCCATGTAACAAGTAATATATTATATTAATACCGGTAGATCCATAAACAGGTTGAAACAGTCTGAATATTCTGTTCCTTAGACCGCCTCAAACCACCCAAAATATTTAAATAGTTTTCTATATTATAGAACGATTCTGCGTGCGCCATAGTTATGCACTTGACAGCGCGGTTTAGGGAGGGGGGTTGGGGGTCTAATTGTTAAGGAGTTAAGGTAACAGGGATGTTGAGCGGTCAGATTGTCTAAGCATGTGGTGAAAATTATAAGGCTTGTTATCTATGCAAGTCATGTGTTTCTATCCCCAGTTTGTAGGATCACCTGTCTGATAGGTATATTTTCTCTTGGTGATCAGATTTCCTCCCACAAATGGTACAGAATCAAATTATTTAAATTATATGCCATATGTTAGTACCAAAATGATCTAGTTAGTGTTGAATGGATGTTAAACCTCATTACTCAGTGGTAATGTTTCTATGATAAGATTCCCCTTCGCTGATCACTTTAAAAATTAACAGAATCAACTAATTTATTTTATTTCTTTGTAGGATATTAGCATGTGGAAATCACAGATGTGAGAGTCTTTGTCATCCAGGCGATTGTGCTGCATGTCCGTTATTACCGGATCAAATAACAAAATGTCCGTGTGGTAAAACAGAATTGAAAGAATTATCTGAAGAAACAAGAACATCGTGTCTAGCACCTGTACCTACGTGTGATAAACCATGTAAAAAACAACTGAAATGTGGACCACAAGGTAAATATTGACATTGATGGAAAATATACTGCTATCCATATATTGACAGGAAATATACTGTTTTCCATATATTATGTACTTATCCATTATTGATGGTAAATATTGTAGAGTTGTCCATTATTGATGCCGATGGGAAATATTGTAGAGTTGTCCTTTATTGATGGGAAATATTGTAGAGTTGTCCTTTATTAAATATTTTCAATTGCATTTAGTTATTGAACTGGAATATACAGGTCACAATTCTATGGAATACAATTACTGCTTATTACTCACAACATTTCAGTAATAAGTAGTAATTGTATTACATAGAATTGTGACCTGTATTGTCTATTATTGATGGGAAATATTATAGAGTTGTACATTATTGATATGAAATATATATGGTATAGCTAGCTATCCAATAACTCACAGTTAATGCCAGTCATGGTGACATAACTGTCTACTGTAAGGCCTTCCCAATTTTAATTTGGGGAACGCTTGTTAATACTTTGTTTCATGATTTTAGAGAGAATTTCAAAGCTAAAATATTTCTCTATGTTCTGTTGGGGTTTTTTCATTCAGAAATTGAGACATATTCCAATTATTGTAATGTTTACAGATCGTTGTCGTGTATGTAGTTGTAATATTTACAGATCTGTATCGTGTATGTAGTTGTAATATTTACAGATCTAGATCGTGTATGTAGTTTTTAATAGTGTGCTTTTTAATGTTTACAGATCGTCATCATGTATGTAGGAAAGTTTGTCATGAAGGAGAATGTCCGCCCTGTGAAGGTAGCACCAAGATTAAATGTCGATGTAAGAATGTGGAGAAAATGTTTTCTTGTACAAAAGTTGCTGAATATAATGGTAAATTTTTAAAGTTTAATTTTGTATTTATATGAAATCAAGACCGTCAATCATTGGCAGGCAGGTTGAAATGTATTCCAAAACTTCAAGGACACTCTCAACAGGATAATAAAATACATTTTGATTTCCCTATACTTTATAGTACCTAAGCAAATGTGTATAAAATAAAATTGCCCCAACTAGAACAGGCAAATGTAGACATTTTTACATTGAGAAATTAGAAATATATTAAATATATTGATTAATTCGAATATCCAATGGGTTATAGATAACTTCATATATCTATTTATCTAGTATTGTTATTTTATTCTATTTTATGAATTGTGTTTTTTTCTAGAGTTAAATCCGTTTTTATGTGATAAGAGGTGTACGAAGAAGAGACTGTGTGGAAGACATAAATGTGGAGATGTTTGCTGTGTGGTATGAGATATTATTAACTTTAATTCAGAGAAAACATAATGGTAAAGGAGTGGGTCTAGAATCGGATATAAATTGACTTACATACTTTATGGAATCTCCATTGTAAAGTATCATGTTATTTCTAAAAGTCACTAAGTTACTGTGTTAAATATAGCTGTATTCATTATATTTACTAGTTTGAAATGTATGACTCTTTTCCTAGCCTATTTTAAGGGCTGTTGGCTAGGGGAGAGTCGAAACAAGAAAGCCCTGTTTTTTGCCAGTTTTCCAAACCTTTATATATTCTGGGTTTTAAGAACATTCTCTGAGATCCCTTTTCTGAAAAAATGTACTTGAGTTGAATTTACTATTAAAATGTGCGGATACTGTGTATTGACATCGCATGGCCACACAAAATTTAGAAATGTCGATATGTTACATTTCTATTATTTTGTTCACAGCTTTGAATAAGTGAAGGAAAGGTCATAGATGCCTCGTTGACATGGCTCAGTTATCGAACAGTGTATAATGTATGTAAGGGTCGGAATCTGTGTGGAAAGTCTCAATAACAAAAGCAGGTCTTATTGTACTTTCTGTCTGTTGACCGTTCAGGCACAATAACTATTAAAATTTTTAGGGAAAAGTTGTACACGTCATACTACCAATACACCAGAGTATTGGTTGTTGTTTTAGAATAGGGTAACAATGGAATTTTTGTTATTTTCAATAAATGTTATCTCTAGAGCTCATTTACTCTGATTATCATTTTTGGTTTTTTTCATATGAACAGAAAGATGAGCATATCTGTGAAATGAAGTGTAACAGGAAGTTGAATTGTGGGAAACATAAATGTGGCACTTCCTGTCATTCTGGAAATTGTTTGCCTTGTTACGAAGCTAGTAAGTTTCATTAGGTATCTTTACATTTCTTTGCAGACAAAAAAACACCAACATTTCCATGGATTTATCAGGGTCCGGACAGCAGCACTATGGCCTACTCATATATTGAATTTCTACTGCCAACATCGGATATTTTATGTGCACGCCAATGTGTACAAGGGACCTCGGTTTTTCATCCCATCCAAAGAAATATCTGTCATAAGAGTAGGGGCAGTGGTAGTCACTGTGTGGTTTATCATAGCTAACCGTCACTTGTATTGTAAGGGGTGGGGCTGAGAAGCTAACCGTCACTTGTAAGGGGTGGGGCTGAGAAGCTGTCACTTGTAAGGGGTGGGGCTGAGAAGGAAGGAGTGAAATCCTAGTTCTTTGTAATGGTCCATAAAACACATTGGCCACTGTCTGAACAAAATTCTCCTACGTCATATTGCAAACATGACCATAGACATAAGAATTACCATATATTTGTCACAAAGTGACCATAATACTGTGTAAAGACACTAAACCCCATTCTTATGGTTATTATTCGTCTTGTGTGTGGTGCTGTCTGCCTATACATACTATTATTGTATATCATGTTTTAATTTATTGCCAGGTTTTGATGAGTTATCGTGCCATTGTGGATCAGAGGTTATATTTCCACCTGTTTCATGTGGTACCAGACCACCAGAATGTACCAAAGTGTGTCGTAGACAACATGACTGTGACCATAAAGGTGAGCGTCATGGTTGAAGCATAATGATGACAAAATGATAACAAAAGGATAACAAAATGACACTACAGATTTTAATTGGATTATTCTCAGAAGTAAATACCCATCTGTCGGGAAATAGGGCACTAATGCTTGACCAGAACTTCCCAGTTTTGATTCACGCAACATGCCAATAAAAATGGTGATGCTATCAAGTAAACTACTGCCTAGATATTGGTATGGTATGCATGTAAAAGATAGTCCAGAATTCCACAAAACAAGAGTGGAAACTTTACTGCAACGGCAAAATTCTCCTTCCCTATGACCATATTAAAAAAAATTATCCATACGATCTGAAAATGACCGAAACTCCATTCATAAAGTAAATATTTTTGAATTTTCTTTGAATTCACAAGAGATAATGATGTTTTGAATGATTGAAAAAAAACCTCTTTGTAACCCAGAGGTTGAAAAGTTCATTAAATAATATCGGTTATATGTCTATGTGTGTTTTTCTAGTTCGCCATAATTGTCACAGTGAAGATAAATGTCCACCGTGTACTGAGTTGATGAGTAAAATGTGTGTTGGTGGTCATGAGGTATGTACATATAAAATAATTTCATATATAAATATAAATAGCAGTAGTAAGTGGTTGTTCTAATGTACAGTATCACATATTATAGTATAAGATATAAAAATAACACCAATTGACTTCTACATGTTTCAATATCATTTCATCGATAATATTATCAATGGCTTCCTGATGGAAATATATTGAAACATGTAGAAATCAATCGGTGTTATTTTTATATTTTATACTATAATAAATATGTATATATAAAGATATTATGTTCACTATTCAAAATATCATACAAAAGGGAGGTAGGTAAATGTAGAATTTCATAGGATCTCATACTGTGATTGGTCAAATTGTTAATACATTGTGTTCACGATTAAAAATATTGCACATGTGAAAAAGACAGTAAACACAACTAGTGACTATTTCTGTATTTAAACACATGATATTTATATAGAATGGTTTCACTTGTACGAAAACCCAACAAATACTATTACTATCGAATGTGATGAAACACTGATCTCCAGCTGAGTGTGCATAAAATAAACATGACAGTTTGATGAAGTGTATAGAGAATCCTCCTTACTATTGACCAAAATATTGATATCTCAAAATCTATTCCTTTTTATTTTACTAAAGGTGGGGGTTGGATGGCCGAATGGTTAGCACGCGCGCGCTGTATCATACGGTCTGTCATTGCGTCAACTGGCGGGGTTTCGATTTCCCGGTTGTACGTGACAAGGAGTAGGGTCACCTGTCAAACCTCGTGGGTTTTCTCCGGGTCCTCCATTTTCCTCCCACTGCTAAAGACCACTACGCGCAAGCGAATTATTGAAATAAAAAAATTAAACCATACGTTAGTCCTGAAATGACCTAGTTTGTGTTGAGTGGATGTTAAACCCCATTTTTCTGTCTCTCCCTCTCTCTCTCTCTCTCTCTCTCTCTCTCTCTCTCTCTCTAAATATTGTCCCATTTATTCATTAAAACTTTAAATCAAACAAATTGTAATAGAAGTTTTAATATTGAAATGATTTTTATTTTGTAGTTACGTAGGAATATAGCATGTCATATAAAAGATATAGTCTGTGGCTATCCGTGTGGTCGAATCTTACCATGTGGAAAACATAAATGTAAACAAACTTGTCATAAGGTATGTATAACTCTAACTGTTGATCGTACTCAAAATTAACCAGACATTGAATTCAAGTATTTACCATTAGACCTGTTGGTGCAGAAACATTAAACCCCATTACGTTCATTCGATTAACTACTGGGGGCTGCCATAGTCAACGGGTCGAACCACTCGATTCTTTGACTAGTTTGTCCTGGGTTCAGATCTGGTTATTGACTTGTAATAATTCTGTTGATTAAACAGGCAATGTATTCAATTAACTACCGAAATTCGTTATAGTTGAGCGGTCGAACCACTGAACTTGAGCCTTGAATGTCCTTGGTTAAAATCTTGGTGTAATCCATGAACAATTATCTGGATTTTTTAAGACTGGCCTTCCCGGTAGCTTCTACTTGGCTGACAAGAAAAGTGCGCCTTATTGTTCCAATAGAGTAAAAAAGCGAAGTCCTGAATACGCCTGTAAAGGAACTCCCGAGATAAAAGAAGAGTAAGGTGAAAGGTCAATGTCTGTGTGAAGATTCGTTACTGCTCATTGGACACATGGAAATAAAATAACCCTGTGTTTGTCTCACAAGTTTTACTTATGTCAATGACATCATAAACACAATCGTTAATTTAGTGTGAAGTTTAGTCAGAGACTTACTGAAATTTTCAAAAGTTGATTCAGGGAATTAAGTTTTATATTTTATTATTTACAGGGTAATTGTTTATCAGAGGGTAAAGTTTTATATTTCACAGGGTAATTGTTTATCAGAGGGTAAAGTTTTATATTTTACAGGGTAATTGTTTATCAGAGGGTTTAAGTTTTATATTTTACAGGGTAATTGTTTATCAGAGGGTAAAGTTTTATATTTTATTATTTTCAGGGTGAATGTTTATCAGAGGGTGAACTGTGTAATCAGACATGTGACATCAAAAGAGAGGAGTGTGGTCATCCATGTGCTTCTCCATGTCATCCAGATAAACCTTGTCCTAAACTGCCCTGTAAAACTGAGGTAAGGTTATCAACATATGTAATACTATAGGGGTTATTTTAGTTCTATGAAAGGTGCTCTGTTTAATATATTAAAGTGGTTAAACAATTGGGTGACAACGAGAAATGGGCTAAGTAGGTATTTGGCAAGATTTTACTCTCTTAGGCTCATTCCTGGACTGTTTCTGTCACTACAATTGATATCTCGTTATTCTTTGATCAATGTTGGAAGATAATCGCATATCTAAACAATGATAAAATAAATATAGTTAGACTGGATGCTTTATCCAAGCAAGTCCTTTCCTTCCTCAACCACCGGTGAGGGCAAACCAGACTGAAAATTTCTCTTCCATCACTCAGAGCATCAAACAACAACATCACCCTTTATGATATATATGGAATATATTTACATATAAAAACTTGTCAGCTTTTATCTGGAAAATGTTCGTTAATTGTATTTATAGGTGACTATCAAATGCGACTGTGGAAATCGTCAAGGAAAGATTTTGTGTCAACTTGGTGGAGAGGATAATGCAGATATACCCGATTATCAAAAGTGAGTGACAAGAAAACTCTGAAGAATCAAATTTGTTTTTAAAGAAACAAAAAAAAATGATTAAATACAAGTTGATGTGTGTACACAAAGTCTCATGTCTAAAAAGGTTTTTAAGATGTGCTCTGGAAAGGTTTATGTGATATGCTCTGGAAAGGTTTATGAGATATGCTCTGGAAAGGTTTATGAGATATGCTCTGGAAAGGTTTATCAGATATACTCTGGAAAGGTTGATCAGATATACTCTGAAAATAATCCTAGAGTGGAAAGATGGGGCACATTGCTGTATTTCTAACAAATTGCATTATTATCCTAATTCTACTAATAATAGATAACGATAAGAAAACACTTGTCAACTAGAGGTTGACTTGGTGTAGTACGGGTATAGCCATGAACCCGATATAACATAACTCTGAAATCAGAATTGGTAGTCCATCGCCACCAGGCCTGTGTTACTCCCCATTCTGAGCTACCCCTCTCCAACAAATTTCAACCTCGGGACAGCCCTAATGTAGGCACCAACCCTTAACAGACAAACATCAGTCACAAATATTAGTATATTATAATAAAGCAGTGTTTGTATTCCATATTATTGGTAGTATATAATTTGTATATTTTAGGATATCTGTTGTAAGTTGGATGAATAAAGGAGCAGTTGAGATGTCTCAATATAAAAAAGGTGCTCGAAGGCAGTAAGTACAATTTTATTACAACAGTTGTATATTGTTGATTAATATGGTTGTTTACATGTATGTTGTGGATTAATATGGTTGTTTACATGTATATGGTTGATTAATAAGGTTGTTCACATGTATATGGTTGATTAATATGGTTGTTCACATGTATATGGTTGATTAATATGGTTGTTTACATGTATATGGTTGATTAATAAGGTTGTTCACATGTATATGGTTGATTAATATGGTTGTTCACATGTATATGGTTGATTAATATGGTTGTTTACATGTATATGGTTGATTAATAAGGTTGTTCACATGTATATGGTTGATTAATATGGTTGTTCACATGTATATGGTTGATTAATATGGTTGTTCACATGTATATGGTTGATTAATATGGTTGTTCACATGTATATGGTTGATTAATACCATTGCTTCAAGCAATCCTTTACAAACTACAATATTATGACAGATGGATCTCTAATATGAATATCAGTCCAAAAATGGTTCAATTCCATTCAGTATTTACAAAGTTATGATGAATTGAAATTTCATCAATCTATGGCGCTCGAGTGTAACAAAACACCACCATCGTTTGTTGGAAATTGAGAAACCTGATGGGCCTAGTTTAAATCCGATTGAATCCAAGCCGAGAAATTATCTAGCATTGATATTTTGATTTTGTGTTCTTAATTTGATATTTTAGAGAAAATGCAAATGATGCATCAAGCCTTTAAATGTATATCGTTGATAAATATTTTTGGTTATGTATATTGTAGATTAGAATGTGATGCCGATTGTGCGAGGTTAGAAAGAAACCGACGTCTAGCTTTAGCTCTAGAAATAGAGAACCCAGATTTACAGACTAAACTAGGAAACCAAACCTACACTGATTTTATAAAAGACTTTGCTAGGTACGTTACTTCATTCATTTTTTTACTGTTTGGTTAGATGTAAATGTAATATTTTGCAAATAAAGGCACCTCGAGCCTAAGTCATGATAATTAATAGGAAAATATTTTAAGAACCCAGACTTTTCATTGACTAAGTGTTCAAATTATATAAGATTAGGATAAAAAAATTATTATATTGTAATTTTCATTCAAATGAATTTATTCTGGGCGATGGTATGGCTGTTTGAAGCTGTAGCATAGATTGTTTATTGACCTAGCAACGGTACATAACAACCGAGACCAACTCTTGATTAACAATTTTATCATTAAATCCATTTAAATTTCAACCATCTGATGCTCTAGAGCAGTGGTTCTCAACCTTTCTTTGCCAACGGCACACCTTGGAACACATGAAAAAATAACGACACACCTGGCTAAATATATATGAAAAATATTTAAAATTTTGCAAAATAAAACCATGGTAAGTCATACGGCATACAACCGTAGGCACAGACTACATAAAGAAAACACAACTATGAACTTATCAGCAGACACCAGTGAATACTCATTTGGGATCACTGTTTTCCGTATTTTCTTAGTGTGCCGTTCAAAATTTCGCGGCACACTTAGGTAGATCTCGAGGCACACAGGTGTGCCGCGGCACACTGGTTGAGAATCACTCCTCTAGAGAGTTGATTATAGGCATAGTCTAAATAACAATTTATTTAAGACTTGAAGCCAGAAAATAGACCTGCAGTGGGAAGATTTAAGTCTTACATAATGCATCTTTAAGGCAGAATTAAAGATTTTAAATCTTTACAACATGTCACTGTTGTAATTTTAATATTTTGTTATTTAACAGGAAGAATACAGAGAAAGCTGCAAACATAGAAAAAGCCTTATATGATTTAGTAAATAATGCTAAACAGGTAAGTGGGACGGACTTGTTACAAATATCATAAACAATAATTATACCTGGTAGACATCATCACAATATTTCTTACTACAACTGATATTCATGTAGTAAGTTTTTTATCACCTATTGTATGAAAGTCTATGGTATAATGTATCAATGTTGAAGATGTATATTGTATCAGTGTCGAAGGTGTATTACTACTCTAACTGCTTCCTGTGCGCAAGTAAATTATTGAGAGAAAAATTGTACCATATATTAGTCCCTAAATGACTAAGGTATATGGCACTTCTGCGCATTATCTATTAGAAGAGAATATTTGAGCTTGTGAGAGACAAACTGGTGAATATAATATAATTGCTCCTATATTTTCAGTCAAAGTATCCATCAAGAAGTCATTCATTCCCTGCCATGAATCGGGACAATCGTCAATTTGTGCATGAATTAGCAGAGTTTTATGGATGTGAAACCCAGAGTTATGACAACGAACCCAAGAAGAATGTCGTAGCTACAGCTTACAAGTAAGAGTATTTTATTGTTGTTTATTAATTATTACAAAATTAATGTCTAATACATAATATATGATATAATGGAAAGGTTGATTTAATGAAGTCTTCTTGTTTCTCCTCTATTTTACACAAGCTATTGAATTTTATTTTATGATCAGTAGTGGAATACTGCGTTTTATCAGTGAAATAAAAGTGTTATTCCACTGGCTAGAAGCGGACAAAGTAGTCCATGTTGCTTTTACCTAAAATGATTGTAAAATCATAAAATAAATAGAACATTTGTCGTTTTGTCGTGAATAACATATTTTATTTCATCTCTAAGCACTTACCCATTATAACATATGGCTCCCTTTCAAGACCTTCATAGCTAGTTACTTATTACTGTATGTTGGGGATATAGGGGGGGGGGGCATGTGCACAATGTATCATAAGGTCTGTCATTGAGTCAACTGGTGTGGTTTCGATTCTTTGGTTGTACGTGACAAGGAGTAAGATCACCTGTCCATCCCTGTGGATTTTCTATGGGTCTTCCGGTTTCCTCCCACTCCTAAAGACAAGCGAATACTTTGTCGACAATACATATGTTAAACTTTATGTTTTATGTAAAACTATTGTTGTGTTAAATTAATGTAAAACTATTTTTGACAGGAATAAATGTTATCTACCAAATACAAGTGTTGCTACATTAATACAGAGAGAATTAAAACCCAGTTTACCACCACCTACTATAGGACAGAGTAGACAAAGATTTGGGTAAGTTATACATTTTAAATTGGGCAGTCAAAGATTGTGTCTGTGACAATGATATGGAAAGAGAGCCTAGTTTCTGTACGCCCACATTGATATGTTGTGGTATATTGTTGTCGTCCCTGTCCGTCCATCCGTCCTGTGGCCACTATGGACTAAAGTTAATATCCAATTGACTTTAATAAATTAAATTTATACACAGTGGTTAAGATCATATGAGACGAAAATTCCTATTGATTTTCAACGATTTCCGATAATTGCTGCCAGAGTTATGGCCCTTGATCACTCTAAGAATCTTGTGGATGCTTTGGAGGCTAAAGTTAATGTCCGATTGACTTTAAATTTATACACAGTGTTTAAGCCGAGTGGACGCTCTATGTTGTAAATGTTTTCGTTTCTGACAAAAGAAAAAAATATGTGAAACTCTTGTTGACTCCCTTGAAGACTTAGATGTTGTGGGTGTATGTTTGGTTACCTGGCAACCTATCTTTAGTAGTGTTGCTGTCCACATGACTAACAATGATTAAAAGGTCCACAAAGGCTGTTGTATTCAGACTCTGGGAGGTTGGGTTGCCGAATTGTTAACGCGAGCATGTTTCTTCATAGGGTCTGTCCAGTGCCCCCCCCCCCCATAAATCTGGTCTGCCCTCTGTTTGCTCCCCCAATAATTTAAGAAAAAAAAAGTATTTGGTTGGATAGACTAGCAATCAGGCGACAGACAGCATCTGATGAGCTCTATTTATCTCTACAATCGGTGCCTGAAGACTGTCAGACAGCATTTCCGGCAGTCTATTTTTCAAAATTTTCTTGGGGAGGTCCCCAATACCCCCCACAAGGACTCTCTACTTCGTTGAGGTTTGCAAATCCATTCGTTTGACATTTTGTTCTCTGGTCTGATAAATTAGTGATCAGACGATGGACGGTATCTGGTCAGATCTATTTATCTCGACAATGGGTGCCTGACTGAATACTGTCAGACATTATTTCCGGCAGTCTATTTTTCAAAATTTTCTGGGGGAGGTCCCCCATACCCTCCGTAAGGACTCCCTACTTTGGTGCTCTCGTGGGTGGGCTACATCGAGGTTCACAAGTCCGTTCGTTTGACACTTTACCTCAACGATCAGTGCCTGAAATACTGCCAGGCTGCCTTTCCGGCAGCCTGTTTTTCAAAATTTCTGATGTGGTTTCAACTCCCCACTTGTACATGACAAGGAGTAGGGTTGCCTGTCCAATCTCATGGGTTTTTCTCTGGGTCAACCGTTTTCCTCCCTACGCACTTGCAAATTATTGAGATAAAATTGAAAAATATGTTAGTCCCAAAATGACCTAATTTGTGTTGAGTGGACGTTAAACGGTTTATGATAATATTTTGAATGGGGTTTATGTTTTTAAAAATATAAATAAACATCCTAAAAAAATGTTGACAAATATTTCGATTGGAATAATGTAAGTAGTTAATTGTTTTAGACGATAGCGCATGCTAGAGTCTATTGCGATTATTTAGCAGATGTCACTTGCTTATTGCCAAGCAAATTTGGGGATATCATTTTTTATACGCCCACATTGAAATGTGGTCGTATATTGTCGTCGCCCCCGTCCGTCCCCGTCCGGCTCTAGAGGCTAAAATTAATATCTGATTGACTTTAAATTTATACACAGTGTTTACGGTCTTGAGACGAAGAAGCCTATTGATTTTCAGCGATTTCCGATAATTACTGCCAGAGTTATGGCCCTTGATCACTTCAAAACATCTTGTGGGTGCTCTAATGACCAAAGTTAATATCCGATTGACTTTAAATTTATACGCAATGTTTAAGGTCATGAGACGAAGAAACCTATTGATTTTCAACGATTTCCGATAATTACTGCCAGAGTTATGGCCCTTGATCACTTAAAAAAATCTTGTGGATGCTCTAATGGCCAAAGTTAATATCCGATTGACTTTAAAATTATTCGCAATGTTTAAGGTCATGAGACGAAGAAACCTATTGATTTTCAACGATTTCCGATAATTACTGCCAGAGTTATGGCCCTTGATCACTTCAAAAAATCTTGTGGATGCTCTAGAGGCTAAAGTTAACATCCGATTGACATTAAATTTATATACTAGATTTTAAGGTCATAAGATGATGAAGCCTATTGGTTTTCAGCGATTTCTGATAATTATGCCAGAGTTATGGCCCTTGATCACTCTGAAAAATCTTGTGGATGCTCTAGAAGCGAAAGTTAATATTCGATCAACTTTAAATTTATACACAGTGTTTGAGGTCATGAGGCGAAGATTCCTATTTATTTTCAACGATTTCCGATAATTACTGCCAAAGTTATGGCCCTTAAGTTATCACCCGATTGACTTCAGATTGATACACAGAGTGTAAGATCTTGAGACGAACAAGTATATTGATTTTCAATGAATTTTTATGACTTGAACAGTTAAATCCATGATATTAAAAGCTTTGCATACAAAACGTTAGCATGGGGCAGAACTTTATAAAAACCAAACAAATTCTAATAGTTTTCTGATAATTACTTCGTGAGTTGTTGCTCTTAATCAGATTTTAGTGTATTATAAATGTTTCATTACCGAAAAATGTAAAAATATGCGACAACCCTTGTTGACTGCCCGGACGATTTAGTTGCTGTGGGCGTATGTTTCGTTGCCTGGCAACCTATCTTTTAAACTTCCGTATGTAAGTCCAAACGGAGTATAAGACGAATGCCAGACTTCTGCTGAAAAATGTATCGACTTATACCCCTAAAAATATGGTAATTTTGGAGGAATTTGAAACAGGTACAGATCGGCACGCTTTCATTCTATCCTATTACGACAACATGTAATTTTGTAAGAATATTATTACGCATAAATTTGAATATTTTGTTGACACAACATGATTTTTAATTGTGGTCTGAAAACGCCTGCTTAAATGTCTATAAGAGTTATGCCCCTTTATTTTGGGTGGGGGGGGAATATCTGACAAGAAAAATTTTGAAATCCCATCACTAGTTAAACCCCATTTCTCTCCCCCTTTTGCAAGGTCCTAAGTTTGGGGAAATTGTTGTTAAATGTCAGTTCTTATACATTTTTAATTTCATATTGGTGTGTATTATGTTTTAATTATTTGATATTTTCAGCGCCATGATAACCTTGAGATCAGCCAGTGCTAAACCTGAAGAAAAGGCAATTAACCAGTCAGAACAGACCACTAAGAAAGCCGAACCAGTTATAGATTATTTTGATTTTTCTACAAACTGAAATTCTTAGCAGATATCATCCTGGGGAAAGGCCATGAAGAATCGAGCTGCAATCCATACTATAATGGATTTGATGAAGTTTATTGGTCGCTGATTGACCCAGACCATGAGTTGTTGTTTGTTTAATAAGAATGAAATTTGGGTGAACTGGATATTGTATCATATAATTAAACATTTAAAATCTTGTATTTAGTATAATGGGGGTTACTCTCGAACACCCAGACTATTTATTATAATATTTGATAGTTTGAGGGAAATTGCTATCTGAAAATGTTATGTATTTTTCAAGGGAAGTAACTTAACGAAAACTTTTATTATTTAACTACATTATGTTATTTTTCGATAATTTTCATTTGCCACTAGTTTGAGTGTAAAATCAACGTCCAAATCTTATCAAACCATAAATAAAAGGATAGACAAAAATGTCGCAATTTTATGTACGACAACTCAGAAAAATGCCACTTGATTCATCCATTTACTGTATTGTTGAATGCCACAGGGAAGATTGTGAGTCATAAACATACTGGATACTGGATCTACCTAACGTAGTTCCTGTTAACCAGTGTCATTAAACGATGAGTTAAAGTCTCTGTACCTTATTTCCTTTTTTTTTAGAAAACTTCCAAATTTTCCACGACTTACTCCATAAACTCTAATTGAATATTGAACATTTATTTAAGAAAACAAAGTTAAAATACCAACAGTAGATAATCTCCCAGTTTGGATTTAATAGGTTTTAAAAGAGCCTCATCAACAGATTTTAGCACAGATTACAATAGTGTAGTTAGTGAGGGGTTCCTCAATCTCTCAAATAACATTCAGAGACTCTCATATAAAAGCTTACAAGGGAATCTCAGTAGTAATATTCTCTTGGTAAATAGATTTTAACACAAGGTACAATTTTATGGATACACAATTACTGGGTTAGTATTCCTCTCGTTTTTATCAAGCAAATGATATTAAATCCAGTTATTGTGTATTCATTAATAAAATGGTACCTTGTATTAATATGTTCAATTACTAAATGCCAATCAAAGAAGATAAATATATTTTGTTTATCTACTGGCCAATAAAAATATTGGTATAAATTATTTGTTTATATAAATTTGTATATATTGTATCTATCCAAACATACAGTACTAGTTATGTTTCCTATATAAATTATAGATCAAAATTCTCCACTAATGTACACAGTAGGAAATAAATGGAATGTCCAAATTTGATTAAATTGTCGAGAAATGCTATTTTAATCCTATTTTTTTAAGATATGTGTCCTTTATATTCTGGGGGGTTGGATAGCCGAATGGTTAGTACGTGCACTCTGTATCGTAAGGTCTGTCATTGAGTCAACTGGCGTAGTTTCGATTCCCTGCTTGTACGTGACAAGGAGTAGGGTCGCCTTTCCAACCTTGTGGGTTTTCTCCGGGTGTTCTGGCTTTCTTCCACTGCTAAAGACCCGTACGCGCAAGTGAATTATTGAAAAAAAATTGTACCATATGTTAGACCCAAAATGACCTAGTTTGTGTCGAGTGGAGGTTACCCCCCCCCTCTCTCTCTCTCTCTCTCTCTCTCTCACCTCCCCTCCCTATCTCTCCTTTATATGCTGTCAGGTCTGTCATTCATTCATAGGTTGGTTGTAAACAATTGAGTCATTTATTACATTTTATCCTGCTTCAGTTTCACAAAACATTCTCAGACTTAAGAATTTACTCACAATTTGTGCCTTATTTTAACTAAGATACAGTCTTTTATATAACTTTTGTTGTTTTAATGTATCAAATACATGAATAAGAAACTGTGCAAAGTTTTGTGTTTCTGGATCAAAGATATTTCTTATAAACAGTAATTGTAAGTTGAATAAATTCTTAACTTAAGTCTGAGAATATATATCGGATATTTGTCGTTTTGTCGTGAATAACATATTTTATTTCATCGAGAAGCAAGAAAACTTATATTTTCACGAATGCGTAGCATGAGTGAAAATATAAACGTTTTCTTGCTTAGAGATGAAATAAAATATGTTATTCACGACAAAACGACAAATGTTCTATTTATTTTATGATTTTACAATCATTTTAGGTAAAAACAACTATTTCACTGCAAGCCAGTGGAATAACACTTTTATTTCACTGATAAAACGCCGTATTCCACTACTGATCATAAAATAAATAGATATATTCACTGGGTGGAATTTATTAAAATTTGTTCAAACAATGTTGGTGGGTTTTTTTTGTTATAACATTAAATGTTTTATCTAAATTTTATGATTTGGATCAAAATATGACTTTTATTGGTGTTTGATTCCCTGCTTCATTTAACCAAGGAAATTAGTATATTCTTCCATTAAGCTAAAGTCTTCATTGGACACATACTCTTAATGGATGCATGATTAAGGACCATGGACCTCTTGTCTGTATATTATGAATTTATTTTTTGTTAATTGACAGGATAAAATGAAATTTAATTCATGATTGTGAATATTGACTTTTATAGTCCTGAGTGATGAAAAATCATTCCAATTTTTCTGGAATAAAAAAGAGTTTTGTAACTATTTTCTGTTTTATATAATACTTTGTGAGGTGAGTTGGGTGGCTGAATGGTGCACGCTGTATCATAAAATCTGTCATTGAATCAACTGGCGTGGTTTCGATGGATTCCCTGGTTGTACGTGACAAAGAGTAGGGTAGCATGTCTAACCTCGTGGGTTTTCAACGGGTCCTCTGGTTTCCTCCCACTGCCAAAGATCCCGACGCGCAAGGGAATTATTGAAATAAAATTAAACTATGTGTTAGTTCCCAAATGACCTAGTTTGTGTCAAGTGGATGTTAAACCCCATTTCTCTCTTTCCAGGGGTAATCTCCTAGCTTGGAACATCTCTCTCTCTCTCTCTCAAGTGGTCTATATTTATATTGGTTTATACATTAAAGATGCATAATGTAAGATTTAGATAAAGAGCTATTATAGTTCAAAAATAGGTAATGCAAAATGACTATATTGAAAATTTTATTCAAATTACTTTATTCTGAGTTAAGTTATCACTGTTTGGAGTTTTCACAAGATGTGACATACAATGTTTATTATCGTAACAACAGTACTTGTTATTCGAGACTTAGGCTTGTTTCTCTATTTTTAACTAAAAGCATTAAATGGATGAACCGTTCTAATCTACTTAAAATTGGTATCATCCGATGGCCTAGAAAGTTGCTTATGGGCTTTTCTTCTTAAATGTTTAAATAATGAAACCAAAATAAAGACCCGCATAAGGCAGTAGTGGTCCATTTTAATTTTGAGACCCTTTTTGGCTGCCACCGGTCGAAAATGTGGGGGTTGCCGAAATTCCTTCATAGCAAGGTATTTAGCGACTTTTGACCTTTGCGCATGTGCTACGCTGGAACCAAAGTTGCCATGACTACCAAATTCAGGCTAACTTTTCAGTGGGTACCTTAGAAACCCGAAGTCTTTTTGAATCAGCACCGACACAGGTGATCGTAGAACCTGGAAATTTTGATAGAATATGAAGAATACCGTCCCACACGCTGCGCATTGATCCCATTTTCATCCAATTCCCAGAAAATGATTTTTAGCCAAAAAACGATTTTCTATGCAACGATTGTTACTGCAACCAGACTTTATCGGCTCTTCGTTACGTGATAGGTATTAATATTATACGCATTGTCCCAAAAAACTAAATTTTTAAAACCACTTGAACCATGTCTGTGACAATATAAACCGAAATGCCGGAAATCGCCCAGATCGACAATTTTTAAATGCTTTGGTTGCAAGATCTCACAATTTTGTTAGCGGGTACACACTACTCACATCTATCACCTTTTAAAAGCAGAAAAAGCTCCGATCTCCAGAACAATAATAATTCAATAAAATACGGGCGATTTTAATAGAAAACGGCCTTTTGTTGGGTTTGGGGTGGTTTTCGAGAAAAAAAATCAATGTTCGCGGAATCGCACCCTTTTCTTATTTTAATAGGTGATAACTAGGATCCCAATGCACATTCTATCACAATTTCAAGGTACTACGACCACGGGAACGATGCCTCTGTAGTCCAAAAACACCGTTGTCGGTAAAAGATACCCCCCCCCCCCCCAAACGGCCTTTCTATGGTTGCGCTATGGCGGCCATCTTAGAAAATCGACCCAATCCACCATTATTCTGCGAATGTCCTTTGGCTTCGCCACCGAAACCGTTTGTCTTAGAAGCTTGAAATTCGAAGTGAATATGAATACTAGCATCTTAAAGTACATAATGCCTGAAGTCCTTTTTTATTCCGATCATAAGAAAAGGATTTATTGGCAAATAACCAAACCAAAATGCCAAAAACGTTTCTTTTACTTCTGGCGAGTTTGAAGGCTGACGGGTTTGAACCCGGAATCCGAAAAACAGAAAAATATAAATAGTTTGATGCAGCTAGCAGCCTGAAATTTGAACACCACCTTCTTAAAGATATCCCGGCAATGTCTGGTTGATAGCTTCAGCCAAAATAAAATGCGACCATTTACAATTGAGCGAAAAACCACCAACTATATATAGGGAGGTTTTCATTGAAAAATGTTATTTTAGGCTTGTCACCGCCTCAAATATACTGCAGTTCTATTGAGCTAGGAAGCTGTAATCTGCACAGTCACAACGGAATACATATAGCTTCCTAGCTCTAATATTTAAAAAAAAAAACAAATGCAGAATGGAGGGGGGGGGGGGGTTCATGAGAATAGCCAATGTATACACGGGACCTCGGTTTTTCGTCTCATCAGCTGTCTTTGTCAGGCCCTCCGTTCTGCACTACTGACAAGGGGAAACCACGTCGCAAAATCCCGATGAACTTTCTCGGCCAATGCAAAGATCGAACACCCGACCTCCAGGCTAGCGAGCCAGCGTCTTACCCACCTTTCCACCGTGGCTCCCCCTCTTTACCGAAAACCGTGTGAACGCGATAGAGGTTATAGGGTTTAACGATTCTTTTTTCTTACATCCTTTTCAAATTTGTTCAACATCCAAGTTTTCCTTTCAGATAAGCTACAGTTGAAACAAGATGCTGTGTGGACGTATTCCGTACTGAACGGAATTAAGTCATTTTGTACTGCTATTCTTATTAGAGATCCATTTTTCACATTATTGTCGATTTCAGGTGATTCTAATAGCGCTAAATGACGCATTGGGACTTTTAAGTGAACAAATGAAAATAACAGTAAGAACTGTTTATTTAGGTTATTGGTCAGTTCAAAGAATGTGTTTAGTTTTGTTATTTAAGTGAATTTAGATTAATTTGGATATAGTCATAACATAGAGTTAACAATTCATGTGTTGATGGCTATATTTGTTTATGAAGAATACAACACGACTGTCTTACTGTTGATATCTTGACTGTATACATCTCTTAATGTCTTGGCTTTAAACATCTGAAAACAGACAAATAAAGACAATTATGTGAAATATATAGAAATATCTAAATGCAGCATTCGTTCTTGCAAATGCTTGTTTTAAATGACAAACTAGAACTATATTATACCAGTGGTTATTATCTATATACTATAGTATATACAAGTGGTTTAGCTATATACAAGTGTATACAAGTAGTTATTGTTTATATACTAGTCTATATCAGTGGTTACATATATATAAAATAGACCACATTAGTTATTTGTATGCATGACGTTAACCAGTGGCTGCCAGACAGGATACGCCCACATTTAGCAAGAGATGGATAGAGAACAAGCTAAAAACAAACGCGATTTTTTGTACAATCAGGGGCAATAATCCAGAAAGTTATGGTCTGAAATGCGCAAATATCAAAAGGGCTGAGATCTTTGGGATCTTTCGTATTACATACTTTTACACAATTTGCGCATTTTGTTGGGCAGTTTTATTTCAATTTTTGTAACACTATCCTGTGTCGCGGTACCAAATAAAAACGACTGTGACATTATTGTCTATAACTGTCTTCGACTTCACGTTGTGGGATCAATTATTTCAATCATCAATTAACTGACTCTGGAATACCGTTTATGTTGTTAATAAGTTTATATAACAAATACGGCAAACTACAAAGTTAAATACAGAAAAAACTACAACATCTATTATAGAAACCGTAGACGTTATTATTATATCTACGTTCTGTGTTTAGCATCCTTTACAACTCAGACCTAACGGTTTAAGTACTACAGTCTGTCTCTATCCCAGTCTCTCAGCCGAGGCGGCTGTGGGTATGTTTCCCTTGAGCTCCGAATAATGTATTCCCTGCGGCCTCATCATGATACCTGAGGGTAAATCAAACACGCTCTCTCCTATATAAATTATAATGCGTCATCTATTAGGGCGGAACAATTACCATTTTTGGGTAAGTGTTTCGTATAGGCACCGTTTAACGTCAACACTATTCTAGTTAATTGTACTAATCCGTGCACGAGATGATTGGACTATAGTACCCTACTTCCAGCAATGGATACTGACATAACTGTCGGTGAGTTAGTATAAGATAGCAGTAGAATAGTGCAAGCTACTTCATTACCCTAGTTTTCGTCAAACATCATGTAGGTAACGAATTTCTATATTAAACAGAACACCTTTCTTATAACTAAAATAAACCCTATAGTATTACATTTTCACGAAATACTAATTTAACCTTCATTATGGTGGAATGACGATATATTTAAACGGAAAAAAAATGGTGACCTCTAGATAATCCACATGCTAAAAATACGATTTTTCAATCAATCGGAGGCCATAATCCAGCAAGTTACGTTCTGATATGCGCGGTTATCAAAAGGAACCAAGATCTTAGTGGTGATATATGGTGATATATTCACACGTTTTTTTAAATCGGATAACAATTGTGACCTCTAAAGGGACCACGAGTTAAAAGCGTGATTTTTGTAAAATCGAGGGCCATAATTCAAGAAGTTACGATCCGATATGCGCGAATATCGATAGGAACCAAGATCTTTGGGTTATAAACATGTATTTCAGGAATTATCAAAATCGGATCAACACTGTGACCTCTAGAAGGTCCACAACCTTGATATACCAGATGTTTACATTATTTGCATACGAGGGGCGGCAATTTTGTCCGGCAGTTATGGCCCGATTTTCACGAAATTCGAACTCAACCAACATTACGGTGCAACGGTGATATATTGAAACGTTTTTTTTTTTTTAAATCGGATAATAATTGTAACCTCTAGAGGGACCACAAGCTAAAAATGTTGTTGGTCTGAAGCCGTTCTGCATTATGCGATAGTTTTCCGGCATCGAGCATTATTTATTTCATTTTTAAAATAATTCTGTTCGGGAAGTTGTGTAAAGTGTCGAAAAAAAAATTGGGCAGAAATTTTAAATTATTTTTCTTTTTGTCTTCTAGTTATGTGTCTACTTTGCTATTTGTTTTGGGGTTTACGTATATAACCGGTAGTAACTGGAAAATGTGGGGTTCTTATTGACAAGATAGATTGGGTTACCTTACTCCCTGAAGCTTTAGATAATCAGAACAATTTCCGCCAGTAAACAGTTAACCATTGCAAAAGAATTACTTTTCAAGACCATACTGTGCGTCAAGAGTTAAGGTGATATTCTGTCCGGGTCGGTCAATTATATGATAGCACTGCTTAAATCTAGTTGAATAAAATTGGGGGTAATTCGGTGATGTTATAACTGAAATTATAAAAAGTTAAAGTCTGATTAAAATACAGATTTATATTTCGTTTCGCTTTTTTTATACTTTCGATGGCGTAAACTACATGAAGATCTAACCGGTTGTAGTGGGAGGTCGCGTCAGAGGTCATACGGGCGGCTTTTGACCCTATGACCTCAGATATTGATTAATCAACCAGTGTTGATGTTTCTATACTGGTTTACCCACAGTTTCGTGTACAGTACGCCAAGAACTCACCGTAACTGACCACGCGATTTATATAACAACTCTTCCAGATACTAGTGTAGTAAAGACAAGTAAAACGAAATTTTGAACTATAAGTTGTTGTATGGGACTGTGAAAGGATATCTGACAATTCATAAACAAAATTGACTCTCACTAGATAAGGGAACATGAAAGGAAAATAGAAAAAGTCTGTGCATTACCATGTTTTTATAAGTATAGAATGAATAAACACCCGTGAATGTACGGACTGTTTCTATTTTTCTCGTGTTCTCTTATCTAATGACATGCAATTACTTTTTTGAATTGTCAGATATACTCTTACAGTCTCATATAACAACTTTTGGTCTTCGAAGGAATTATTAGTGAGCAGAAATTCGCCCATGTATCTGTTATCACCCGTCACTTCATTCAGTTATATAAAGGGATAACTCGTGTTTTCCTTTTGCGTTCGTCACTTCCTATTGTTGACACATTGATTACTCATCTATCCTAGCAATGATCTCAGTGATAAAATAATATTTGGAACGTGTTTAACCAGTTCTATCATATATGTGATAATGACTTGCACCAATATTGTCCTTTAAGTGTAGTTTAATGGTCGAGTGCGAGACATCAAGTAATATATCGATATTGCCCGAGTGCGATAACACGAGAGCTATATCTATATATTACACAATGTCTTGCACGAGACCATTAAACAACTTAAAATACAGACACTATCCTGCACGTGCATTTCAATGAAATACGTCAAATGGGTCCAATATTGCAACTAGTATAAATAATGTAAGCTTGACACATTGTTCGTACCATTAATGGAAATAATGATACGTCAACATCAAAGGATGAGCTTGTTGGTTGGTCAGTCAAGGCATGCTAAATTATTATGACAATAAAGAATGTAAGAAACTTACCGTCAGTTTTTTCCTAAATATCCTGTAGTACAATTACAGCTGTAACCGTTATCAACTGGTGAACAAGTACCATCATTTTTACATGGGTTAGGTAGACACACGTTCACTAGAATTAAATGTGCACAAACAATATAAACATGTTGGCTGGTTTCTCGAAGGATTAATTCTCTCCTTTTAAATTTTGGAGTAATACTATTCTCATTAATGTTTATTAATACTTCTCCCACAAATTCTTAAACCTAACCCACAATCTAGTCAACAAGCACGTGCCCTGATCCTATTTACCTCTCGGCGGCCATGGCCAAATCTGCAGGTGGCCTTAATAATAAAATTTAGCCTCGTGCATATACGAAAATTAAAAGATGTCATGCGCAGTTCGCAATCTAGCCCCCTTTACCTGTAATCTTTCACGAACGAGTTCCCGCTATATCTGTAAATACAATCAGTACTAGACTTGCTTGCAAGACTGAAGGCTTCCACCGTGCCAAGGCGTCACACGATCGCCAGACCCATGACAAAAGACTATCCCCACCTCTCACCCCCTAAACAAACACACACTTCCCCACCCCCCAAATAAAAACACACATTTGCATAACTCAGATATTGACATGTTCTTTGCATGCGCATTACGATAGAAGGGAATCGAAAAATAAGGTTGATCTACGCGAAATGGAAAAAGAACAGTTTCGCGAAATGGACGAAAAGCAATGTCGCAATAGATATTAATATCAAAGTAAAATGAAATGGAGTTTAACACCATTCGGATCGGAATGGACCATGAGAAATGTTTTGAATGTACAGCGGCGCTAGCCTACTCTTATATACAATTCCAACTGCCAAAAGATCTTTTACAGTCACACCAATGTGTATGCAGGACTTCGGAATCGCGTTCATGTTAGCTACTGAAATATGTAACTGGTTCAAAAATTAAATATCGCCAATTTTCTGGTTTCGTGCACGTTAACGATTTGACGTCACTAACATGTAAAAGTTTACTATTAATTACAGACAGAGTCCAGAATCAAACAACTGAAGCAGTCAAGAGCCAGGATGTTCGCGACTTCTTTGTTTTTTTATATTTACTGATACTATCATATTTGTTAGCGTAGGACATTTTCATTTATATATATATTAAACATGTATTATATGTCTTATCATAGAAGTCTATAGTGTTATGTTCTTTCGTAATCATTTGTTTAAATACCTTAATTGTTCGTACCTTTCTAACTATTGGCCGAGAAAGTTCATCCAGATTTTCCGGCGTGATTCTCCCTTGTCAGTGATGCAGGACGGAGGGGCTGACAAGTAAAGCTGTCTAGTCGTTCGGATGGGACGAAAAACCGAGGTCCCGTGTACACATTGGCGTGCACGTAAAAGATCCCTTGGCAGTTGGAATTCGATATAAGAGTAGGCCGTAGTGCCGCTGTCCGGGCAAAATTTCCCTCATAGCACACTGTATGGCGTATGCCCGTCTTCATTAGCCCAGGTTAGGAGCAGAACAGTAGGACGTTAAACTCCATTTCATTTCATTTCATTTCAATGATATAACTGTTAAATTAAACAACGGATAACCCCTACCTCTTAAAATGATTTATATAATTAGTAAATAATTATTATTATCTAATGATTGTTGTTTTGTGACATATATAGTGTAACCAATATCTACATTGTACTTTCATAATCAATATGTAAATCGCCAGTAGGAATAAATGTCTCTTATATAGATAAATTATGCTGGCTGGAAGTTGCATGGTAGGCTAGCGTTTGGGACTGCGGTCGAAAGGTCAGCGATGAACTCGCTGATCTCGACATGCTACTTTCCGATGGCACAGAAGCTCCTTTAAAGCTTCTTTTTGTTTCAGCGTGTGCTGTATCATACGGTCTGTCATTGAGTCAACTGGCGGGGTTTCAATTAACCGGTTGTACGTGACAAGCAGTAGGGTCGCCTGTCCAACCTCATGGGTTTCCTCCCACTGCTAAAGACACCTACGCGCAAGCGATTTGTTGAAATAAAAGAATTAAACCATATGTTAGTCCAGAAATGACCTAGTTTCTGTCGAGTGGACGTTAAACCCCATCTCTCTCTCTCTCTCTTTTCATTCAAATATATCAATTAGGCTTTCTATAGAAGGAGTTCCCCAAAAAATATTAGATTGCCTTTTTGAGAAAAAGGACCTCTAAACATGCTCGTACAGCGGCACTAGTCTTCTTTTATATAGAATTCCAACCGCCAAGGGATCTTTTACGGTCACACCAATGTGTACACGGGACTTCGGAATCGCGTTCATGTCAGCTACTCAAATATGTAATTGGTTCAAAAATTGATTGAATATTCAATGAAATATCGCCAATTTTCTGGTTTCGTGCACATTAAAGATTTGACGTCACTAATAAAAATTTAATATTAATTACAGATAGAGTCCATGCTCAAACAGCGTCATGCCTATTATCACAGGTGCAATATACGATACCACTGTAACCGATTAACAAATTGGACTTTCTTATAAACAGCGCGAGCCGTCGATTTCTATCCAGATGATTACCGGTATAAGATAATTTTGACAAAGAAGCAACAATATTAATTTAAAGACTAATTATTACACACAGCAATCAACTATTTCTGTTACAGGGTCAATAAACCCATATTTTGGATAGAAGAAAACCCTCATAGTTGAAATAATTTCAGTTCAAATATCATCACTGATAAAAGCACTCTTGAATTGGCTCGAAACGTTGACAAAACGTCCAGATTGTATCCCCTCTTATGTTTCGCTTAATGAAAGGTGAAGTGTTCAATTTTCGATCCCTTTGTGCTGCTACTCCTGAAATTTAGAACTGTTGTACAATGGTTTTATATATTAACACTACTGATAGGCCTCTCTGTAGAAGAAGTTCCAAAAAAATATTATGTTGACTTTTCGAGAAATAGACCTCTAAAAATGCCCCAAATCTTAAAAATACGACGTTTTCGATTTTCGATCTCTTTTTTCGGCTACCCCTGACATTTCAAAAAATGATACAGTGGTTTCACACAACAGAGTAGCCATTTATCTCTCGATTGAGAAAGTTTTAAAAAAATCGTTCGGGGCGTTTCCGAGAAACATGCGTCTAAAGTTGCTCGAAATCGCAAAATACCTTACTTTTCAAAGTCACACAACTTTTTTAGTTTTTGATAGAAACTTGTCGCTGAAGTACCATCTGATAGACAATTCAATTGGCTATTAAACGATATAAAACTTTAACTAAAAGACAAGAACACAATTGATACATCGCATTTTCCGCATAGGCACCCATTTTTCACAATTTTGTCAAAGTTTGGATACCTTTCTTGACTACTTCCGGTGATTAGAGGATTTTCATTTATAGTTCATGGTCTGGTTTGGTCCTTCGACTTTATATTCCTGAAGTTTCAGAAAAATCGTTGGGGCCGTTTTAAAAAAATAAGAACTCTACGATTTTACCAAAATGCGAAAAAAAGTGAAAAATCAAAATTAAAATTTCAGAACAAAACTTATATTGTTGGAATCAGATTAATGTCAGCTATCCCAAAAAATAACTGAAATTTCAAAATTCCCAAAAATAAAAATTTTAGAAAATTTTGAAAATTTTCCATTTTTCACCAAAAAAATGAGAGCGACAAAGTTTCTAAATGCCACAGTTTTGAACTGCTATTGGCTCAGAAATGTCTCCAGCTATCCAAAAATGTAAATATCTGAAGAATCCATTGAGAATTAAGAGAATAATGGCCGATTTTCAATTTTCGTGCACGTTAAAGATTTGACGCATTTCCGCTATGCACACAAATTTAGTTTTACATTTATCAACAAACCACCACCCAGTTTCCCCGAGAGAAAACCAAACTTCAGACCTCTATCTCTTATAGTTGCTGAGAAATAGGCTCCCCCAATAAAAAAATAAATAACAATATTAATCTCAGTAATAACAATAGTCTTTCACCGAAAGGTGAAAGCCTAATACGCTCATTATATATCATTACAGTCTACGAAACAGAACAGATATTTTAGCTTCTATTTGGTTTCCATCTATCCTTTGTTTATCAAAACTAAGAATCGTGGTGCATTGACAAATGAGTCATCAGCAGAGGTGAGTCTAAACTGCAAATGAAGACCGTCCTGCTTCAGAGTATACTACATGAGATGTCTTTATTTTACCTTTCTGAGATTCAAGTCTAAACGATCGCCCCATCAGAAAATTATTGATATGATTTACAGTGTATCTTACCGTCACAGTTTTCTCCTAAATACCCAGGGGTACAACTACAGATGTAACCGTTATCGGCTGGTGAACACATACCATCACTATTACAAGGATCCGGATCACACACGGACACTAGAATTATTAATATTAACTAAAGTAATATCTTTGATAGTTCTTCTATTACATTATAACACAGTTAGACATTAATTACATTGTAAATTTTATAAAGGATTCACACAGACTTTTCAATTTTTAAAAAGTGAAACATATAATCTGGGCGTAAATATGCCCCGTAGCAAAATGTTTTGTTTACCATGATGAAAATCATTTTGAAATTAGTTAATAAATTGAAAAGTGTTCTTTGCACTCACTGACAAATATAATGGCTTTAATCCGGAAATAAAAATGAATGGGGAATCAACGTATCTTTCACTGCGATAGGGTTCCCAGGAAACCAGTATCTCTCTGTGTCCAGAACTAACCAGTCCGTCCCTGCAAACAACGGACGTCTTATATCGATTCTGGGTGTTTGTTGTGTTTAATTAGATAAAGCATAGTGGACATTATATAATACAGACCGTCAGTCCACCTGTATAGTGTAATTAGATAAAGCATAGTAGATATTATATTATACAGGCCGACAGTCCACCTGTATTTAGTGCATTTAGAAAATAACAAATGGTTAAAAAAACAACCCCCCCCCCCCAAACCCCCGCCCCCAAAAAACCTCACCTTTGCAGCAGTTTTCACACAAATGAGCCTCTTTAACCTCTGTGCAACTAACGCATCTTGGATTTTGCATGCCTCCTACTCGTGGCCAAGGTCACCAATTCCTTTGTCCAGAGACGGTCACAACAGTGGTCAAGACCAATGCAATCCACAAGATAACACGCATGGCGATAATACTATAATTATTTCGTTTTAACGCAAAGAGTACGTGACACAATTAGACTATTGAACACGGGAGTTTATCGTTTATTTTATACACAAATAACTGACCACATGACGTGTCGTTTGTACATAATATTTTTGGAGGGTTCTTCCTGCAAATAGTATGCATCAGTTGTGTTTGGAAATAAAATCAGTAACTTTTATGTGGTCGTTAAATTTAGATCTAAAGGTTTTAGCTATCAACTTCTTTTCGACGTGTTGCTTTCATTTTTGGCCCGGAAATAATATTTTATATTTGTGCTTTAGTGTTTTCCTCCTTGCTCGTGATTTGTTATTCAAGATAAACGTGGCTTATGGATCGGTTATATTCGTTTATGAGGAAAGGTATAGCAACATCAGTTGCAGAAATCGACATAAATATGTCTGTATATTTAGAAACAAATTCTATTATCGGCCTAAATCGATTGTAACACGTGTTTAAATATTTGCATCCTCAACAGTCGATATCCTGGCTAATGATTGGTTGGCATTGTTATTTTACAAACTTTAAAAATCTTGTGATTTGAGTGATATAGGAAGCTCTTGCAAATTACTATATTGTACATACTGAATCTCTAATAAGAATATCAGTCCCAAAATAGTTCACCAATCTATGCTGCTCAGCACACATGTACCACTAACTTTATGTTTTCCGAAGACCAATTACAGAACGATCAAATAATAAATGTATATTCTGTAGAGTGTTCATAAGAAATTATTGGTGACGGATGGACGGACCGACGACAATATACAACCACATTTCCATGTGGGTACATAAAAAGTAACCAGTTGCTCTTATTGTACTGTAGTCACTGAAAATATTGCCTCTAAATTAGATAATGGTCTCAAGTTGGTTTGGCGGGGGGGGGGGGGCTTTTTAGTCTTGAATTTATATTGTTGATGAATTGGTAAGGTGGCCACGGGATAAGGTTTGCTAGTCAGCAGCATTTACAGGCAATACACTTCCCTTGAATCGAGGACCTGGTGATCGATATGACTAGCAATACAGTGACTTTTGCGCCACTGTTGCTATCATTTGTTGCACTATGCAGTGCTATGCGTCGCTGGTTAGATGTGGAAAGTACACAGGAATACTCCCCACAACCGCCTTGTGGTCGTCTAGTATTGTCTCTGGTTATATCTGTAATTCTCTTCTTATGGCTAGGACTCACGTTGTGTATATATTTTTATCTCAGTCTTAAAGACGTTTATCTACCAGGAATAACATTGCAACATTTCGTTTCTACATATAATACCAAGCACTGGATACATAGGTTACAACTTACAAGCATAGATTACAATAAGGTCATTCTCTCAATCACACTCCCATCCAAATTCGCCAGAGCTAGTCTGCTGATAGAACTTGCTACATCTTCCCCACTAACAATCTAGCGGCTGTCTACTCAAGAGTGCGCATTCTATTTGTTATACACCCAGACTCACAGCTATTAATTATTCTATTAGCTAACTATGATGTAACTAATCATGTGATTGGTCACTCATGCCAAATATGGAATGGTAACTTCCCTATCATTAGTGATAAACATGATATTCTGGTTTCACCCAGAATCGGCTATGTTTATCAAATTATTAATCTTTGTGTATGTCAACCCACCACTCATTCATTTGAGTGCGTGATATATGAATGCCTTGTATATGAATATGGTACCAATAAGGACACCATTTTAATATAATGCTATTATTAATTTAAAGAGCAAACATCCTACCAAACATATTACATTCCCCCCCTCCCCTTTCTTAAGCTTTTTTGCTCAGTATTAGGTAAACGATCCCTTGGAACCTTTACAACGGCCATGCCAACATCTATATGATTGTATAAGTATTCATATATGTAGCATAAATTTCGCCATCGATATTATTATACATTTTTGTGCAAGGAATCAAAAGTGGCTTTTTTTGCAAAGCTCTGTGGAAATCCTCGTTGGAAAAGAGAGTGGATATATTATTTCAGGTGCAACACGGCTACACACCCAGGTGCAACACGGCTACACGCCCAGGCGCAACACGGCAAAACGCCCAGAAGCAATACGGCAACACGCCTACGATTAATACAGCAATTACGCCCAATGAATCTTTGTGATAGTTAACAAAATTGTGAAAAGTCTGTGGGTTTTTGTGCAGCTGAATTATGCGGAATTCTGTGTTAATCAGTACGAGTATCATGGCGCCAAATCATGATAGTGCACAATATTGTTTTCAGAATGTTCGTTATTATTTCGTATCATATCAATGTATGGTCTTATTCCTAATTTTTAATGAAACAATCATCCTTATTCTCCATATATTTCATTTTCTTTCATATTTCCAATTTCAATTGTGTGGCCAGATGGCGTGTATGTTAAATGTTCCAGAATCGAGGTGTTTTTCTTCGCCAGATTGCCTCGGCCGTACTAAATCCAAAATGACCATTACCGGGCCCTTGCTTTGAATTTTAGATTAAAATCTACTTAACTTTAAGTGACCTATGGGGGGGGGGGGGGTCCTTAAAGTTACGTGAGATTATAGTGACTTATTTTAATCGGAGTACACAATGTAGTAGCATGCCCATGATGGCGGTTTTAAAAGTTAGGGGATTGAGATTGAAACAAAAACAATGTCGCCGAGCGTAGCTGGCCTCAAACTTTTGTTTCCATCGTCAGCTTTGATGTTGTAGTGCCATAATAGTGTATATGGTCAAGGACAGTGTATAGTTAAGTTTTTCACATAGTCAAGGAGATGTAACATACAGTCATTGACTACCAATTTAAGGTAACAAACTTAGTTAAGTGGAAAAATTAAGTATTTTTACTCAACTTTAAGAAAACCTTTGAATACGGACCCAGATCTGTAAAGTTTAATTGATCCACATTAGAATAAAACTAATATAAATAAATGATTGTAACCCAGTGACAGACAGAGCTATGTAGGCCAATAGAAATAGTCGGGCAAACGGCCATTTTTTTACCAGATCTGTAAGTTTAAATTGATTCACATTAGAATAAAAGTAATAATAAATAAATGAGTGTTAGTGAAAACGAACGGAATGATAGTTCTGTATAAGATTTCGTGATTCAGAGGCAGAAACTGTATAAGAATCTATAATTGTATCCCACAATGATTACACATAAAAAGCCATGTTGTTATACAATCTCTGTGTATATGGCTCTTAGGTTATTTAATAACGGATTCCGCTCTTGCTTTACTTCTTTATGGTGGCTTGTAAATATTTTAGCATTACACCCATTATACTGGGCGCTGTGTAAGAATCTATATAACACATGTTGTTAACCAATCTCAATTGCGACAATAGGTGGTTAAGACGTTGACTCGCTAGCCTGGAGGTCGCGTGTTCGATCCCTGCATTGGCCGAGAAAGTTCATCCAGTTTTTCCTGCGTGGTTTCTCCTTGTCAGTGATGCAGGACGGAGGGCCTGACAAGGACAGCTGTCTAGTTCCGTGTATATATTGGAATGCACGTAAAAGATCCCCTGGCAGTTGGAATTCGATAGAAGAGTAGGCGATAGTGCCGCTGCCCGGGCAAAATTTCCCTCATAGCACACTGTATGGCGTATGCCCGTCTTCATTAGCCCAGTATAGGAGCAGAACAGTAGGACGTTAAACCCCATTTCATTTCATTTGTTAACCATACTCAATTGCGACAATAGTTGGCCACACTCTGTTTCCATACATGGCTGTAAATATTGATTACCCTAACGTTAATCAGGGCCACCTTATTTTACAAATTCTTTTTTAAAAATAACTGAATTAGTCAGCAAAATCTACAAATAAAAAAAAGGAATCTTACATTATCTTGGTACATGTATGTCACATTGAGAGATATCGACCCACATGTGCATATTACTCGTGTACCGAACGACATTTTATACCCAATAATGGCTGATATGTCACAAACTCTTTATCGCGAACTTGTACAATTCACTATATGGGTAGTGGGCAGTTAAACCTTCCCTTTTTAAAAACTTTAAAAAGTTATTCCGTGAAAATTGATTAGCTATGTGAATTTCTGAAAAAAGAGTAAGAATAGGCCTACTGCACCACGTCCACGAAGTATATGTCTGATAAACGTGTGACTAGGTAACTTGGCTAGAATGTTCCTGGTTCGAATCCTGACCTGGTGGAGAAGAAGCTTCGAGATTGCTTTAAGCCAGGCCTCCACTAGTCAGATGTGGCACCTACCAGTATAGTAGCTTTAGAAGAAGTTCAAACATATTTTTAAATCTAAACCTATGGAATGTCATGGAAAGTTTGTCTCCTTTATCCCTTCTATTATATTAGACAATAACCTTGTTAAAATATTGTGATATATTTATTTCAGTCTGTGATATAATTGTCTTTTAATGTTTTATTTTTATACTGTATGATATACAGTGTATATTGTATTTGAATGTATGTATCTGAATTTAAATTTAAAAAAAAGACGCTTGCTCGCTAGCCTGGGAGTCGCGTGTTCGATCCCTGCATTGGCCAAGAAAGTTCATCTGGATTTTCCGACGTGGATCCCCCGTACCAGTGGTGCAGGATGGAGGTTCTGACTAGGACAGTTGTCTTGTCGTTCGAATGGGACAAGAAAAACGACTTCCCGTGTTTACATTGGTGTGCACGTTAAAGATCCCTTGGCAGTTGGGATTCGATATAAGAGTAGACCATAGTGCCGCTGCCCGGGCATAATTTCGCTCATAGCACACTGAATAGCGTATGCCCGCCTTCATTAGCCCAGTATAGGAGTATATAGGGGTAGAACAGTAGGAGGTTAAACTTCATTTCATTTCATTTAAAATTTTCATCATTTCTTGCATTGCACACGCAACCACAGAAATGGAAATTACGACATGTTAGTCCCAAAATGATCAAAATACATCGTAGAAGAGAATTAATCCCTATTCCAATCCGTTGCACTTATGACCCCATCTGAAAGAGGACACATATTATATCCATCACGACTATATTCTGGGTTAAACTGGTTTTAAAAAGAATTAGAACGGCCTGGATCATAGGTGATCGTGTATTTATTACGGTTCAGTTGTCTCGTTTTAAAGAACAGATTAACCAATGTCAGTGGATCGCACTAAACACCCTTTGTTTGTGTGTAATGTCTATTGTTTCGGTGTTAAATTAAATCTACCGTGTAGTAAGTAATAGCAGTTAATATAGTGTATCGTAAATCGTGCACTTTATTGTCACCGCCACGTGGATTGTAACATGATATCTTGTTCGTTCTAGTCAATGGCGTAAAGAAATAAAATGAAATGGGGTTTAACGTTCGACTGTTCTGTTCCGACTGGGCTATTGAAGATGCTGCATCCTACTCTTATATCGAATTCCAACTGCCAAGGCTTCTTTTACGTGCACAGGACCTTATTTTTTTTATCCCATCCGAGCGACTATACGCTCTCTCTTACCAGACCCTCAGTCCTGCGTCACTGAGAAGAGGGGATCACATCGGAAAATCCGGGGTCGGACACGTGACCTCCAGGTTAGGGAACAAACGCCTGTTGCATAATAATAGGAACCAGGGGAGTTTTGTTTGACATTGTCTAGAAAATGTGGCTCATATCCAGGCGTGGTGTCGATCATTCTGACTCAAGGATTATCTTTTGGCCGACACCAAGTCAGAATGATCGACACCAAGTCAGAATGATCGATCGACACCAAGTCAGAATGATCGACTTGGTGTCGATCATTCTGACTTGGTGTCGGCCAAAAGATAATCCTTGAGTTTGTGAACGAATATTTTATCAACATATCCCAATATATGCGAGTTTATGGGTGTCACACTGAGATCGTGCAACCCAAAGCCACCCAGCACACAAAAAAGATTGTGTTAAAGGAATAAGCTGGTATGTCAGTCTTCAGCAGCCCGGTTGACGCGGAGTAGTGGGACGTTAAACCCTATTTGATTTCAAGAAACATTAAACATACATTATGCAAGAGCTAAATCTACCTATTTCAGGTCTTTCTTCTGGCCTGAATTTTTTTTATAAGTTATTAATTACCAAGACCACAATCAACTCTCGGTGTTATCGCTAGCCTTTTATATTTACTGGATTGGGATCCGATTTGCTGCTCAACTTTTATTCATGATTTAATGATGAAATGGATAATCGAGGCTATGTTTTTTTTTTTATCGTATTGGCTTTAGTAATGATGATCGAGGCTAGGCCGAAAATTCAGTCGCTAAAATCTCGTATCAATTTGACAGACATTTTCAACAAATTCCCTTTATATTATCTACTTTTCAACTATTATAGTGAGAACTGCCGGCTCTTTATCTAATCTCCCATTAATATATCTTTAAGCTATGGTAAATAACCATAATATTAATTTCTAAAAACAAATAAGTTATTAGTACTTCTTTCAATTACAAACAACGTGTTAACAAAATTCTTACAATCGAAACCATTTTCGATAAAACTTTTTGATAATAACCTCTAAATAACTATTGAGTTCAAATTAATTATGTCATAAATCTTATATGAAATATTAAAATACAAATATAAAACTGTTTTGTGCAGATATTCGCCATATTTTGGTGGTGGTGGGGGGGGGGGGGGGTATGGTTAATGCGTGTGCGTTGCAACATAAGGTCTGCCATGAGGTCAAGTGGCGTGGTTTAGATTCTCCGCTTGTACGTGACAAGGAGTTACATCGTGGGTTTTCGCCGGGTTCCCTGGTTTCCTCCCACTGCTAAGAACCTCTTCGTGCAAGCGAATTATTGAGCTAAAATTGAACCATATGTCAGTCCCGAAATGACCTAGTTTGTGTCGAGTGGACGTTACATCCCATTTTTTTTCTCTCTCTCTCTCTCTCTCTCTCTCTCTCTCTCTCTCTCTCATCTCCCCCAATCGCCCTTTTTAATACCATATCGCGATTTTAAATCATGTATAAATCATTTTATTTATGGCCGCTGGCAACGGTCTTGGGATCTTGCAGGCACAAACAAACTTCATTACATTAAGCCTCTCTTAGGAGACTGGCCCAACTCCCACAGAACCAACAGGAGGGATGAAGTTGTTTTGTGTCGCTCTCGCATTGGTCATACCTTTTTAACACACATTTTCATTTGACAGTGAAGCACATTTTGATTGAGTGCAATCATCACAAGAACACTAGATCGAAATATTACCGTTGCCAGTCTCTGCATCATCTATTTGCCCAACCGGGTTTATATTGTAATATACTAGACTTTTTAAAAGAGACATGTTTTTATCATAAATTTTAATTGTATATTTATCATTTCATTTCTGTATTTTAAATATTAATATGCATAAAAGGTTTATTTCATTTTTAATTTTATTTACTGTGATATTGTTTTTATTTATGCATATAATACTTTTTCTGTGATATTTATTTAACTTCTCTCACATAAATCACCATTTGTTTGGCGCAATATAGCCCGGTGGGTGCTGACGTGCCATAAAACCACATTTCATTTCATTTTCATTTCATTTCTCTCTCTCTCTCCCTCTCTCTCTCCCTCTCTTGTCAGCCATGTTTTAATTGTAACATTTATTTTTATAATGACAGAGATACAACTTACAGTAAATCCAAAATAAAGATTAGAATTTTACTATTGGTCCAAATATCAACCAAGGCAGTTAAAATAAGGTTTTAAAACGTATCATAAATACATTGATTTTAATACTGGGTTCGGCGTGGTGGGTCATGTCTGCCCAAGTGAGGAAATTCAAACCTGTAATCCGATACATAAAATAAAATAATTACTTGTGATTTTACCCCCTCGTTAAAATACACACAATATAAGTGTTAAGCCGATCATTTTTATGAGGACAGTCAAATGGTCAGCACAAAGACAGTGGTTTACCAATATAAAGGAACAAAAAAAGTTCCTACTTTTCTACACCAACTGGTATTACAAAGATAGGCATGGTCCGTACATTGTGATATGGGAGAGGGTTGCCCGGATAGCGACAGGGGAGGGAAATCTGGGGACCCTGAGAAAACCCATGAGGTTGGACAGGTGGCCATATATCTTATGATCTTAAGCGCACGTGTTTGTCCACATACCCTCTCCTAAATAGCATAAAACCTGTCCCGTCGCATTTATATCATCGGGCGTTCATGCGGGTCTATTGCGCTTTACATCAAGGCAACTGGGCCCTGTTTCTCGAAATCTTAACTAAAGATGAAATCCAAATTTTAGTAGATACTTCAATTTTGATTAGCTAAGCACTAAAATCAACCTAATATTATCCAATCAAATTACTAAAATTTGGATTTGATCTAAGTTAAAATTTCGTGAAACAAGCCACTGGTTTGCATGTATGACTACCATTTTACTTTCAATGGTGACAAGGCTTAGGTTACTCTTGTTGTCAAAGCGGGTACCAAGGAAAACCGCGATAACGGAACAGGTGTTTCTAGACCAGTGGTCAAGGTGAACAATAGTGGATCATCAACTCCCCATCTGGCAGCCTTCATCCCATGTCACACCATGATGTGTTAAAAACTACCCTCCTGTCTATCATCCTTGAACCCGCCCCTATTGTTCTCTGACCAAACATTGTTCAGTACATGATCACCGTAACCCGTCCATTGTGTCCACTTCTCAATCTGATCGGCCTTGACTAATCAAGACCATCATTAGTTGACCGTTATTTCCCGCGGTTATTATGCCCAATTATCCAGTGATGCGTCGCTCGTCTAGGCGCATAATATCATCAAAGTGATCGCTGGTTACGCTCGGCTTGGATTTACACAAACATTTTGCATAACACCCACCGACATCTGTCATCGTTAACCTACAATTTATCGTGAAATTTCTACCCTACAACAATCCCCAACATTCTATAACGAAACGTGTTGAGAAAAGTCGCATCGATTTGCTTTACAGATTCTTTTCGACATGTAAACTGTAACATATAGATGCGTATATTTAGATATACATGCTTGGATAATCAAGTCTTTGAATTGCTGGAAAATCAAGGCTACTGGTGGAGGATAATGCCGTAACTCACGCGACATACGGGTTTACATCATAATATCTAGATATTGATGAAGGGATAAAATTCCTATTTAAGAAGTCGAACCATCTGGGATATTTAGACTTACATTTTATCTCGCACTTCAATCTATAATGGTGAAAATTAACGCATTAAAACTTTTGGGAATTTTGTGCGGGTCCTGTTTGTGGACATTTTGTATCGGAGAAGATTATGGATTCCAGTTATTATTCACGTCCATTAACGATGAACTCGAGGACGCCGAGATTAAATTCGAAAGAAAACTTCCAGTTTGGTTAAAGGGAACTTTGGTATGTATTTTGTTTTAAATTTGAAAAAAAAAATAATATGATATATTGAATTCGCACATGTTTATTGACAAATCAACATGCCATAATTTAGATTAAATATAGACTTTTAGATCATATTATTTTATTTAAAAGAAAAACAAGGTCCAAAAATTATTCAAATCGACCATTAAAATTTATGGTAATTTATATATTTTTGAAAGCCCAAAGATGTCAGAATAAAGTTTAAATATTATAGAGTTTTAGACCATAGGACTTTTATTAACAAAATATTTGACCCTGACAATATTCAAATCGATAATTTCTATGGCCACTTAAAGTTAACGCTGGTTTCAACTGATTCACATCGCCATCTTTAAACTATCAAATAAAGTATCAGTAATTCTTCTTCCTCTTCGTACAGGCCATCGTATTTTTTTGTTATATACCCGGGTGTGCTTAATTACGTAACAATCACATTCTTTATATTCAAATAGTATACATGCATATTCAAATAATATATATGTATATTCAAATAGTATGTATGCATAATCAGTGATATATATGCATATTCAGTAGTATATAATCATATTCAAATAATATATATGTATACTCAAATACTATATATGCATATTCAGTAGTATATAATCATATTCAAATAATACATATGCATATTCAAATAGTAAATATGCATATTCAAATAATAAATAGTATACATATATATTCAAATAGTATATAGTATACATGTATATTCAAGTAGTATACATGTATATTTTGTACTTGTGAGATGTATGTTGACGATCCGACGTGTTATAATATATCTTTACAGAATTACAAGCAGTACTAAACATCAGCTCAAAAATAGGCTTTAAACAACCATTTATATTACGTTTCAAGTAAAACTGGACTAAAAGTCGATTTTGGAGAGAAATTCCCTATCGAAATGAAATAGAATTAAATGTGGTTTAACGTCCTACTGTTCTGCCCCGGCTGGGCTAATGAAGACGGGCATACGCCATACAGTGTGCTTGCTATATGTGATAGTTTGCCCGGACATCGGCTATTTCCTTGTCAAGATGAAATTTTTAAAATATAAATTTGTTAAGAAACAACACACGCTGGTTAAGAAAATATGAAATGAAAAGGTATTGCATTACACCTGGTGTTTTCTATAACTTTGGTCTGATTTATACTGATTTATAGACTATTTTGTAATCTTTAAGATACCCCCCCCCCCTCCCACGTATATACTTTGTGATTTGGTGATATCTTTGGATTAAAATCATATTAAAACTAATTTATATATTGCTACAAATCTCTCTCAAAACATTTTATTTGAAAAAAAAACTATCCCATTCCACAATGAACTATTTTAAACAGCATGGTTTGTCACGTGACTTGATTGATGGAGAATCCACATTATCAGCTTTACTTATCGTTAGTCGCTGTATCGAAGCCTAAGTAAATTCTTGGATTATCATCTGCCATCTTTTTCCGCCGTGTAATCAAAAAATCTTCTGGACGTTTACATCTCTCAGTGGTCTGACAACCGCTACTCATTAGATCAACGCCTAAGATGTGCTGATTACGTCACTCTAGAAGGTCGGCTGTCAGTTACGGATACCCTTACACTCAATCTTACTAGAAAAATAACGAATTCCATGAAAAACATCCATACGGGTATTTTTTGTCCCAAAAAGAAACATCCGCCAACGCCTATGTATTGCACGTATTTGTTACGAAAACTAGTCCCTTCAGTGGATGGATTCGGCAGAAGGAAAAGTAGGACGTTAAACCCCCGTGGCATTTGATGATTCGGCATATCACCTCAAATAGTGGCGGCTCTTACAAGTCGATTATTACAGAAAATTTCACCGAAGATCTACTTTTAGCTGCATTGGTCGACCGTATAGAAAACAGATATACATGAAATTAGTACAATATGATAGGATAATAAACTATAACACATACTTATGGAAGAACAATTACTGATTTATTTGGGCAGTTACTAAATGCCTGTAAAAGATCATGATAGGATAACTAGTGATTAGTCTACTATAGACCTGTTGTCAGTTCGTATTGACATCATTGGATGTACAGGTCAAGGACGACATATTTTATAACCACATATTTTATAACATCAATTAGTTTCTTTATATTTGAAGGTCAATGTATGTATCTCAACAGGTGGGTTCTCATAAATTACATAGATGATTGGTGTCATTATTATAAAATCACAAATATTTTTATACCAGATTTTCACACTAAATTTCGATTCACAAAAAAAAAAAAAAAAATTCAATTGCACTTTTGATTCTTCTTGGGTTGTTTCAATTCGCTATAGAACGTTCAGCTTTTACGCTTTAAATTATGCTTTTGGAATTAGAATCGAGATTGTAATTCAGAACCATTCGAATTCTACTTGTTTAAAGCACCAACTGACAGACATGTTAACTTCAAAATTTTCTAAAACATAATTTTGGCCACAACAATCAACATAGTATAGCTCGAAAGATTTGATTCGCGATTATCATGCACCATAAAAGAGGTGTTTGGCTTTAAAACGAGGGTAAAGATTTATCCGCTTGCATCGATGTCAAGGTATTATGTAACCTTATTTGAACGATAGTATAAGGATCAACAACATGCCAGTCCCAAAATGGCATAACTTTGTGATGAGTGGGCGTTTAATTCGCTCGAGGACAACCAGATGTGTTGCTTGTAAAAATTGTAGAAAATTTTTGTTCTTCATGTCGCCCTTTCCGGCGTGGGTTCCTCCTTGTCAGTTCAGGGCGTCTGACAAGGGACAGCGTATAGTCGTTCGGATGGGACACAAAACCGTGCACGTAAAATATCCCATGGCTGTTGGAATTTGATATAAGAGTAGGCCGTAGCGCTGCTGTCCCGGAAAATTTCCTTCATAGCACACTATGTATGGCGTATGCCCGTCTTCATTAGCCCTGTCGGATCAGAACAGTAGGACGTTAAACCCCATTTCAGTACATTTCATTAACAACGGGTAATTATTTATCACATAGATCGATATCAAGTGCAAGACTTCAAGATTCTAATTAATTAACTAAAGAAATACATCGGCGGAAGTGTCGTTGATGAGATTCTTGGCATGAGGTGGGTTGGGGATGGGGTGAGGTTTAATGGTCCTTCGATTAATACAATGTTCGGTGAGTCTCCGAGTGGGCGTAGAAAATAGGCATTTGTCGTGTCCGGTTCGTTCCCAATTGTCAAGGCTAACTACATGTTTCCGATCGTCAAGACTAACTACATGTCCCCAATCGTCAAGGCTAACTACAGGTTTCCAATCGTCAAGACTAACTACACGTCCCCAATCGTCAAAGCTAACTACAGGTTCCCAATCGTCAAGGTTAACTACAGGTTCCCAATCGTCAAGGCTAACTACAGGTTCCCAATCCTCAAGGCTAACTACATGTCTCCAATCGTCAAGGCTAACTACAGATTCCGAATCCTAAATCGGCCCCATGTATGTATGTCACAGGCAATGATATAAGATGAAAATGGCCGTATCTTTGTCACATAATGACCAGGATATACTGTAGAAAGCACCATAATTTACAATCAGTTTTTCAAACATTTTCCCGAGTCAAGGGTCTCTGAAGGGGGCCAGACACACCCCCTCTCCCGTCCCCAGTGCGTCCCTGCCAGTTTTTCTTCTCCTTTTTGTCAAATGACATTACTGCTGACATGTACACTCGGAGTCATGTTGACTTTAATGTATTTAAGTGTATCGTGACTGTAGCCAGTAATAGATGCTATTATCATTGATTAAAATATAGTCACGGAAATAGCATATTATCTTTCATCCTATCAGCAGATGTTACGGGTTGATGGGCGTTTCGATAAAACTGTTCTGCTCCGACTGCTATGAGGGACATTTTGCCCGGACATCGGCACTGCGGTCTACTCTTATATGTCATAAATCTTATATATGAAAATACAAATATAAAAAAACTGTTTTGTACAGATATTCGCCATATTTTGGTGGTGGTGGTGTGGGGGAGGCGGGGTGTATGGTTAATGCGTGTGCGTTGCAACATAAGGTCTGCCATGGAGTCAAGTGGCGTGGTTTAGATTCTCCGCTTGTACGTGACAAGGAGTTACATCGTGGGTTTTCGCCGGGGTCCCCGGTTTCCTCCCACTGCTAAAGACCCTTACGCGCCAGCGAATTATTAAAATAAAATTGAACAATATGTTAGTCACGAAATGACCTAGTTGTGTCGAGTGAACGTAAAACCCCACCCCAAAAACGAAGTGACTAGATAATAATAGCCAAAAGCAGTTTTGTTAAATGGTTTATTATACAACTGTCTAAATTTCTATCTCATTAGTGGGGTGGGGTCGGGTGGGGTGATTGGCATAACTTATGCACTTTAGCTCATAAGGTCTGTCTTTAAGTCAAATGTGATTTCGATCATAGGCTTAAAATTTGACAAGAAGGTCGTCAGCCAAACCACTAGGGTTTTCTTTGGGTCCTCCGCCCTTTGTTCTTATCTTCTATAATTTTGTCAATTTTTTTTAATGAAGTCATTTAGATTTTGGAATTTTTCGGACGTGGTTTCCCATTGTCAGTCGTGCAGGACGGAGGGCCTGACAAGGACAGCTGTCTAGTCGTTCGGATTGGACGAAAAACCGCAGTCTCGTGTATACACTGGCATGCACGCAAAAAATCCCTTGCCAGTTGGAATTCGACATAAGAGTAGGGTACAGTGCCGCTGCCCGGCAAAATTTTTCCTCATAACACACTGTATGGCCCAATAACACACTGTATGGCAAAATATAGGAACAGTAGGACGTTAAACTCCATTTCATTTCATTTTTATTTCAATAATTGGCTTGCGCGTAGGGGTCTTTAGCAGTGGGACGAAATCGGAGGACCCGGAGAAAACCCACGAGGTTGGACAGGCGACCCTACTCCTTGTCACGTACAACCGGGGATACAAAACCACGCCAGTTGACTCAATGACAGGCCTTATGATACAGCGCGCAGCGCGCACCTGCTAACCATTCGGCCATCCATCCCCCCGATTTGACAAACAAGGCTTGTGTTGGTTCTTGTCATTGATTAATACGATTACGAATATTTACTGCGAATATACCAGTCGTCCACAATTTGTAAATGTCTTATTAAAGGGACAATAACACTCTTGCTGGCTTGAAAGCTCCAGAAAATAAATAATATCTCTATCTAAGTACTAGATGTTTAAGTGTCCTACCTGTTGTGTAAATTATCCATTACATCCTATTTTACTTGTCCAGAGGGTTCGAAAATATTTTTAAATCGAAGTTTCATTTGAAAAGGTTTACGTTAGACGTTTCAAACCATTATGTTGAATTTTTCAAAATTTTTAAATAAGGTGTGTTAAGATGAAATTTGTGTCATCAATTAATTGAAATATTCTAAAATAGAACAATTTGTTGACCAGAATAAAGATTGGGACATATTATTCAGTTACAACAAGAGTGGTATTGAGCCTTTAAGGAGTCTACTCCAACACAAACTATTGTACTGGTTGAGTGACTGGATATTCTGTAATATCCTATCTATTATAGGATCCATGGGAATGTCTAGGGCTATTTAAAAGCTATTAAAAATTAATTATGTTCTCGGTATGAGAGTGATAATTCTCGTTTAATATCGTTATATAATATTATAGTATAATAATCTATATACGGTTTATGGTTACATACAAGTTTGTGTATATTATGATCTATATATAGAAGACATTGCCGTTGGCTAGATAGGATTGGATGTTGTAATAATTACATCTAACTTATTCCTGTCTCTGATCTGAACACACCAACAATAATTATAAAACTGACAGATATACAGATAATGAACCCCGATTTTATAACTCTTATGAAATGAAATGAAATGGGGTTTAACGTCCTTCTCTTCTATTCCGACTAGGCTAATAAAGACGGGACGGCACTATTGCATATAAAATCTTTCAGGGTATAATTTGACGTTCAATGCGTACTGATTCGGCAGTCTTTTCGTTGTACATGGCAATGCAGGATAGCTGTATATCAATACACAGACAGAACAAACAGTACAAATAGTATAATCTGCGATAAACGAATTACCAAATATCACTCAATCTGTCCGAGTTCAAGCCGGTACTCCAAAGATATTTATCTTAGGTCACACATACGTGTAATTTCCTTCATGGTTTTAAAAAATGAACCCATTTTTCGTGACGCCATCTAGATCATCTAATCGTTCAAATGGAATGAAAAACCTAGGTCCCGTTAACACGTTAGCGTGCACGTAAAAGAACCATTGACATTTGGAATTCGAAAAATGCCCCCCCCCACCCCATGGCACACTAATTATCTCTGTTAGCACAGAGAATTAGAACATTAAATCCTATTTCATTTCAGTGGGCACTTTGTTTGCGGTTGATTGCCAAGCCTTATGTCACAAAGAGGGGCGTTACACATAGGCATAGCCTGTTCACCCAATCTGAATCCAGATATTTACTGAATAGACTATTGTTTATTATATAAGGTCTTATACTATAGAAAGCAGATAGACAACGATATAATGCACGTGTTGCACTCTTTAATTAAAACATGGCTTTTCTTTTCTTTCCAGGTGAGAAATGGTTTCGGAAGATTTGAAATGGGTGAACGCCATTTCATGCACTCATTTGATGCCTTTGCGAAACTCAGTAGTTGGAGATTCAACGGAAATAAAACGGCGTATTTTTCTACTAAGTTTATCCAAAGCAGTTTTTATAATGAATCCATGGCAACAAATGACATAGCGCCATATTTATTGTTTGAAGGAGTTGTGCCCCCTTTCGGTTCCTACGACAAGCTGAAGGCACTGGTTCGCGGCATTGACAATATGAACGTTAACGTTTATAAATTCTTCAATGAAAAGGAAAATATTTCTGAGTACGTTGCTTTAAATGATTTTTGGAAAATCTATCAGATTTCTCCGCGAGATCTGTCGACAAAAGCTGCCATTGTTCCTCAAGTTGGTGAATATTCGTTAGGTGGTCAGCTGGGATTTTTGGATTTATTGTCGTCTGCCCATCCATTACCGGAGCCAGGAACAAACAACCATATAACGTTTCTGTCAAGTGTGAGTCTTCTCCCATTTTGGTCCAGCAACGCCATTAATTTGATTCGAATCAAATCTGCTCACGATAGGGAGGTGATTGCACGCTGGGATGTCGAGCGTGTTCCTTACATGCATTCCTTTTCAGTAACCGAAAACTACGCCATCTTATTCGCCAGCCCCTTTTACGTTAATGTAGTACGGATGCTTCAAAAAGCCGAACCTTTCGAGTGCTTGGATTGGTACCCGGATCATAAAACTACGGTCTATATCGTGAATTTGAAAACAGGAGAACTAAAAACCATGACAACGGTGAATGTGTTTACAATGCATCACGTGAACGCTTACGAAAGAAAAGGGAAAATTATCGTCGACATATCGGCCTATCCAAGTCCCGAATTCGTCAAAAGCCTTCAAATGAAGGTTCTATTCGATCCCGCTAAAAGGAATGCATTCGATGCGCATGCTTTACTGAAGAGATTTCGGATAAATTTGGAAAAAAACAAAATAAATTACGTGGATAGGGACCCGAAAACGAAAATTCCTTACACGGTAAATCTCGATATGCCGACAATAAACGAAAATTACCGAGCACGGCGATATTGTTTCGTATACGGAATAGTGTTAAAAAAGGATAACATTAACTTAAGTCACATCTCCATTGTGAAAAGAGACATGTGTCGAAAGGGTAGAGATAAAGCCTTGTTCATGAAATACCATTATCCTTCTGAAGCATGGTTTGTTCCAAACCCGAGACAAAAGTCGGAAGACGACGGCGTTCTGCTGCTTCCAATCTTGGACGGTGTCCGACAAAAATCCTACCTAGCTATTATTAATCCGAAAACAATGAAAATTATCAATCGGTCCTATTTACCCATTGTAGTCCCATTTTCGCTCCATGGACGATTTTTTGATGAAATTGTTTGAAATGTACACTGACATACCTTGTGCCTGCCTGTAAGGGCCATGGTCTCCATCTGTCATAATGATTTCAGCGCTGATGTCACGCATGAAGCTATTTGAATTAGGACAATTTGGCGGGATATCGGATATTTAAAGTATTCGTTTTACAATGTTTTATTTATTTGTGTTAGTAAATGCTTAATAGTGCTATATAAAGGACTGAAATCGTATTATTATTATCATTACTGGATTATCGATTATATGTGTTTTCAAATTAAAAGGGGCATCAAAGTCAGATCGTCCATAAACCTCGACAGTTCTTATAAACGAATTTAGGACACGTTGGCATAGGGATGGGTAGCTTGTATGGGAAATACAGCAGATTTATTATTGCTTTATTTTCCTGCATCAGACACCGAAATTAAGCGACGTTGTAACCATAGAAACAACAATATAGCCTTCAAATGGCTAGAACTGATTGAATTAAATAATTTTGGATCAACATGTTTTAGTAAGAGAACTTGTGAGTTTTTATTAGAAACGTTATTGGATTTTATTCTGACTTGTTCGCCTTTAAAGCTTCAACACACCAGTAGACTAATAATTATTTTAAATATTCCAATTTAACAAAAATAGGACTGTTCTTCAGATAGTTATCTAGACGATTAAATAATAAAAAAATAGTTAGATGGCTGATCCACCTCGATATTCGATGGTAGAAACCCACTGTTCTGCTCCGACTGGGCTAATAAAGACGGACAAACGCCATACATTGTGCATACGGGATTACAACGATTTGGAATCGCAGAACATCTAATGATAGAAAGTTTTGTAATGATTGAAATCGTGGTTTTAATCGTGAAGTAATCGTTGTGATCATATCAAGTCTTATCTTATATATTGAGGTCAGCCGTAGCAATCGTGTTGACCTAATCGAAACGTATCCGAACGTATCTTCACGTAGCAGATCGTGGATTCAATAGGGTCAATCTTATCATAATGCATAGCACGACAGTGGGAACATGGCATAAGTAACCAGAATAAATAAGACGAAATGAAGTAGTAGGTATAATTTGAATTAGATCGGATTTTGTAAGCTGTATCCTCTCACCGTATAACATTTATCCACGTTGTTTTATTGCTCTATAGGGAGCCATGGTGGATAGGTGTGTAAGACGCTGGCTCGCTAGCCTGGAGGTCGCGTGTTCTATCCCAGCATTGACCGATAAAGTTCATCGGAACAACTGTTCGAATGTGACGAAAAAACGAGAGTAGGCGATAGTGCCGCTGCCCGGGCAAAATTTCCCTCATAGCACACTATATGGCACATATCCATCTTCATTAACCCAGTATAGGAGTAGAACAGTAGGACGTTAAACCTCATTTCATTTTATTGCTCTATGATTTTAAAGATGCATTATGTAAGATTAGATAAAGAGCTGACAGTTCTCGCTATAATAATTCAAAAATAGATAATGAAAAGGGAATATATTGAACATTTCAGTCGAATTACTTCATACTGTACGGATATATGAATGTTTTAAGAATAGCGTAGTCTCGAATTTCATTGCTGTTACGATAATAAACAAAGCCTCGATTATCTGTTCACAATCACACCATCCGATGATCTATAAAGTTGATTATTGGCTTGTCATGTGAATAAATGTCTGCAACAGGCAGACTTTACTCTTACATAATGTATCTTTAAACAAATTAGATTGTCTTATATATTCAGTTTTTGTATTACGTGTTTGGCAGTGTTCCATCAAATCGATTTTCATTAATTATATATTCGCTTATTGTATTTTTATTGTCTGATATTAGTTGTATATTTTGTGTTTTGCAGAGGCTTTTATTGTTTTAGAAATAGCCGAATGTTTATTAAATGTGCAAGTGTTCTATGCCGTTGTCGCGGTTTGGCTCGGTACTCGATTTGGCGCGGTTCAATGTGCATTGTCTCGAGTGAGAAAGGATCAGTTAAATATCTATCTGTTTTGATACTCCCTAGGGAATAAGTTTGACCCCCCTCCCCCCGCATTCCCCTGTTTTGATACTCCCTAGGGAGTGACGTTGAACCCCCCCCCCCCATCCCCGCATTCCCCTTATTTTTTTTATCTGCACGTGATGAAAAAAAAGTAGCTATACGAAAAAATACCAAGAAATTTACAGACAATCTGTCAGTTATAAAGACAAATTGTATTTTGCCGGTGAGTTTTTGATGGTCTTATTAAAGTTTAGAAACAGCTCGCGGTAAAATGAATGTGCCATTTTTGAGTTGGTTCCCCATCCGAAGATACCAGGATCCTCGCCATGGTAACATATTACATAACATCCATTTGTATTGCTGAAACATTGAGTAGCCTACGAATGTTTATTGAAGACTTCAACTGATTATTAGTAGTATAAGTTTTAGATATATAATTTGATTTTGCTTTACCAATTATTATTAGGAAGTTTATTGTCTGCCATGTTACTTGAAAATATATCATTTTCTGCTACACCAATTGTTTATTATCTGTATAAGACTTGACTTTCGTGTCCTATTTGTTGTTTATTTATCTATTTGTCTGTTCGAATAACATTTAGTAATTGAACCAGGGCCCTTATTCACGAAAACTTAAACTAAGATACAATCGAAATTTTAAGAAATACTACAATTCGATTGGCTGACCAGTAAAATCAATTTGCATATATCCATTGAAGTTGCAGTATTTCTTAAAATTTCGGTTGTAACTTAGTTTAAGTTTTCGTGAATAAGGGCCCAGAGATACACGAGGTCACAATTCTGTGGAATACCATTACTGTTTATTAAACATACATTATGCAAGCGCTAAATCTGCCTATTGCAGGTCTTTATTTAGGCCTGAAATGTTTTCTAAATTATTAATTAGACATTAATTAACTCATTCAGGCCATAATCAACTCTCGATGACATCGGATTTCTCCGATATTAAATAGATTAGAACAGTTCAGCCATATTTTGATTTAAGCTAAAAATGGATGAGCGAGACTTAGCTTCGAACAACCAGTACGGTGGCTGAAATTATTGCACACGTCTTGTCAAACCTTCAAAGGCTAATATCTTCGTTCGCAGTAGAGTGATTTGCATGAAATTTTCAAATAATTCATTTTACATTATCTATTTTCGAACTATTATAGCAAGAATGGCTAGCTCTTTATCTAAATCTTACATAATGTATCTTTAATTAGTCATATTTCGTTCAAGATTCTCTAGTCGTAATCAAGTGATACACGTCGCTCATTAATATAATCAAGTGATAAATGTCCCTCATTAATATAATCAATTGATAAATGTCCCTCATTAATATAATCAAGTGATAAATGTCGCTCATTAATATAATCAAGTGATAAACGTCGCTCATTGATATAATCAAGTGATAAACGTCGCTCATTTATATAATCAAGTGATAAACGTTGCTCATTTATATAATCTAGGGATAAACGTCGCTCAGTGATTTAATCAAGTGATAAACGTCGCTCAGTGATGTAATCAAGTGATAAACGTCGCTAAGTGATATAATCAAGTGATAAACATCGCTCAGTGATGTAATCAAGTGATAAACGTCGCTAAGTGATGTAATCAAGCGATAAACGTCGCTAAGTGATATAATCAAGTAATTGTATTCCATAGACTTGTGTATTTTGCGTTTCACTTATTACCTACAGATTGCGTTCAATATTATATAATGTACATGCTTATTTTCCATTTTACTTGCTATAAAAATCACGTGTATAGGTATTTATATGTATATTGTCACATGTTGTGATGTAATATATCCATGAAATGACACGTCATAGACACGACATCCCGTACATTATTATGTGTAAAGTACTGTATTGTATCAATATTATGTTTTATTTAATAAAAATTATTATACACCACACCTTGCCCAAGGGTATGCATCACCCTTTTAATTTGAGCGTATAAAATCAGTGGTGCAGGACAGAAGACCTGACAAGGACAGCTGTCTAGTCGTTCGGATCTAACGAAAAACCGAGGTCCCGTGTATACATTGGCGTGTACGTAAAACATCCCTTTGCACTTGGACTTCGACATAGGAGTAGGCCATAGTGCCGCTGCCCGGGCAAAATGTCCCGCATAGCACACTGTATGGCGTATGCCCGTCGTCATTAGCCCAGTCGGAGCAGAACAGTAGGACGTTAAACCCCATTGCATCTCATTTGCATTTTGAGCGTATATCGGTCCGTCCGTCAATAGTGGGCCCATGAACACGAATAGGTTACAGTTGTCGACTCAAATATGATCTAACGCATTGTGGACCTGATATGACGAACCCAATCGATATTCAGAGTTCCTCGGATTTCCGTACCAGAGTTATACCCCTTTTCCGAAAGTCTTGCGATCGCGATAGGAGCTATAGTTTTTAGTTTTTAGTTTTTAACGGATTCTTCTCTAATTTGGCGTGAAGCATGGTAGTCATTGTGGGGTGGGGGGGGGGGACTAATCCTATGGATATTCAGAGTTCTGCAAGTTTACTTTCCGGAGTTATCCCTTTTTGCCGAAAGCTTTGTGGACGCGATAGGGGATACAGTTTTTAACATATTCTTTTCATATTGTGGTCATGAGAGGGTGCATCATATCGATATTCAACTTTCTTTGACGTTCGGTTCCGGAGTTATTCCCCTTTACCGAAAACCCTGTGAATGGAATAGATGCTAATTTTTGTCCGATATTTTTAAAATTGGGAGTGAGGCAATCAGGCCATGCGACGATGAACGCATTTGGGAACCATTTGGCGTCACCGGGATGAACCCATTCGATATTCAGCATTCCGACAGGTTCCGTTCCAGAGTTACCCCCCTTGCATACTGCGAATTTTTATTTCAAGCTTGTAAACACGACGGAGATCAGATTTCTCGAAGGCATCGATTATCAAATTTTGTCAACATTCAACCTTTCGGGTTGACAAACTGAACCCCGTAATAATGTTACATCGAACAAAACTGTCTTTCCATCGACGAAAATTAAATTATTTAATAAAACAAACAATATTATCTTCCGTGGATATATTCGTCACTACGTTTGCTACAAACTGTTGACAATACCACGCACAAGAAATGACACCGGGGATAAATGGCGTATCACGGTAGATTTAGTCATACAGTTGAAAGCTGGTTCAATATCCAATATCCATACATATCCCATTCTCAATACAAATGTGTCTCCTTTACCATCCCATTTGGTGATAACAGTGAAATAGGAAGATCGACTGAGGACTGTTTGTTACGATAGATCAATAGGAAATACTTCTTGTGAAACAACTGAACAATATAATATACATAGTTTTGTTTCATATCAAGTGGAAATTTTGAAAACATTCGTTTTCAGACTACAATCACCAGGGTGCAATTTGGGATCTTAATGAGGCTGAAAGTTATCTATGCAAGTATGATGGCCTATCCAGCCCACGTGAATTATACTGGGTTCGCTATCAACTAAAGATCCCCCCACGTATTATATCTCTCCCTCACTCTCTCTCCCTCTCTCTCTCTCTCTCCACACACACACACACCCAAACCAAGTTAGCAGACATTTCGTAATATAGTAATATAAGAAAACCATAATATCTATGATACAATCTTATGGAAATACAAGTTAAATATAATCACACTAGAAACATAGGAATTTAAATGATCGAGTGCTCAAAGTCGTCAACAGCAAAATAAACACCCGATACAAATCGAAATAACTGTCTATATTCCCGTTGAGTTGACTGTTTACTTAAAGTCGTTGATCGTCATTTTGAATTTCCGGACAATATCAAGGGGCAGGGTTTCACGAAATTTTAACTAAAGATAAAATCCAAATTTTAGTAGATACTTCAATTTTGATTGGCTAAGCACTAAAATCAATCTTATATTATCCAATCAAATTACTAAAATTTGGATTTTATCTTAGTTAAAATGTGATTAACCAGGCCCCAGTTCTTCTAGGCTTAATCAGGGGGATTGGATGGCCGAATGGTTAGCACGCGGGCGCTGTATCATACGGTCTGCCATTGAGTCAACTGGCGGGGTTTCGATTCCCCGGGTGTACGTGACAAGGAGGAGTGTCGCCTGTCCAACCTCGTGGGTTTTCTCCGGGTCCTCCGGTCCCCCCCCCCCACAGCTAAAGACCCCTACGCGCAAGCGAATTATTGAAATAAACTTGAACCACGTGTTAGTCCCGAAATGACCTAGTTTGAGTCGAGTGGACGTTAAACCCCATTTCTCTCTCTCTCTCTCTCTCTCTCTCTAGGCTTAATTCACACTAAAATATATTCGTGATTATATACTATTTAATTAAGAAATAAAAAAAATGAATATATCAGCGGTTGATAATCTCCCGCCTAAATTCAATAGAATTAACGAGAGGCCCATGAAAAGATTTAGCTAAACTTGTGACTTGACGAAACGGCCTTAAACCGAAACAGTTCCATCTCTCTCTGATGGATATTTTCGCTGGCACAGATGAAACTTGCCATATTTGAGGCAAAGACGTTGGGTTGAACCGTTCCGCCCCACCTCTTACTTGATTGAGTCTGTTCAGCATATTCTGGCTGAAACTGGAGTGTGATTTGAATTAAAAAAACATCATGAAAACCAATATCCTTTATCGATAATGCCAGTCTCTTTCCTTTCAGGAATCAAACGATATTGGCTAAAATAACACAATCTTTTTCAGAGTACCCTTAGACGTTGCAGATAATGAATCTATAGTAAATGTTGCCATAAAGCAGTCTGTTGCATATTGCTTTCATTAAATACCTTTTAAAGATATAACTACACAAAATTATCACTCAATATAAAATTGTTTCTAAATTTTCAGACTTACATTAATGTAAATATGACGAACAATTAATCTATCTGGTTCATTTGAAATATCCGGCTTTACATTTGTTTGTGGTGAATGAGGCACGGTGGCTAGCCTGTAAGTGGGTAAGACGTTGGCTCGCTAGCCTGTAAGTGGGTAAGACGTTGGCTCGCTAGCCTGTAAGTGGGTAAGACGTTGGCTCGCTAGCCTGTAAGTGGGTAAGACGTTGGCTCGGTAGCCTGTAGGCCGGTGTTTGCCGAGAAAGTTTATCGGGATTATCCAGTGTGGTTTGCCCTTGCCAGTGGTACAGGACGGAGGGCCTGACAAGGGCAGCTGTCTAGTCGGATGGGACGAAAAACCTAGTTTCCGTGTACACATTGACGTGCACACAAAAAATCCCTTGACAGTTGGAATTAGATATGGATAGGCCGTAGCGCCGCTGTCCGGGCAGAATTTCCCTCATAAGATACTACTTGGCGTATGTCCGTCTTCATTGGCCCAGTTCGGAGCCGAACAGTAGGACGTTAAACCCCATTTCATTTCATTTCGTTTCTGGTGAAGACCACAACCATGTCATTTTTTGTTCTTCGTAAACACCTGTTAAAAATTGTCTTATTGTTTCCGGATACAAGACTAATTTAAAACCCCACAGAATTTGGTTGAACGTTTAGTCACAATGTTTAAAGATTTAAAATTATAAACAAAATATATTTCACATGATTCAAGTAGCTATTTTTTAGTAAGATCCAGAATACCCGAGTAAACATTAAACCAACTGTATAAATATATAAATTAATCGGGCTTATTTTTATAAGTATTATATATGGCTAGTATTACATGAGTAAAAAACAACCTCATAGTAAATAGGATTAGATATATTATACTATATATAGGGGTAGAAACCTCTTTAGATAAATCTTTCTCTTATAACCAGGGACAGATTATGTCGCTTTAAACTCCTGGTTGAAAATACCACTGCGATCCTTGTATTTATAGTGAACATGGGACAGTATATACAACATAATAAATAAAACCCCATAAAACAATTTAAAATATATGCTTTATATAAAACATTAATAGAACTAGTTTTACACATTCATTTATTAGTTTTACCAATTCACTAGTTCTACCAATTCACTAGTTTTTACCAATTCACTAGTTTTACCAATTCACTAGTTTTACCAATTCATTTGTTTTACTGGAAGTTGAAATGTCAATCATGGGAGTTTCTACGCTCTTTATTTATAGAATACGTCATACATATAGATATTTGTCGTTTTTATTCTTAATCCCTAAGTCAAGTACGTACTATTACACGCATTGTAATTATTCTATTACATGCCAAAACAGACATGGATTACTGGAAGATCAGGGCTATATAGACCAGTTGAACAATAAGCAATGGTTTAGGTCTTGTCGAACGAGGCTACGGCATGTTTGTTGGCGATTAAAAGCCTTATGGACAGATGCGTTTAACAAAAAGTAACAACTCCTCAATTCCTAATCGTACCCAGAACACACGCCAAGCTATTAATTTCCACCTACCAACAATATGGTGCCACTGATAGAACGTAGGCTGCGTGAATTGCGCAGCGATCAAATCTTCCTATTTATACCCATGATTGTTGGCTAAAACTCAAATAAAGAATCTTATTAATAATACATTCAATACTCTTCACTGATTATACTTGATATCACGAATTGACTAAACACTGATGTCTAACTTTTATAATTCTCCTCCTTATAGTAGGATTTAACGCCCCGTCTTTCTGCATCAAAAACGGGGTGATAAGGATATGCGTAAGCTATGAGGGAAATTATGCTGACAGTGGCTTTTCCGTTACTCCCCCCCCATCCCTTCGACTTCCTACTGCGAAGGGTGCTTTTACGACCATGTCACGAGTACATGGTTGGATCTGGGGTTTTCATCCCATCACTGACAAGGGGAAAGCATGTCGGAAAATTCCTAGAATCTTTCTCTGCCAAACACCAGGACTGAACCAGGGGCGTGCTGGCAGGGAGTTTAGGAGGACGGTGTCCTCTCAGGCCCCCATTAAACAATAAGTCCACCCGTATAAGCGGACCCCCCTGAGAGCTCTAATTTTCACGCGGAATCCCCTCAAAAAATTGAGAGTGCGCACGCGAAAAATCATACATACACAACGATTAGTAAAATATATTATGCTGACGTGCAAATGTCTGTCACCTTAAGGTGAAATGGTCTTTGATACATGTATTCATGTCTCGATATGTATAGGATGCAATTTATTATTTGGATAGAAATACATTGTATTAGCATTATATTAAGCAGACCTGTCATGAGTGTCTTGTGTAGTACAGTAGTATGTCTTATAGTCAAAATAGCAGCATAAATTTGGAAAATATGATACCTAGATTTCTCCCAGAAGTGCTTGCAAAACGCGTTTCCCGTTGTCAAATTTCAAAAATTTTCTGGGGGGAGAACCCACCCAGACCCCCCTACCAGCGGTGCGCCTTCGGGGCCAGCACGCCCCTGGACTGAACCCGCGAACGCCGTCGTGACTAATTTGACGCGTGTTGTCCTCCATACATTCACCCAAAGTCTATTTGTATTATGTATAGTTATGCGTGTATAACTCTCTCTGTGAGTATTAAAGTTATTCAAGCAAGAACTACTTGTATTATTACTGTATTGTAAGTAAAGCCGGTTATTTTCAGTCTATTGTTAGAATATTGACAAGCAGTGATTGATGAAAGTTCAATAAGTAACATATCGAGAAAATAGACCTACATACGTTTGGATATTTCAATTTCTCTGGTAGATGGATTAGGACTAAGTAGTGTCCACGGGACTCCAAAATGATGTCAATTTATTAAGGTATTGTAATTCTTCAATTGTCTTTATTTATATGTTAATGGTTCTATATAGTATTTACATGTAGGCCTAATTCTTGTATTTACATGCAGGCCTAATTCTTGTATTTACATGTAGGCCTAAGTCTTGTATATCTGTCCAATATACATAGCCTACAACAAAGTACAAATTGATATCTAGTGTTGAATCATTGATGAAAATACTATTTAGTTGATTACGTTTATTCGCTTATGGCCTCATTTTTGGGAAACTTGAAAAACAATTAACACAAAAAACAGATATTTTACATTTAATTTAGCAATCAATCCACAAATATAAAATGTAGAATCACAGTATTTGTTTACTTTTCTATATGTTTAATCAGTTACAGTATCAATTTTACATCTCGGTTTAGAATTTTTAATTACACGCGATTGGCGAACTAGACTATATACCTGTTACTGTCTTCTGGGGGTTGGGCGGCAGAATGGTTAACGCGTGCGCATTGGATCCGAAGATCTGTCATTGAGTCACGTGGCGTGGTTTCGATTCCCTGCTTGAACGTGACAAGGACTAATTTATCCCCTCCCACCACTAAAGACCCCTACGTGCAAGTGATTTATGGAAATAAAATTAAACCATATGTCTGTCGAGCAGACGTTTAATCATATCTCTCTCTTTTCCTCTCTCTCTCTGTCTCTCTCTCTTAGTCAAAGTTTTTGAATTTCTGATTTGAATTTCTGATTTGAATTGTGATTTGAATTGCGATTTGAATTCTGTTTTTAAGAACACGACATTCTTCATACGAGAGTTATACTTATGAACTGGTTTTAAATGTTAAATTTCGGATTATTTTTATAAGATTCTATGCAAGTCTTGAAATAAGTTGTTTTATGTACTGATGGAAGTAAACGAAGAATTTCATTCACGTAAAAAGTAGTTCACATATTAATGACTAAGCCTTATACTTCCCTTTGGTACCTTTCAGATTAATCAAGGGATTCAACAAGAGGCTCTCAAAATGGCGAAGAGGACAGCGCTAGAGTTTTACCGGAAACGTCAAACAGTGGAGAGTCTGGCTACAGAAAGACCACAAAGTTTGAAATCTGTGTATGACATCATCAACAGTTCCATAGCAGGATTGGAAGAACGTCTGGACATGTTGATGACGTCATATTATGGGTCAGACGAAACATTAGATAATCAGCTGAAACGATGGCTACCATTGGTTAATACGGTGTTACGTCAAGGGAAAGCAATGGAATTGGTCAGCAAGGAACAGATTGAGGAATTTTACATCAAGCACGACAATTTGTTGGAAAGGTCGCCATTTTGTCAGGATAATTTAGACGAATTCTATGACGTCATTAATCACATCATAGAAAATGTCAATGACGGATTTTCTCCGATGGCGTCATCAGTCGAGGAACTGGTCGGATTCATGGCCAAGTATCTGAGAAGCTTCAGTACAGCAGATGGAGACCGATATCTCGAGACTTGCACGAATTATGAAAAGCAGAAAACAGACTTAGAAAGAGCTATTTTACTTAATATTAAAAACATTTTTCTTATGCTTCAAAAATTCGAAGAGGAATGTTTAACTATAAATCATTTTGATTACATATCAAAAGAACTAGCCGAGCGACATGGGTGTATTCATACGCCAATATTAATAGTGTTCCCTACTGCCTGTGAAAACATTCGAAACGCATTCACTGGAATTCGAAAGTGGTTAACAGCAGACGCGAGCTATGTAGAATATTTGGAACACGATTATATCGATCTAGAACAGAAACGTGAACTCCAACTCAGGGAGTTTAAAGAACTACAATTTAAAGTGAGCAGTTTCGAATATAAATTTAAGTCTCTGCAAAAAGAAATAAATCAAATAGGTTCGGAACTTAATCGCTTGAAACCAAAAGAACAGGCCATTGACAAAAACGAAAAACAGTTGTCGACTGTGCACAAGAGCGTGAGTGTTGACCTTGAGATCAAGTTGTTCAGGTTGACGGAGATGAAGCAGACGACACCGCGAGACAGAAACAGACAATTCAAGGAACAGTTGGAACGACTTAACACGGAGATAAATCTCCTGAAAGACCAACGTCCAAAACTCGACAGGAGCATCACGGACATCCAAAGCAAAAAATCGTGGATCGCTGAACGAAAAATGGACAAAGCTGAAAAGGAAAGATTGTTGGAGGAAGTGAAAGTCGAAAGGCGAAAAGTAAAAAAGCTGTCGAGGAAATGTGAAGTAGAAATTCAACGAATAAACGAATGTCTTCAGAGATTGAAGAGCGTTAAAACGAAGAAAACGAGTGAAGAGATTCTAAGAAAGATATTCCATAATCTACCTACAGTGTCTAGAAATATACAAAGTAATCGAGGAAAAATTGGTAAATTTTCATAAATATTTGACTATTTGAATCATAGTTATTTTGGTTGCAGGAACGTCGCAACGTCGCGAATTGCAACACCTGGAACCTAATGATAATTAGCTCCACTGACGCCAAAACTTCCGGTCTGATCAATTGTCTGTTTGTTATTATATTTTAAAAAGGTCTGATCACTCTCAGAATGAAATGTGATTTTCAATAAGATCTAAGTGTCAATGCTTCCTTAAGATAATTATATATTTCTCAAGCAGTAAGTTCAAGAGAACCGCACCACATATATATAATAAACAAATAGATACAGAGAAAACAAACCCGTGGACAAGAAACGTCACTCATACAACGCGCAGACATTGCGAGTCATAAGGACTCAGACTAGCAATTATTTGCCCATTGACTTCAATGTTAAATGGCTGTAACATCACAGGCTGTAGCTTTTTGCTCAACATTCCGTTGGTTCCAATCTTTGTAGGCACAACGGGGACAACATTTGGCAATCTCCTCATCATAATTTTGTAGGTGGTTGACCATTTAGATTTTTTGCTAAGCGGATTTGAAGTTGACTGGGGTGAAAATCTCACTTCCGACACAATGATTGCTCTGCAGAAGAACACTTTACACCCCCTATCCCTCCGCTGTAATATCATCAGTATTACCCCAAACTGCTATGAAATTGCAAATTTGATCCCTTTTCTCCAATTCTAGACCAAAAAGTCAACCCAAAAATGCAGGTAGAGGGGAGAAAAAAATTAAGGGAAAAATTGTCTATTTATAACTCTTAGTCTATAAATAATGAAAATTCAAGCAATAAATAACGAAAGTTCTATCAATGATGTAAATAGCTTTGGGTTCTATTCACTGTACATTACCTCATGCATATATACAAGCTGAGCGTAAAATGGAAACAGACTCACAACAAGGGAGGAAACCCGAAATATGAGTTTTCTCCCATGGAGGCAGACCACCATTAATTTCCCCATTGACTTCAATGTTAATTCTGGCCTCTTTGCCCACCTCCAACTTTTCCCCAAATTTTCGTTGGGCTGAATGCCTTTCACTACAGACAGAGGAACAAAATGTCATGTCTTTGCACTACAATTTGTATGAAGTTGACCACCAAAATTTTGAGATACACAAACTTGAAGAAGCATACTAAAAACATGTAACTAGTTGCCGTACATATCACCGTAGCCAACCTGATAACCCCGTTATCCCTCCACCTCAAAATCATGAATATTTACCAAAACCTAGCAGAAAATGTTAATTCAAACCCTCTTCGTCTATTTGAGACCAAAAAATCAACAAAATGGGCATGCAAAAGGGCAGAAAAGAGACAGAGAGAGAATTGCTATAAACAGACGAACTACAATTTGTGGGTACTGAGATGGTGAAATTTAATGGTGGTCTGCCTCCCCATGTCATCTGAAGGTGTTTCTGATTGTCGTATGTCCGAATCTAGTTTCTTTCCTGGCTCTGTTCACCTGCTTTCATTATTATAGTACTTATTATTTACAGCTTGCAATGTCCGTGTGGCTAGGTCGCGGGTTTGTCTTATCGGTTTCTACTGTTTATGTTTGGTGTGGTTCATCTGCTCTTATTATTATGTAAGATAGCTTTATGAATGAATTTTAAGATCTTCCCATTGTTTTTCAGATAAAATTGACAGAGCCTTTAATATTGTAGCTCGTTATATTGACGGTGATTGGACAAAATTGTACTGGCAGCTGCCATTTTACCCAGCTAGAGGAGAGGAAACAAAACGCCAAGACATCGAAGATATCATCCAAAACTGCGTACGTCATACGGCCGAAGATGAAGCGAAACTAGGCTTAGCAAAATGGCGGCGTTTACACACAAGAGTAACCATGGCAACACTAACAGACGCGCTGTCGGTCATTAAACGTAAAGACATTGTTGATCAAATTAAGAAAGAACTAAAACCGAGTCCTAAACGATTAGTAAATCCTAAATTATATCGAACTGTTCATTTTCCTGACATTCCTGTGTTCGATTGTCGTGTGTTTTAAACTATATTGTACGATATGAAAAATATAAAATAAAACTATGATACATGATTTGTTATTTTTCTGAATGGATGGTTTTAAACATCCCACATTTGTACAATTACCGGGCTAAAGAAAGACGCACATACGCCACACAATGTGCCCCGAGGAAAACTTTACCCTATAGCATTTGAATTCCAACTGTCAAAGGTTCTTTACCGAAGTATTTATTGTTAATCCCAAATCCTAATACTAACTCACTGACCTCAACCAGATTTATAACATTATCTTACTTTCAATTACACAAATGAAGCCAAATAAGCACTAGTGTTTCCATCATATCGGCTCATGGACAATTCACAAGTCTTTAAAACATGGGCCACGGAACAGTACCTCTATGCCATATTTAACACTTTTTTTTGAAAAGTAAGATGTAAGAGTGGCAGTTAGCAATTGAGCACATTAAAAAACACAACACAATTTATATGGAAAACAACAACTGGTTTATACACATATAGCACGACGTTTCGACAAGTATTTCACACGCAAATGTAAAGAGTTATCTAATATTCTCAGGGTGAAAAATAGAAGGTAGGGATTCCAAAATAGCCTTAGAACAGAGGAGGTGAAAAGTGGTATTTTATGAGGAATGGGGGCGAATTTCATGACGAACACGATCGGTTCGGACTCTGGGATTTGGCTAGATTATCCGGTCTATTACTTTATCATGAACAAAGTCTAAGGGAGATAACTAGCTTCACAACAAGATGTCAACGCCCCCGTGAAATTAATTTAAGAATTGCCATTTCAAAAATCCGTTTGCATTGCCATTTCAATATCCAACACTCTTAATTTTTTTTATCAAGCTTCACTTGATTTCAAAATGGCATACCTATAACATTTTCATGTCATGTGATATGTATATGATCGCTGATTGGTTAGCGGGGAAAAATATTCCGCGAAGTCAAACTCGTGCCAAACAGATGCACTCTATACAATAGAGTATACAATAGACATTTGTAACATGGATGGGAAATCGTCCTTTGTTATTTTCTTTGAATAAATGGTGGTTTGTAGGTAAAACTATTCCGAAGGGTTAGAGTTAGAATTGTGGGTATAAACATGGAAAGATATTTTCCAGATCGGTCAAGATCCAGTATCGTGCGGACATTCGAGCGCCATTCGTAATCAGCATATCCCAGAAGACAATGCGCAAGTAATTTAAAATGGCTGTTTCACAAAGAACAAAATACTAATAAAAAAGGACTAATCGGACGCAAACAATTGTCGTTTAATGTGGACTGTTTACGTATTTGACAGTAAATGATTGATTAGAAATTTAAACAAATGATTTACAAATTGAAAGTAGATCATTTTATATACTCCCATATTACATTAACATAGACCCATTTTTGTTTATTTTAAGTTTCGAAATAAAAGAGTCATACGTACGCCCTTTATGGTCAGTATAGCCCGGTCGCAGTAAATACAGTGCGCTTACCCTTTTAAAACACCACCTTCTTTAGCTCAGTCAAAGCAGAACAGTATTACGTTATTCCCCATTTCATTTTATTCCATTTCTTTTTAACACACACACACACCCACACAAACGCTAAAAAAATATAAGAAAGCTTATAATATAGACGGGTACTGTGACCATGAGTAATCATTTTTTTCATTGGCTAAAATCATATACGTCATTTTTATTTATATATTGTCCAATCATATCTCGTATACTAAATTACACACGACTAACAAAATGGCTAGCGATGTCGGTACCACTTCTTTTTTCAAAACTTATTGTATGTACACATATATAAGTATTTTCTTTAATCTGTTCACTTTTTCGCTAATCACTCTGTAAATATTTCATTTCTATATAAAACATGCAATTGTCTGCGCTATCACTTCGATGGAAACGGGCGTAAAATAAAGCTATTTCAAAGGGAGAGAAATGGGGTTTAACGTCCACTCGACACAAACTAGGTCATTTCGGGACTAACAAATGTTTTTTTAAATTTATATTTCAATAATTCGCTTGCGCATAGGGGTCTTTAGCAGTGGGAGGAAACTGGAGGACCCGGAGAAAACCCACGAGGTTGGACAGGCGACCCTACTCCTTGTCACGTACAACCGGGGATTCGAAACCACGCCAGTTGACTCAATGACAGACTTTATGAAGCTATTTCAAACACGAAAGTCAGTACGTACCAAATCATATCATGTCATGGGTCGTAAGCGAACAGCCTTCTTTAACGTCCGATAATAATAGAAGAATGTCAGATTATTTTAGTATTCCATCACCAAAATACTCCAAGATACAGATGATATTGACATCAGCCCTCGTCCATCTGATGATATTACATCCTCCTTGGATGTTGAGGTGATTTCCACTTCCACAATAGGTCTACTCCAAAAGTCCGCGACAGAAAAAAAAATCCCAAACCGTAAAATTCTAAATGCATTTGGAAAAGATGAATCTTTTAGAGATGAATAGAAATGTTCAAATCCTTGGTTAAGGTATGATGTAGCTACCAAAACAATGTTTTGTTCCAAATGTGAATCAGTTAACTTTGCAAATTCATTCACAATTGGTTGTAGTATAGTAAAAAAAATTAACCAGAACGCAGTTTATATAACAACTCTTCCAGATCCTTGTGTTAAAGCTAGAGACCAATCCATCAGTAAGTCTAAAGAAGCAGCCTTTTCTGCTATGAAGAATGTTTTATTCATGGCACAGCATTACCTACTCAATTTCCTTTCTGCAAGACCTCAACAATCTGTGTATTGACCAGGGTGCCAGTCAGTTACAGTCCTTAAATGTGGATAAAGATACGAGTTATGGTCATAATGATAGTGTTCTTGGCAGATGTATGTATATTGTATGTAGTTATCTTGAAAGCAAAAATGTAATAAAAATTACTGAAAATAAAACTTAATAATAGATATTTTTATTTACTTTTTTTTTGACAGAAAAAAATATATGGTTAATAAATGAAAATGAAAAATTGGCGGAAAAAAATGGAATCCAGAAGGGCCCATTTGCCGAAAACCATGTGAAATGGATAGATGCTACAATATTTAACGAAATCTTTTTAAATTTGGTTGTAAGCATTGGGGTCATGAAAGGACGACGTATACGTAACGCCGCTGTCGGGGCAAAATTTCCCTCACATCACACTGCATAGTGTACGCCCGTCCCTCACATCACACTGCATAGTGTACGCCCGCCTTTATTGGTGCACAAAAGATAGCTAGCTTGAGAGAGAGAGAGAGAGAGATGATTTAACGTCCACTCGACACAAACTAGGTCATTTCGGGACTAACATATATTTTAATTTTATTTCCCTAACTCGCTTGCACGTAGGGGTCTTTAGCGGTGTCTACTTGACACTAACTAGTTCATTTCGGGACTAACATATGGTTCAATTTTATTTCAATAATTCGCTTGCGCGTCGGGGTCTTTTTAGCAATGGGTTGACCAGCAGAAAACCCATACACCTTGTCACATACCGTGTGATACAACGCGCACGCGTTAACCATTCGGGCACCTAGCTTGATAAACTATGCCGTAGTTTAAATAACAGTGGTCTGTGCCCAACAAGATTGTGTCTGTCTATAAGATCTCTACTTTCTAATTAAATAAATAACATATTGTCACGAGGAACATTCAAATATGAAGATAATTAGTGTGATTTGAGTTGGAATATTATAAATTATTCTGGATTTCGACAAATATATGTTGGTTGGGGTAAATTGTGCAGTTGATGGTAGTCAGTGAATATTTGAACTTCCGAGGCGAGAAAGCGGGAAGTCCAAGTAAAAATAATCTCGTGTTCTCGGGGCGAGATCCTCGTATTGTCGCCTTGTTTCCTCGTATTCTCGCTCCCGTCCTCGAATTCTCGCTTCCGTGACTTCTATTCTCGTTTTTTCGTTGCGAGAAGTCGCGATTGTGAAATGGCCACAATAGGCTTCAATAGTTCGATATCAAACAATCAGTAACTGTAATTTGTTAAAACGCGTTTTTCGATCGAGTGATTTCATTTTACACAGTACCACTACAACTGGATAAACTAAATTTTGGATTCCACAACAATGTCAAAGCAGGTAAACAGATTTAAAGATATATTGACTTTCAAGATTCCAATTATGATTATTTTGCTACCCCAGGGGGCAGGGGTGGGTTGCTAGCATTGTGATTATAAAAACATTTACAACCGCAGAAAATAATTTTCTAAAAATTGTATGAATCTACAATCAATATTGGATTATTTTTTGAAGTTTTTGATTGATCTTATCTCGACTTAAAAATGTTAAAATCTATGCGATCCTTTAACATAAACTTTAATTGCACGTAAACTTTTCCTTAAAACAAAATATTAATTTTAGAATATATGTTAGCATCATCAGTTTGTTTAAACAGCGAACACACAACATTGTTACGTTGTTGGAAGTTCGGGATACATATTTTAAATTGTAAAAAAATTTACGACTTTTTACGCATTTGAATAAAACATATCAGATTTTTTTTTTAGAAATTTACAATTTTGGGGGCATATACATGTACTTAGGAAATTTATTTTAGACACATCGGATAATTTTGGCCTTTTTCTGTTTTTGATGTTCAATACACAGAAACTCTTCAGTGTGAGTAAAATTCAACTTGTGTAACATAACACATACTCTTTTTATTAAACAGATGTTTTATTACTGCATAATATATATACATATGGTGGTTGGATCAGGAGATATCTAACTAAAGATGTTCTCCCTAGGTCACAGAAAACCCAACTGCCCTTTGACTTCGTTCGGTCGTTTCTGGAGTTTTACGTCCACTTCCACCTAAGGTGATATCGTTTTGACTGTTGTTGTTCTTAGCGTTTAACATCCGCTTCCACCGAAGGTGATATCGCAGACAAGTTCATTTTAATGATCTTAGCGCACGCGCAGGGGTCTTTGCTGAGGGAGGAAACCGGAGTACACGGAGTAAACCCACGAGGTTGAGAAGGCGCCCCTATCTCCAAGCCACACCTGGGATCGAAACCACAGCCGCAAGCCAGAGGTGACCGGCC